TGTTCTGCAGGTCAGTCTGGACGACCTGGAGCAGCTGCTCGACGCGCGAGAGTCGGCTGTCAAACTGGGCGAGCTGGCGGTCCTGGGCGAGGGACTTCTGGAGAATCTCTGTGTGGCGCTGGTCGGCCTTCACGGCCTGGGTCTTCAGTTCCTGGAGGATGGTGTTGGTGGCCTTGCCCGCAAGCTGGAGGCGACCGCTGAGGTCGGCGAGCTGGGCAGCCAAGCCGGCCATTGTGACTTCTGTGCCGGAGTTGATTATGGGTTGAGCGGGCTGGTCAGGAACTTGATTGCGGATTTGCTGCTGGGGGGTGCTGCCTTGGTTGGAGGGAATTGTCGAGCCCTGGCCTGCGGCGGACTCGAGGATGAACTTGAAGATCTCAAATGAGTCTGGGTTTTCGGGAGTAGCTGCTGTGATGCCGAAGGTGTTTCCAGCGGGCAGGGCGACCTGCTCAGGTTAGTATGTTTAATGGCTGCGGGGGATACATGTATAGTGTATACATACCTTATTGGTTGAAAAGCAAAGCTTGTCGTCAATGGTGACTTCGAAGATGGAGCTGGTGTGCTTGAGTTTGACAATTGATGGACGGCCCAGGTTACGGTAGGAGTAGTCACAGTGGCCAAAGGCTAAGGTGTCTGGGCTGTTGTGGCTTTTGTAATCGATGGTACCGTCGTTCAAGAATCCACGGACACTGCCGCCCTATGGGGGAGATTAGTACCCCGTAATTAATGATTAATACGACGCGACAATACGCGACGGGGTCAATACGCACTCTTCCACCATGCGTATCAATTACCAGAGCAAAGCCGTCGAATTGGCCGACAGTATAGATGCTCGAGGTACCAATACGGGACTGGCCGTCCTTAGTATACCATAACTGCAGGATTCCACCCGCTCGTTCTGGTCCGCTTGCTCGGAATTGGAACTCTGCTGACCATTCCGACTGAGAGACTCTATTCCAATGTTATTATCCGGTGTCCAATATCAACGTTTGAAGCTCTTAACTTACGGACTTTGTGCCCAAGCTGATCCCCGTGTGTTTCCAGGGTACGGCGGCGTTAAGATGAGCTTGTCTGATAGCTGCAGAAGCTGTTAGATCACTTCGGCCACAATTCCGGCAGTACAACTCACAACGTGCGGTTCATGGCCCTCTCCTCCGATTGCCCATCCGGGGATAGAGTCTTGGTTTGGTGATATCCTGGTCTGAAGTCAGATAGCCATAACCAAAAGACTGAACACGGGCACTATACTAACGTTTGACCGGCACCGAAGCTTGAGCTTTCAATAATCTGGGCTGTGGCCCCTACGGCAAGCAATGCCAGGGAAGCTAATGTCCTCATCATGTTGTGTGGCTTGATGGTTGGTGAAGCTTGATGTTGATATAGGTTCGCGGAAGCTTTGCACAGTAGCTAGCAGCGTTTGCTATGGGTTGAGTCACGGTCGCAATTCCGATTGCAAATGCTGGAGACAACACTAGTGGTGATCCAACCGACAACAACAGCAATAATGCAGAGACGGGCTTCCTTTGCAATAACAGCGGCCGATGGCGAGAAATCGATGAAGTGGTGGAGCTGTACACTGTTGAGAAGCGTGTGGCGGATTCCGACGTCTGTGAAGTCCATACGAGAGGGTGTTTCCTATTGACGTTGTATTTGTTGTATTGACTATCTGTCCTTCTGCCCAGGTGTTTCGCTCCTAATTTGACCTCCGATCTCCGCATATGGTCACGTGTTCTTAAAGTAACATGCGGAGGAAGCTACTCACTCACCGATTTGCGCATTCTCGCATCTTGTGTCTTCTCGGCTTTCAACATCACCGCACCATCATGCGCAGGAGCTCCAATGGCTGACCTATACCCTTCATTGGCGCAATGCGCCGTCGTTGCAGCTGCCTTCAAGGTGCTGCTCTTCCCCGCATAGTGAGTTCGTCCCGCTCGTTTCGCCGCAGCAAAAAAAGATCGGGAAGACAGGTAGAAAGATAAGCGAACAATCACTGCAAAAGTGCTGCAAAAAAATCTGCAAGGGGCATCCACAGGGACGCGGAATAGTACATTAGGGTTACCAACTGAGCTTTGCTAACATGCTTTCTTTTCTTTGTGTTGCAGCAAATCGACCGATTTTGAGGTCCATCGCAATTGGCTCGCCATCACCCATTCTCTCCCCATTCAAGAATGGTACTATGAGGTATGTTCGGTCAGGCGCATGATTCTTGCACAAGTGCGGTGGATATTGACTTGGGCTGGTTTAGAAATCCTCGGAATGGACACTCGATTACCCACCGTTCTTCGCTGCCTTCGAGTGGCTGATGTCCCAGGCTGCTGTATACGCAGACCCTGCGATGTTGGTCGTGAAGAACCTTGGCTATGATTCCTGGCAGACTGTGTACTTTCAAAGAGCAACTGTGATTTTGACGGAGCTGGTTCTTGTCTATGCGCTTAGTCGGTATGGCACTCGATCTTTTTTTTTTTGGTGATGCGATGGAATTCTGACTTCTGCTCGATAGATTCGTCAAGTCCGTTCCTCTGCCAAACAAGCAGGCTGCGCATGTGGCCAGTCTTTCCATCCTGCTATCCCCCGGTCTCCTTATCATCGATCATATCCACTTCCAATACAATGGCTTCATGTATGGAATCCTGATCCTATCAATTGTCCTGGCTCGCAAGCAATCGACGCTTCTCTATAGCGGTATTCTCTTCGCGGTGCTTCTATGCATGAAGCACATATACCTCTACCTCGCTCTCGCCTACTTCGTCTATCTACTGCGCACCTATTGCCTTAGTCTCAAATCGGTCTTCCGGCCCCGATTCGGTAATATTTTCAAACTTGGATTCTGCGTGGTGGGTGTCTTTGCAATTGCCTTTGGGCCATTTGCGCAATGGGGGCAATTGCTGCAGCTCAAGGACAGGCTGTTTCCATTTTCGAGAGGACTGTGTCATGCGTACTGGGCGCCAAATATCTGGGCGATGTATTCCTTCGCTGATCGAGCATTGATTTCCCGTAAGTAGTTCCTATCTATCCCAGCACGCAGGACATATGAGCTTATCTGACAATCTCTGCAGTTGCTCCACGGCTAGGGCTTCCCGTGAACGCTAGTGCTTTGAACAGCGTCACACGGGGATTGGTGGGAGACACCTCTTTTGCCGTCCTTCCGGAGGTTACAAAGGAACACACCTTCATATTGACCTTCTTGTTCCAACTGGTATGTGTCCCTCGTCTTGTGCCTTCGGCCTTCTCTCACAATTGTCTAGGTTCCCCTCGTCAAGGTCTGGTTCAACCCAGGCTGTTGGGATACCTTTGTCGGTGCGATCACCCTCTGTGGCTATGCATCATTCCTCTTTGGATGGCATGTGCACGAGAAAGCCATTCTCCTCATTATCATCCCATTCAGTCTCATCGCCCTCAAGGACCGTCGCTATTTCAGCGCCTTCCGACCTCTGGCGGTTGCGGGACATGTCTCCCTCTTTCCCCTGCTATTTACAGCAGCCGACTTCCCACTCAAGACTATCTATACAGTCCTGTGGCTGGTGCTGTTCCTCTTCGTCTTTGACCGAGTTGCACCTGTCCCCGAGCGGCCCCGAATTTTCATATTCGACCGGCTTTCGCTGCTCTACTTGACCATTTCTATTCCTTTGATTATCTACTGCTCCCTGGGGCACCAACTGATATTCGGATGGGACCGGCTAGAGTTCCTGCCATTGATGTTCATGAGCAGTTATTGTGCCCTCGGAGTTGTCGGAAGCTGGGTTGGGTTCATGGTGGTTTATTTTACAGCTTAGATTAATCACACTAGCTAGTATCAAAAAATTATTTTATGTCTTTGTCAAATATGAACTACAAACCTCTTGAGGCCATTTTAGGTGACTTCGGGATTCACTTCAGCGTCTGCATATGTAGGATGTTTGCATTGTTTGTTTCCACGTGGATAGGACCCACGGATCACGGAGTCTATTGTTCCACTAGGCCCAATTTGGTTAGTCTCCCTTTATCCATGGTTGGCCTGCAGCCAAATGCAGGTCAGATAGAAACATGGGGGAAGAATCTGTTTTCCGTTTTTCAATTCTAGGATTGTACTAGTAATGTTTCTGTAAATGTACAGGTGTTTTTTTTTATCTCTTTGACTAAATGTCGACCTGAGTGATTGTCTGGTTGTGAAAATGCATGTTTACAGCACATATATATTTCTGCAGGTGGTGGAAGTTCTCTTCCGAGCATAGCATTTTGCTGAAGCGCTTTCACTTTCTACTATTAATCAACAAGCTGTTGGCAATTTATGGAGAGAATCTACAAGCAAACTGTTCTAAAAGCAATAAATTAAGAAACCTACATGAGCATAATGATTGTGAGTGATGGCTTCACACCTCACATATAGCATATTGGTTATTCACATCTAGCCGCGCGTTAACTAAACAATCACAACAAAACGGTGTGATGGTATGCACAAGAGAGGCTCATTAACTTTAACAAGTATAGATCTAGAGTACTGCTTATTCAATAATAGACATCTGGGTGGCCAATGCGCTTGTGACACCGTGGCTGAAGGGGTGTATCAAATCTACATGCCAACTATAGCTGCTTGATATAGAGCTATAAAGGTCATGTATAGTTACCCACCGGAATAGGATATAGTGTGTGCATACAAAGCTCATTGATAATCACTACTTGCACTTTAGTGGATTACAGTTATTCTCAAAATAGCTCTCATCATATTTCAAGTATGAAGTATGACTACCTAGGTACATGACTGTAACGTTATGAACAAATAAGACTTGAGCATTTAAAGCCAAAGAGAATATTGCTGAAAGGTTAGTGTTTCATGCTAAAAATACAAACAAAGCTGGTGGTTGACATGGTCGCCTTAGTTCGACTTGATTGTTCCGATCTTAGGCCGGGGAGGTGACCGAGAATAGGAACTGAGAATTGATAACCGCGTTGAAGAATAGAAATATTATAGAATTTTGAAATGAACAGGATGTAGATAAAATCTCCTTGACTAGACGAGTCGAATGAGGGTAAATACTGATAGAGTTGGGGAAGAAAGGAAGAAAGGAAGAAAGAATTGATAGTCGGAGATGACGAGGGGAGGAGGGAGAGTCGAGGGTTCCGAGGAAAGCCCAAGTGCGTTTTTCTGCTGGGCTTTGGCTCCCGCTTGCTCCTCCTCTCCACCAATCAGCTTCCACCGCTGATTCGCGGTCCTGCAATGATCTACCGCTCCGTCCTTTTTGTCTACCTTTCTTCTTTCTTGCTTCCTACACCTTCAAAATATTCACTTCCCTTCCCCCAATATTATAGCAGTTCATCATCTCAGAATCGCTTGGTTCTCAACTTCATACAGGACGCGTTCTACTCCGGTAAGTCCGCATGAACTCCCGAGGCATCGCTATTCCACTGTTCGCGTATTCTTGGTCTGCGACCCGTGGACCAGGCCTGATCACGACAATTCCCTCCCACAACCACCCCCTCACTACACAACAGTGCACAGAATAACTGGAGTATCTGCAATCTATATCGCAACTCCCGTTACCTCCGCCGATTGCGTGTCTGACGCGGCCTCTACCTTCACACACTCAATCGACAAGCTTCACGCACTAACTAAGATCGCGTTTTGTTCAGTCCCGTTCATGCTCGATTCTCGATTCTGTACACGGTAGCTCCTGGCCGACTGGCGCGTCCACACTTAATATTTAAAGCATCATGGTATGCAACACCTTATCCGATGGAATTGTTGCGGAGGCGCCAAGAAGAAAGTGGTGGACGCTACGGAGACAAAGAGGCTTACGCAATTGCATGGACAGGTGCTATTCAAACGCAAACCGGTTCAATACCTCCCACCAACTGTCATTGAAGATGATAGTTCCGAGGTATGTATCTCTATTACCTACACTGCAGACTTCCCCGCTGATCCTCTTTCTTCCTTCCAGGTCTGGGTTATCCCGGAGACCAATGAGGTCTTCACTAGCTACGAGCCTTACCTTCAACGAATGGACTTCTACAAACAACGCCGTTTCATCTGCGAGATCACCGGCCATTCGGGCTTGACCTTCTTTGAGGCGCTCCGCAGTGAGGTATATTATAACATGGACACCGAGTGATGGACATATGCTAAGCCTTGAATAGACGGAGGAATCGCGTGAAGTCAACAACAGTTTCCCCGATGCGCTGAGAGAACCTATTCTGCGCAGAATTCAGTTCTCCATAGTCTCGAGGGTGGACAGCCTGGGTATGTTATTCCTATCTTTTCTAGTCTGAATCAAGCTAACGACACTCTTTCTCAGTGGATGAAATCTATGAAGTGAGATAATCCCGCCATTTATTAATGAAATAAATGATCTAACAAACCCAGGAATTCAAATCAGACTTCTACCCGGGAGAAGCCGTTCTCATTCTGCTTGATGATAGTACTCGGCTTCATGGTACCATCAGAGACAAGGCAAACTTCGCAGAGCAGTTATATGCCGATGGAACCATTAAAACACCTGCTTTTGCCAGGTATCTGGTCAAGATCCTAGATCGTCAAAATGAAGAGGCCCTGCTGGACCAGGACCACATCACACGCGATCGAAAGGCATTCACTAAGTTGATGCTGCGTGGGTTCATCAAAAACAACGTCACCAGAGAGTCCTGGACAGGTGCCCCCTGGTTGGTTAAGCCTTCTGTCGCAGAGACATACAAGATTCCGATTGAGGTACCTAAGCATCTGCAGTATGGTGCGAAGGTGGCAGAGAAGAAGGCGATGAAGAAAGCGGATCAAGATGGCTTCTTTGGTTTCTTTGCTTCTCAGTCGCTGCCCGAGCTGAAACCTGCAGTCAAGGGCCAGAAGTCGAAACTGTCTGCACACGACATGGCAAAATCGAGGGAGGCGCAATACCAAGAGTACCAGCGGTCGCTGAATGGTAATCCATCATTCCTTCTGCCTTCCAACCCCCTGCGCCCTTCCAAACCGCCACTGGTTGGCGATAGGAAGCTTGCTGGACTCCCGGCAGTGGTCATTAAGAACGAGCCAAGAGCACCATCCCCGCCACCGATCAAGTATCCTATTGAGGATCTGGACCTTGCCCCTAATTCCGAAAAGCAACACCGACCAACCCTGAAGTTCATGATGGTAAGTGAGCCTGAAGACGACGGTGCGGAGAATCTTCTGCCTGATGATCTAGAGCCGGAAACGGTGGGGTTGCTCCTGGAGACTTGGGACACGCTCAATGTCTACTGTGAAGTATTCGAACTGGATTCTTTCACCTTTGACGATTTTATTCAAGCTATGCGGTTCTCATCAGATGAAGTGGACTGCGAACTCTTCGTTGAAGTGCATTGCGCCGTTCTTAAGAAGCTCGTCAATTCATCGAACGATGATGGTGCCGTTCAAATTTCACTCCCAGACTTCCCTGCTGATGAATCTGATGAATCCGAAGAGGATGAGGAAGAGGAAGATGCGGAGGAGGAGTCTCCAGAGCCCCAGGCGAAGCCCGGGAGAATGACCACTAGAGGAAGCCTGGCCAAGGAAGAGGCAGTCATCATCAAAGCACAGATAAATGAAGATGAGCCCGAGGAGACACAGATTCATCGCGCCAGCGAGATGTTTGAGAAATATGGGTGGATTGATCGTCTCCGCAAACGCGATTTCCGCAACGGTGGATGGCAGTTGGTGATAGTTGGACTTTTGCACCAGCTATCTATCCGTCCTCGCTCGGAACAAATCTGCAACACCATTCTCAAGCATCTCGCACCTCTCGATCGCGAGCCTACACAGTACACCGTGCAGGAGCAGTACCAAACACTTGACATCAATTTGCGTACCAAGGTGCTCCAGATGATTTGCATGTTGAGCTTAGAGACTAAAGCCATCCGAAACTATCTAGAAGAGTGCAGCAATCAGATGACAGAGCTGCGCAAGGAGAAAATTGAGTATCAGAAGGCGCGCAAAGCAGGGTAAGTCAATCCTTGGAGCATTGTCATCTCAATCGCTAACATCAGCTTTCAGACTCATCGAGCTTCGTCAGCTGCACCAGGAGCGCAAGGCCGTTCAGCCTGAACCTGAAAAGGCTGGGAAGTCACCTACGCCGGTGCCCGAATTGGACGGCTTGGATGATTCTCGACTGGAAGGGGACTCTGAAATGGTCGGGGATACAGAAGACGAGGATATCCCTCGACCACGCTCATTACGTGGAGGAATTGATCGGGCCCTGGAGCGCAAACGGAAACAAGAATTGGAAAAGGAGCGAAAGGAGATATTGGCGAAGCAGCCTAAGGGGTCCAAGCAATACCAGCGAGTCTTGAAGAAGATCGATGAGCAGAAGGCCAATATCGAGAAGCTCCAGGAGCAGATCGAGACTGTGGAGAACAGCCTTCGCGAAACCGACTGTCCCCGGACCCGATGCCTTGGACTGGATCGCTTCTGCAATCGCTACTGGTGGTTTGAGCGTAATGCGATGCCCTACGAGGGTATGCCGGAAAGCTCGACGGCTGAGGCACGCTACGCTAATGGCCGTCTGTGGGTGCAAGGCCCGGATGAAATGGAGCATGCCGGTTTCATCGACGTGACCGACGAACAGCGGAAGCAGTATCAGAAGCATTTCCAGACCACCCCTGCAGAGCGCAAGAAGCACGAAGAAGGACCAACCCACGTGTCGAATGCCCGCGAATGGGGCTACTACGAGGATCCCGAGGCAATTGAACAGCTCGTGGAGTGGCTGGACTCACGCGGCAACCGGGAGTCCAAGTTGCTTAAGGAGCTGCTCCTCCAGCAAGAGTACATCGCCAAGTACATGAAAAATCGCAAGGTGTACCTAGCCGAGATGCCTGATAGAGCCGAGTCGGAGGACATCCCAGCCAAACGCGTGACCACCCGGACTAAGACCTATCTGGATGTGAACGAGAGTGGTCCCCGCTGCTTGCGTTGGAAAAACACGACCGCGTTGTCCGAGCATGGGCATCTTCACGTCGATCCTGGCCGGCCAGCCAAGCGCAAGCGGGTTTCGGATGACATCAAAGTGACCAAGGCAGCTAAGCAGGCTAAGCAGGCTAAGCCTCTGACCCGAACGCGCGCTCAGCGCAAGGGTTGATGCCTTCAGAAGGTATTAATTCTACAATATCACGCGACCACGATATTCTTGTACTTCGTATACATTTCGAGCTGCATGGAGGCGGGGAGTTCTTTTCTATTCACTAGCATTTTTTTTTTGGGAAGAATTTAAATAGCTTAGAAGCAATGCAACAACATAGAACAAGTCTCCTTCCTAACAGAATAAATTCAGACTACAATGAAGGCTAGGATGAATGCGACAGAATGAATATCGGCTACATGTCCCAATTAGGCCTAGCGGAGGCAGAACACGATGACAAACCGGCTTCTCGGGACTCGCTGATTTTGCGGGCCGTATTAGTACCGTAATCCGCCGGTTATTCGCGGAGGGCCGTTGGTATCGGCACGTCAGAATGTTCGTAACAATATTGTCGTCTGGACTATCCGAACTTCACAAATACGTCAGTGGAAACATACACAGAACGTTATTCTTCTTTCATCTTTTGCCATTGCACTGTCATATTCTTCTTTCAAACGTCGTTCAAGCTTGCTGTGCTGTCTACTCAACTATTAGACCTGCATGCACAGTTGCCGCATCCCGAAGATCTTCCGGTACCCCCGAGAACTCTGGCTGATTATCGCCGAAACTGATCACGAGGGCGACTGCCCCGGATATCCTCACCCCTCCTGTTAGCCTCGGTTGCTCTCTCACAATCTCGTCTTTCTTTTCCTCTTCCAAATCCATGTCAACTGGTCGTTTGGACCATGCCTATGACCCCGACAAATCCCAAGACTCTACTCCGCACTCCGCTCCGATGAGCGAGACCGCACTGCCGAGACCGTCGCCTTTCGGCGGCGCTACGAAACCAATTGTGTCAAATAATACCGCCGCCATGGACAAACCGGAGAGTGGCGACAACAAGATTCACAAGCGTAGCTTGGATTATGTGATGAGGAGTGGAATTGCAGGAGGGCTGGCGGGGTGTGCGGTAAGTTTCCATGGGTTATCGATCATTGCGAGTTTTATACTGATTAATGCGCCGGACGTTATAGGCCAAGACTGTAGTAGCGCCCCTCGACCGCGTGAAGATCCTCTTCCAGGCGTCAAACCCTCAATTCGCCAAATATACGGGCAGCTGGACTGGCCTGGCAGCAGCGATTCGAGATATCAAGCGCACTGAAGGCGTTCGGGGCCTATACAGGGGCCACTCAGTGACCCTCCTTCGAATTTTCCCATACGCCGCTATAAAATTCCTTGCATACGAGCAGATCCGTGCAGTTATTATTCCTTCCAGCGAATACGAGACCCCGTTCCGCCGCTTGGTCTCCGGCAGTTTAGCCGGTGTCACCTCTGTATGTTTCACATACCCATTAGAGTTGATGCGTGTGCGCATGGCATTCGAAACTAGACAATCGCACCGCTCAGGCCTGGTGGACATATGGCGGCAAATCTACCACGAGCGTGTCCAACCCCCATCAACAACCCACTCTGCCGCTGCAGCCGAGTCTTCTTCCGTTGCTGTTGCCGAAAGCGCTTCATCTGTCGCTTCGAAAGTTGTCCCGCGCACCGGCATTGCCAATTTCTACCGCGGCTTCTCCCCGACTATCCTCGGGATGCTCCCGTACGCCGGCATGTCTTTCCTCACCCATGACACAGTGGGAGACTTGTTCCGCCACCCAAGTGTGGCGCGCTACACACTTAGACGTGCAGCAGCGTCAGAAAACCCCGCGAATCGACCCAAACGACCGCAGCTCAATACCACGTCCGAGCTTCTATCCGGTGCTGTGGCCGGTTTAGTTTCACAGTCTTCGTCATACCCAGTGGAGGTCATCCGTCGGCGGATGCAGGTCGGTGGTGCAGTCGGTGACGGACGCCGACTCGGAATCGCTGAAACGGCCCGCACAATCTGGCTTGAGAGAGGGTTTAGAGGCTTCTGGGTTGGACTGACTATCGGATACGTCAAAGTCGTCCCCATGGTTGCAGTGAGCTTCTACGTTTATGAGCGAGCCAAGGGATCGTTGGGCATCAGTTAGACTTGTGACATATTCATTTTTTTGCTTGCATATACCATGAGGGCTCTTGATACTGGTTCTCTGGCGTTTCGTGGATATCTTGGGAGGATTGTTTTTAGCATATAGAGCCCGAATGGCCTCTTCAGGGATACCAGTATAAAATTTCAAAGATTTTCTTTCACCTGTCATCAAAATTTACTTGAAAAACCCTTTAAGCTGGACTGTCCCATACATGATGATAACTCTTTGACTTTGACATGTGGCTGATGTGTGGCTGATTAGTAGATGCTGCGGGCTTGACTCCGAGAGCACAGACCACCCGCATAAAAAAAAGTTGCAGACTTCCGCCACCCACGACCAAGTCTATCAACACTATTCGGATTCCACAAAATGACGACCCGCAAACATAACGATTTCCTAGATATCGCGGCCAGTGATGACGAGGCCAGCGGCAGTGACCGCGGCTACGACTCCGAAGCCAATGTTGCGGAGAGCAAAGGACGGGCCGTGAAGCGGCGGCGGACAACAACCACGCAAGATTTCTCGCAGGAGTCCGACGAAGATGTGGACGTGGAGGAGGACGACAAAGATCTCGAAAAGGAAGCCGATGATAACGAGAATGAAGACGGCGGCGCAAGTCTAGAGGACTCAGCACAACCCAGCAGCAAATCAGCCAAGTCGCTCAAAGCAAAGGGCAAGCTCGCCAAGCTGTCCAAACTGGCCAACGGCAAAGCACCCAAGAAAACCCGTTCGGGTGTCATATACTTCTCTTCCCTCCCGCCATACCTCAAACCCTTCGCCCTGAAAGGAATGCTAGAGAAAAGAGGGTTTGAAGGCATCACGAAGATCTTCCTAGCCCCTCTTCTCCCCTCCGCAGCCGGCCATCGAAGCCGCTCGAATAAGAGAAAGCTCTACACCGAAGGGTGGATCGAGTTTGCGTCTAAAAAGACGGCCAAGATCTGCGCGGAGACCTTGAATGCGACTATTGTGGGTGGTTTGAAGTCGAGCTGTGAGTCTACCGGCATTTTCGCCATTACATACCCTCCTACTATTTCGCGGTGAATACTGACCAGTGCTACGATCTATAGGGTACCACGATGATGTGTGGAACATCAAATATCTCTCACGGTATTCCTGGGAGGATCTTATGCAATCTGTACAACGAGAGAGATCCGAGAGGGAAAGCAAGAGGAAGATTGCCGATGCTCGCGAAGCCAAGGAAGCTAAAATGTTCATTGCGGGTGTTGAGAGTGGTCGTATTGCTGATGGTATGGCGAAAAAGAATGAGGAGAAGATGAAGAGGCGCTTGGAGGCGGCTGGTGATGGGGATAAGGAACTGCCGCAACCCAAGAAGCCTGCGCAGTCTACGAGAAGGCGGTTCCATTTCCAGCAGAATGAGGTTGTTAAGGGGTCGAAGGATGGTGCTATGGCTGATGACGCGAAGCGGGTACTTGGGAAGATCTTTTAAGTAGGATTTTATGGGAAACGTTTCGTCTTGTTTTTATTGGCTTATGGCCTCTGGTCTGTCTACTTGATCTACTACAGCCCGGCTTTCTAATATTAGATCACTGAGATGTGACATCCCGAGGTTGATAGAGTACATCTAGTTAAACTTCGGTATTCTCTTCCCTTGTTGACTCCATTTTATACTACGTACATTCACCCTAATGGCGATCCAAATACACAATCACCGCTTCGGTATCTTGAACGGAAACACTCTGCCCTGCTTCAAGCTCAAGTTCTCTTTCTCTTCAAGCCAAATAGAAAATAGACACTGCCACTGTCCACCTCGAAGCTGCACTGTTCCCCAGCCCACCTCACATTTTCCTCGGTGCTATCAACATCAAACCCTCGATCAAGCGAACCGCTGTCACATTGGAGGTGTTGAAGACTGACCTGAGCACTTCCAACACTCAAGGTTAGAGTAGAACTCCCTCGAGACGAGGCTGATTCTGCGTCCCATTCACACAGGCTAGTCAGAGAAATTCGCCGTGTATTGTTAGACTGCAATCCATATTTGGCGTATGCACTAAGTAGAGGATTTTCCAACTCGAGGTCAGTCTTCCTGCCCAAAGAATCGCCCTTTGGTACAAGTCAGCTGCATAAAGCATGGCTGAGGAGATTCCATGGGGGCTGTGTCTATTAACCCATTTATAAGAAAGTCAGTCGCTCACGCAGTCTCTTTCCTTGACGTTATCTTTGAGATGAACGCTACGATGTATTTTTGGTAGTTTATAGAGTGATGTAAAGCCGGTACGAAGCCTAAATCCTACAGACGATTTTGCTATGCATAACCACATAGGGATATAAGTCTTGAAAAATAATAGATTGATATTTCTTCCAAAATGGAAATTAAAACATCACAACCAGACAGACAGACCCTCACCCCCGGGCCCCCTTCCCTCCCTTAGATACGGCCTTGAACCCTCTCCTTCTCCCCTCCCACACCGCTACTTGGACCCAATATTGATGCAGGAGCCTTAAAGGAAAGTGCTGCATTGTCTATAGATTCGCAGCTAGCTGAGGATACGTGATCCTGGTGCTACATGAATCTTATAGACTGGGGAATCGTACCGATTATCGTACTGATTATCGGATGGAATTTCACATTCGACACGCACCGACGGAATCGGGGGATGCAAGCGGGACACTGGAGGCGTCGTAGCGTCAGCCTCGACAGTGTCATTCGAGATCATAGCGTCACTCGAAGTAGGAGCGTCTGTCTGTGTCACAACGGCGGCAGAACCAGACCGAGTCAATATCACAGAGGCAATCGACCAGAGGGTTGCCGTCACAGAGGCAAGCAACCATTTGAGGAGAGGACGACTGTTGGATGCATCAGCAAGTGCGCAGGGCCTCTCGGTGGCGTCGATCCTCGCGATGGCATCCATATAGTCGTTGGAGGATGATGATTGGTGGTGCGGAAGGGTTGTACTGCCAAGCTAGATAAGACAAGCTCGTCAGCCATCTGTGACAAGCAGGGAAAAGAAAGCATTAAAACAGAACTTCCCATGAGGGCGGTGTCGCTCCCAGATGACACGTTCGGCCTTGGCCACAGAAGTTACGGGAGGGAGGGGGGGTATAAGGCGTGCTATACAGAGATTCATGTGTTAATGCCCATTCTCGTCACATCGATCAGTGCAGGCAGCGTACTTGCTGGTGACAGGAAAAAAGGTCGTTCAGGATGTCAAAAAGGGCCAACACAAAACCCCAAAGGGCCATCCATGGATAAGAAGGCAGGTGCAAAGCTTGATAAGCAACATGATGAGTTTGAAACGTGGAGAGAGGGAAAGAAAAGGGCTAAAGGGCACATTGGTACCACATATGTACTATTGTTTACCTGTGTGTATCTGAGGAAAGAGCCCTGCATCTAGATATCCTACATTGATATGTACTTGATAACTACATATGTAGTACTATGTGTTGATACTATGTGAATACTAGTAGTACCTAAATAGGATTGCCCCTTAGGCTCATACCAACAATAGTAAATCAAGAGATATCACCTATATCTTTGTCATTTCACATGTATGAATCCATCTCGACTCATTGAGACTTCCTTAAGTAGATAGAAGTTCCTTCCTAATGTTGTTGACTGTTGAGCCGGCTCTATCAATCAGTCAACACCGAATCGGCCGATTCTGTGAACGAAGTTAACTCCATGTGGCCCTTTTCTCACAGAACAGACAACACGCTGCTTGAGCATGTTTCGCGGGCGGTTGGTAATGGCAATGCCAACCTTGGAACGATCAACGATCAACGATCAACGGAACTGGAACAACAACCCCAATTGACACTGGCAATGTAAACAACCTGTTTTGTTTGTTTGATGTGTTCCAAGGTTCTCGAATTCTAAATTCTCGACGCTTCCTTTCATTCCGGTTCTATGGCAATTTTGTGGTTCTTTTTATACTTACCTCCTATCTCATAGCATAATAATGAGGTTTGAATTGGTCCTTGTTACTATTATGAAACTCAAGAAAAGGGTCCATACATTACTTAGGCAGTGAATTGTTCCAAGTTTGCGTCAACCCCACCAATATAAACTGTCAGGAGAGGACTACGTCGAAGTGCATGGTGTAATGTGAGATTGATTGGAGAGTTGAGAAAGCTAAGTTACGAGATTTGAAATCTGACAAACCTAGAAACTGCCACTGCCACTTACTTTCCCTTGCGCTCAACTGCATATGTAGGATATTGATTCATTTTCACCTAAAGCAATTGATCCATTCTGTCCTAGAATATAAATTTTGTATCTTTTGCATCTGTATGCTGTACATTGCAGGTATCGATTTCGGAAAAAAAAAGAACTTTTTTTGTTGATTGAAAACCCAGATTGAAGACCCAGAAAACACAAACGCCAACCAGTGCCATGATCGTCAATGATAACATTCGGATTGCTACTCGTTGTCCTGCATGTTCAACTCATCAAAGTCATCAAGCAGATCATCCATGTTGATTTTCGGCACGGCATTTCCCTCCTCGTCCACGTCATCATCACCGTCCTCATCCATCTGGTCTGGCCTGACCTGGTACTGGCGGTTCTTGTACAGATCAAGCGTTTGACGCAGCTCTTGATCCTCCTCAACGTCACGCAAGAACATTTCGTAATCTTGTTCCATCCTAGCCTGCTCCTGCTCCTGGCGCTTGTTTGTAGGAACATTGACTGTGGTGGCAGTCGCTTCCTCTTCGTGCTCGCGAGCCATACGCTTCAAACGCCAGCTGCGGGCCTTGGACTTCTTGCTGCGAACGTAGTGCTTCTTGATAAGGACCACATCCGGAATTGTTGAGCTGTACTGGCTGCTGTTCTCAATTGCTTCGAAGTTATCGTTGTTGAACTGGGTTCCCGACAAGTGGTACCCGAGAACAGAGTCACCCACGTGCAGAACACCACCGAGGTGAGTCCGTGTGAAATAGGTAGTATCGTTAGATCCTAGATCTGAGGCACGAGCAACTGTGGCCTCGGATAGGAGGTACCGACCATTAGAGTGGCCGGTAGATTCAATGTCTAAGACAATGAATTCCCTAAGCTCGGTGGTATCTGCAAGATTCGGGAATGGGTTGCGCCAGTAAGTGCTAGTAGGAAGATCGGTCATCCGAAGGGTGCAAGGGTCCATAAGATTGATAGACGTGCCTACCCGATGACAGATAGTGAGCGGGCTTATATCAGACAATGAGCGGGCCAGCTTAATCGGTAGAGCAACCAGATCATCCTTGCAAATAGGGATAATCAATGTCGAGTAATTAAACTTATAGCTGCTAGTAGAAGTATGAATGTCCATTGAAATTAATTCATGCGACTTCTTCACAGTGACCGGGATTACGCCTGGTAGCTGTTAGTAAACTTGTACCTATTGGGTAAAGGGGAAAACACCGACTTGACAAGAATGAAAGCATACGCTCGGCTTCATTCCTCTTTGCGAAGAAGAAATCAAGACCCTCGTTCACTTCCTTGATATTGACGGTATCCTTGTGGGCATTGTGCTTGAGGATAAGCTGTTCCAGGTACAAAAATGTCCGCTTGTGAGGTACTTTCTGACGGACTTGCACAGATGCCTCCCAGCTGTGATGCGTATAAGATTTTTGGCACTGCACGGAACGTTAGATCATATTTTCGAGGGTATATGCAATGTATTTCAAAGAAGTAGAAAGAAAAGACAACTTACACCAGGACACTGCTGATTGGCAACAACATATTCAACCTCAAATTGTTGCTGTATGATAGTGCCTTGGAAGGCCTCCGCTTGTGGGTTGTTAGCTTCGATCCCACGGCTGGATGTGCTGAAGCTGAATTGGCCTGCTGGGTAGTACTAACTTTGTATGGTGATCTTCAGCTTCAATCTCTTCGAATGAGGCTCCGTCCAAATGAAACTGGCATCGATGATTCGGACTTTGTTCAGACCACGGAGCTTGCGTAGACAAATGGCAAGTAGTTCCTTCGACTCGAGAGCTGCGACAACCCAGCTGTTAGGGGGCTGCAGCCACCGTTCACAATCCCTACAGCAGTGAATCACCGCTTCTCGTTGAACCTATAAGTTAAAGAGAATTCATGTCAGCTGGAACAAATTATAGGCGTGTAGGAAGGCTGGATAGAGTAATACATACACCTCCGGCAACATCGACAGTAAGACGAATGCAATCCGAACATAAGGCTCCAGCTGAGAGTGTTCCGTCGATGGCAGCGCCACAATTGCAGCAGAGAATTCTGTAGGTAAAGTAGTTAGTACCTAGAGTTGTAGTATCGAGAGTTTTGAAGGTTGGTTCGGCGGGGTTGGAATATGTAGAAAAAAAAGTTGCGATAAGAACTCACGTCGCTGCGACTTTCTCCTGCTGCGCGAAATAGACGGGTTCATCCAGATCCATCGACATCTTGATGAGTGGGATAAGGAACCCAAGACTGAAAAAATCACTGGGGTATTGAAGACTCAAAGAGTTTACAGCGCCATGGATTTGTGATAATTGCCCCCCACCTGGGCACCTGAATCTTTTTTCTGATGACTCAGCTGTTTGCAGAGTTTGCACCGGTTATCTGATATCACCGGAAGGGAGCAAATCAACGAACTAAACTGTTGGAATCAAGATCCCCATTTCTTTTTCCAATATAATTATCACCATGAGCAGGGCTCTCTTGCGAGGGGCTGCGTGCCAGTCTTGTCGGCATGAGGTGCTGCGGTCCTTTGTTTCTGTCTCCGGCATCCCAATGCCGCGATCCTCTCCTCTTTCCTCCCGTTCGATCTCCAACCCTAGAGCTTTCTCCGCCGTAACTTTACTGCGCTCTGATCGTCCTCCAACTTTGAACCAGCTTGACACTCTTCTGTCTGAACCGGAAGAGCCATCATCGCACTCGGATACCAATACGCCAGCTTCATCACAGCATGTCCCCTGGTATCTGCAGGAAGAGGCGCCGATCATTAAAGAGCGCCCGTTGACCGAAGCCCATCTTCCCCAGATCCCAGACGATTCGCCAGAGATGCTCTCGACTCTATTGGAGTATACGTACAAGGACTTGGGATTGGATGATCTCAAGCTTTTTGACCTACGCGGCCTCGAAATCCCTGCAGCTCTCGGTGCCAATGTCATCATGATCATCGGAACTGCTCGCAGTGTGAAGCATTTGAACGTGTCAGCGGATCGTCTCTGTCGCTGGCTGAGAAGTCAATACAAATTGTCTCCCTACGCCGACGGCTTACTTGGACGCAACGAGTTGAAAATTAAACTCCGCCGCAAGGCCAAGCGAGCACGCGCTGCCAGTGCAGCAGGTGCAATGGTTGACGAAAAGGATGATGGAATCACCACAGGATGGATCTGTGTAAACGCGGGTATGGTGGACAAAGGCGCTACTACGACCCAGTTGAGCGATGTTGGAATTGAGGGATTTGGTAATCTTGACCTTGGGACTAGTGTGGTTGTCCAGATCTTTACCGAGGAAAAGCGGGCTGATGTTGACCTTGATGGCCTCTGGGAGGCTACTTTGGCCCGTGAAGGACGCAAGAACATCCGGCAGAGCTCAGAAGGTTTCTCCAAGACTGGTTCGGCGCCCCCCAGGTCTATGTCCGATGGATTTGGCTCCATTCCTGGCCAAAAGAGAGGCCTTCATACCATGCGTAGACTCGCACTATCTGCCATGAACTCCACCGAGTCTGGGATAGAAGCTGGTTTCCCTGGCATGGAAACTTCGTCTTCCACACTTCCAGGCGGCGCTGCAGCAGTTGCATCTCAATTGACACCGACATCTTTGCTTCAGATTCTCGCTGAACTTCCGGCCGATAGTGCACGAAATGAGCTTGGAAGCGGCCCAAATGATCGCCAGTCCACTCTTTTTCTACGGCTCTTCTATAACAACCACGCCGCGCGGTTTTCTGCACAGGAAAAAGCCACCTTTCGATTGAAATTGCTTTCCATTGCTGTGTCTCGGCAACACCTAGCTTATACCAAGGACGCACTTTTTAGCACATTCTCTGATTTTCTTCGCGACGGGTATGACCTTCCGGATGACCTTGGATTCGATGTTGTTTCTGCGCTTCTAACGCCGAGAACAGCGGGTGCTATCACCGAGCAGTCTGAGACTCATTTTCCAGAGGCTGACATGGAGCTTGCTTTGTTAGTGCTGGATCGCTTGAGCCTCCGTGGTGTGCCGATTTTGAACATGAAGATTTTCAATATTCTCTACCAAGCAGTCTGCGCACCCAATCCGGCACCTGCAAGCATGAACGAATTGCGCCCGGAAGTGAGTTCTCCAAGTTCGTCCGTGATTCAACGGGCCGAGTATCAGAAACCAATCTTGTCTCGACTGTCCAAGATACTCGCGGCGGCCAACATTCCATTTGACGCAGTAGACGCGCGTCAGCTTATGGTGACATTATTTCAATGTGGGGATTACGACGGTTTCTGGCGACTGTGGCGCCAGTTTCCCTTGAAAGGTGCCAATCGGACACAAGAGGATTACGTGCAGCTGTTCAGGTTGCATGCCGAGCTGGGCGAGGAAGTGCGAGCGCGCGAGTGTCTGTCAGTGGGGGTAGCATTGATGAATCAAGAGTCCCCTGCCATTGTGCTACAAGGTCCGATCGTGACAGCCATCATGCATTGTATTTTGGTGGCAGACCCGACACTCCAGAACCGAGATGAAGGAGCGTCTCCGAGCTTCTACATGGCGCTCTGGACTAAGTGCCAAGAGGCACTTGCGCGGGAAAATTGAATGATGAGGGATCAATTTGTAAAATAATCTAGCATATATTCTCCAGTGTACAATATTACATGCGTATCTAATGTTAAATACTGAACTTGTAATTAGATCTCCGATGAATGTAGGGCATGGATGGATCCAGGTGCCCGGAGCGACGTAGTCAGCTCGGATAAGTTGAGCCTCGGCATATGATCACTGGTTCCGGCGACTCTTCCTCTCCATCTCTTTTCAAACACCTTCAAACACCACCCTAATAAGGATGACCGGCACTCCTGACGATGGAATACCTTCCTAGTCTTCAACAGGAGTTCGACGAGCACAAGCCATCGCTCTTCGGTAAGTCGATTGATGCTTCCCCGCGTAGATGGAGACCCCAGACACCGGGAACCCCCCATACGTGACTGGAATCGCTAACGCGGAGATCGTGCTCGACAACAGAACTCCTCGCTGAGCAACAGCTCTCGGATCTTCTTCCTCCATCTTTGCGTTATCTTCTCGCAGTCGCAACACACCGCCACCCGCGCTACCTCCTCCGGATCCTCAACTCATACGACGAAGTCTACGCCCTCCTTTCATTAATAGTCGAACGTTACTACCTGCGAACATTCGGCGGCTCCTTCACAGAAAACTTTTATTCCCTGAAACGTGAGCGCGTTCTCCGCACCAAGAATGGCGAGATCCCGCGCGCCCAGGTCGGCGCCGCAGGCCCCGTGCGCGAGGCCCTGAAGCTACACTCGACGGACATTTGGAAGAACTTGTTCGTCATGGTTGGCATCCCTTACCTAAAGCGCAAGTTAGACGAAGGATACGACATTCATGCCGCCCCACATGCATCCCTGGTCACCAGTGGCGGCCCACGATATAACCCCAGCGACGACCTGCCGGTCAACCCGTCGCTTCGCCAGCGCATCTTCTTCTACTATAAGTGGTTCCTGCGCAATGTCTACCCATCCGTGAATGCGGCATACTATTTCTCCGTTCTGGCGTTTAATCTCGCCTACCTCTTCGACAACACAAAGTACTCCTCCCCGTTCCTATGGCTTATCGGCACGCGCATCCGCCGCCTTGGCACCGCAGACCACCGCGCCATCGCCGCAGTGCTAGATCCCAAGCCTGGACCCAGCACTGGGCGATCTCAGCGACCCGGCGGAGGCCTGCTGGGTCTCCTTAGTCCCCAGAACCTTCATACCCAGCTCTTGACCTCGCTGCGCTACTTCCTTCCTGCGTCGATCTTCGCTCTCAAGTTCCTAGAATGGTGGCATGCAAGCGACTTCTCTCGTCAGCTCGCCCGCAAGGCAACTGAGGTCCTAGACCTGCCCGCCCCCGTTGTGGCAGGCTTGACTTCTCCCGCGGAACGACGGAAATCGTCAATCCAAGACGAGAAAGAAAAGGCCAAGAAGCAGGCTGAGCAGGAGAAGAAGAGCGCTGCCGGCGATCTTAAACCAGCACTCAAGCCTCCTCGTCGCCATCAACCTCCCATCTCCGCGACTTCTTACCTTCCCATCTACACTGTGTCTTTGCCTCCGGCTGATCCCTCGAGCGCCAATACTTGCCCTGTCTGCATGGGTGCGCTCGTTAACCCGACTGCTTGTCAGACGGGATACGTGTTCTGTTATGTGTGCATCTTCCACTGGCTGAACGGTGAGCACCAGCGCCAACTGGATTTCATGGCCGGCGAGGGCGCTGGCGCACCGTGGGAAGAGGAGATCACAGGTGATGACGAAGAGACGAAGAAGAGTCCTAGTGGAGATGACTCTGAAGAAGGCCCCCGCAAACGATCTGGTAAATGGGAGAGTGGAAAGGGGAGGTGTCCTGTCACAGGGAGGAGAGTGCTTGGAGGCACTGATGGATTGAGGAGGGTATTGGTTTGATCCGGGCTTGCGTAGTCCCAATTTTCGATATATTAATCGTTAGTAAGCGCACATTGTACAGCAGATTACTTTGGATTGGAGTCTGAAAGAGGGGACATCATTGCTCGAACTGTATATACGATCCAACAACAGAAATCCTGTTTCCCGTCCTCTTATCCCCATTTTAAATACTATCTAGGGCTCCTCAATACCAAGTCGAGATCATGAAGATAACGAAAACCGTAGTGATGCCACGTCGGGACTGGACACATCCTCTTTTCAATCAGTGAACATTCATATACTATACATAAGTTTTGACAGAAGCTATCGACTTTCGGCCCTTTGATTTAGTACAGCTTCTGAGTACTCAGTTTCTGCTAGGTGCCGGTTTCGAGGGTACGTGCCTTATTCTACCACCGTAGCTCATAACCAATGTCTCATAGATACCTGATTCTTAATGGATACAGTTCTGAATTAAACGATACATACATTCCATAGCTTTAGCCTCCGTATCATATACCCACCCTATATGATTGTATTATAACCCTCACAACCCGATGGGCCCTATATTTCATGCCCTTTCTCTAAGACTTCTCCTTTAGAGACCATAATCCTCAACTCAGCAACCCTAGAGAGTGCTTTTAGTCGAAATATACCCTGGGAGATTGGCGCTTCGGGTTTTGGCAGCGTGTCGACCCTTTGTTCTGACACGAGATGAAAATAACCCTCAAGTACCATCGAGATGTAGATGAACTGTGCCCACAGAAGTACCAGACTTAGTTTGTAGTGACACTGATATAACCTCTTGCATGTCATCCTTGTCCCCCGAGGACCGATGGGCGGCACTCCTAGATGAGAATATCAGAATAGAAAATATTTGGACTAGATGTTTCAAGTCCTAACATACAGAACGTTTGCAAAGATGATCTTTGGATCCTGAAAGGAGTTAGAATAAGAAGGTGCATATTGCTTAAAGGTTAATATGTCAACTCACGGCTGTCTTGATTGAATTGCAGACTGCTTCTGTCGTATCTCGCCATTGCTGGCCGTTGGTGCCATTCCTAGTGACAATGTCCTCGAGAGGAGAGCCAATGAATTGGATTAATCCCCTCTTAGTAGGCTGGTAGTTCCTGATGGACTTGCTGGCCATCGTAGAAATTAGGGACGTTCAAAGAGTTAGTATGGAATTGAAGCATTCAAAATTGGAGGATGTAGTTGTGGAAACGGTGGGGGTATTGATTTAGTGCAGCAGTAGGAGGGAGGTTCAAATCTTACAACGATGATCAGAAGACAACCAAGTACAGATGTCTCTCGTAATTTCCATCTTAGAAGCCAAGGTTAGAATCTATGCTTTGAGTCAATACCCGCCGACTAGTATATGGAACTAGGTTCATAGTCCGACACTATTCTTAGCGATGACGTTGCAACGGCCCTTGAGACGCCCACTCAGATATTATAGCTTCATGTTGAGTAGGCCACTTCTTATCGAGGCCTATATTAATTTGCCCACTTGGCGTATCCGCAGCCATGTAGGATTACGTCTATGAGTAGAATGTTTAGTAGGTAGACCCCGGGTTAAATTTAAGCGCGAATATTAAATCCAAAACTGGTTTAGTTCACGGGTGTATCTATGGATGAAGTAGTGATAGATGTAGAGCCAACCTTGGAGGGTTGGAAGAGTGGAACCTGCGAGATGCCTCCAGCTAAATGACCGGGTCTAGATAGCAGTGCTAGTTGCCCTCCTAACTCCTCGGCCGTACAAATTCCCGGAACAGAGACACCTTAGTTCGGCCTTTCCGGGATGAGTCAGGGCAATTTGGAGGGCATCAAGAAGTAGCTGGTTTCCAGATGTCACTCTCGAGAGCCTGACTGAGAAGAAAGAAAAATAACAGGGCTTTCGGTGACTCCGGATAACCTTGTAGCGAAGCCCCGAGAACAACCTGACGACTTTGCAACTGTGATATGACGAGCGGCTGGTGAAAGGTCTAGGGGAATGGGTGAGCAAATAGTTGGGCCAAACAGAAGGATCCCAGAGCATCAAATATGGAGACTCAGACCGGCAATGGACCAGTCTTAGCATTGCTCCTCAGGGCATATCTTCCACCTGATCTTCCTCTTTATCTTCATCTTCCTCATCTGCCTCATCCTCGTCCTCATCTTCCTCATCTTCCTCGTCTTCCTCACCTTCCTCATTCCCCTCGCATGGTTCATCGTCCACGTCACACATCTCCTCGTAAAACAACTGGGCCCATCTGTCTTCTTCGTCATCGCACTCATCGTCATCGCACTCAGCGAGGCAAGATCGATTCCTATTTTAGGCCAATATTACCAGATGATGTGGAGTCTAAGCTGCAAAAACTCACTATCCACTGGTTGACATAGGGCTCGAGAGAAGTATGTTTCAATGAGTCTTACTAGCATCTGCGTGTCGACGTCCGAGCTATGCCACCGTTTGACAAGCTCAGCGTCCTCGGGGAATATGGCACGGTATAGGTGCCCTAATGCGAGCGGAGCGTCCGCAGCGGTGTAACCGAGGGTTTTACGTACGGCCGAGAACCATGCCAATGGCCGTTCAGGCCATTTGGGTTGTGGCGGAATGAGGTGACCCTTCCCAACAGACCCAAGGCCATGGTTCAGACACTGGTAATCACCGTTAGTTGCTCCCCATTCAAGGAAGATCTCCAGTCTCCCATTTTCCTGTAATCGGTCAGATATCCTGCACAAGATCATCAATTGATATTTATAGGTAGTACTTCAACGTAGGATTCGATCACATCGGCAATTTCTGCCCAAGTGAGCCCTGGTGTCTGTCGTGTCCAGTCCCCGGGACCGTACGCGTTTCTCAAAACGGCCATGGTCATTCCGAAATCTGGCCGCTGCACCTTTGAGCCCGTTCCTTGCTGTTGATCATAGACGGAGCAAAGCAGGGCAGCACATTCCCCTATACTCATTTCATGGTTAATAGGTGTTTTACGGACGATCCACTCTCCCTTGGCGTTCGCCAGGGAAAACTCCATGATGGACTGATGCTTGAGAATGTTTTGATATTGCGGAAGATACTCAAAATCGCCAATGGCCACCGTATGAGGACTGTCCCCCCAAGCCTTCATCACTCGATGGATTTCGGGCGTTAGTGGAAAGCTCGCATGCAGCCAGTCAACGCTGTGGCCTTGAGCCAGATGCTTAGGTCCCTCTGTCTTCCAGATACCCATAGACATACTCTGCGGGCTAACAGCCGAGGGCTGCCGGGATCGTTCAACACAACCAACAGTTTGGTGCTCCCCAAGCGCGTCTGCATCAGCAAACTGTCGGCTGCACGTACTGCAAATGGCAACCTTGCAGACAAGAACATGCTGGGGAAACTCATCGCACTCGACTCGTTGTCTGCAATTGGAGCATTTGATCGCACGGCACACATGGCCCTCTTCCCGAGAGCCATCGAGGTCACCACATTGATAACACACATTGCATGAGACCCGATGCTGCTCCACCATGTCTAGGGGAATCCGGCGTTTGTTGCAACGACTGCAATTGCGATACTGACATCCCATTTTATGGCTTTCCAATTCATCGATGGGAATTTTGTTCTCTCCGCAGCCCGAACAATAACAAAAACCGCATGTAGCAACGTGACTGGCCTTTTCGGCCACTGGCAGTTTGTTCTTTCCACATTTGTAACACCTCCAAAGTCCGCAATTATGGAACTTGAAAGCTTCCCTTGTCATACGCTTTCCGCAACCCTTACACAGTTGGACAGGACATTCTTGAATGTGAGATTTACGTTGGGTTAGCGGTAGCTTCTTCCAGCAGCGGAGGCAGACCCAAGTGGAACATTGCTGAAGATGTTCTTCCCGTACGGCCACTGGAAGATTATCTTCCTTGCACGTGCGGCACTTCCAAAGTCCGCAATTATGCGAATCGAGGGTCTCCTTCGGCATCCGTTCTCGACATCCTTGACATTGTCGAAATGTGCACTCTTGGCGGTGACGTTGGCGTTGGGTTGCTGGTAGGTTTTCTTTGCAATGGCAGCATATCCAACGCGTACATACTGCGAAATGCGCATGTATTTCACTTCGACGTATCGTTTTGCCGCATTCGCGGGAACATTTCCACATTTTACAGTGTCGTTCGTGAGCCCTCCGTTCGTCTACCAAAAATTTCTCCTGGCAGTGGCGGCACCTTACCTTCACACAACTGCGTCTGTGCTTGGAAAGTTCTTGGTTTGCGATTTCTTCGCCACAGTTGCGGCAACGCGTGCTACCCAGTTTAAACCAGGTGTCATCCAGGCCCGGACCAGTGCAGTTTATGAGGTGGTCATTGAGGCCCTGTTTGTAGAGCATCTCGGAACCACAATGCTGGCATGTAGCACGTTCAACTACGAAACCCTCTTTTTTAGCAATAACAAAGTGCGCCCTTGTCTCTTCTTGTGTAGGCTTGCGGGGGCCAAGCCCGGGACAGTTGGTAAGGTGATGTTGCAATGTCTGTGGTGATTTTGCAGAGCACGAAATACCACAAACTAAGCACTCGCCCCGGATCTCGACATAGGTTGGATCTCGATAGATCCGGAACTGTTCCCGGATACCTTGAATTTCAACTTTACGTTGTCGTTTCCTTGCACTAGCATCCCCCGGGGCTGGTTCTTCTTCATGGAGGGATCGCTTTTTCCCTGGCATGACTGTTTCTCGTGAGCATAGAACATATGAAAGATATCCCCTTTAAGAGCTCACCGGGCAATGTGCAGGTAGAGAATTCAGTTGATGTGATATCAAAGTAAAAGAAAGAGAGAAGAGACGCTGACTCGCCAGGTTAGACAGTCTAGCTTTAGAAATATCTTGGAAGCAAGTGATACTAGAGCGAGAGGTCAGGGTTTGCTCGGGTGCTGAGATAGTAGGAGTAACTGAAAAGCGAGAGGATAGTGAGAGCAAGATGAGGCAAAGGAAAAGGATGCAACACGATAAACTGAGTCTATCAGGGCGATCTAATATTGGAATCAATTGTTTGTATGTCTACATTGGATTGTCAAGCTTCTATGTCGATTTCGATGGACCTAGGAAACAATTAAAATAAAGGCTAGGGATCTGAAATGAAAAAGAGACTAGATAAAGGTAGCTTGATATTTATACACTTGTATATCTTTGAAAAAGCCATCTAAGTTGTGTTATATGTAGGTACATGTAGTTATATAGTAATCTGAATATCCCAAACCAGATTTAGCCCTAAAATGCGTTTATGACCAGTTGGCCGCTAATTACAGCGACGTCATGTGTGGGGACCTCCCTCTTTGAACTTCAAACATCGCCTTTGACCTGAAATCATCTGAATATGCAGCCTTTCCAGCTGCATTTTGAGTCGATTTGAGTCCCTTGAGCTATGGAGAGCTTTGATGATGTTTCTCTCATCGGACTAGTGTCCCAGGAAATGCCTTTCCACGATGACCATCTCCCGATTCCATCCGGCCCTTCAGACCCGAATTTGGCAAAACAAGACACCACAGGGGTACCAACTTCGACCCAAACGACCAGTATCAGACCCTCTTCGCGAATAGAGCGCACCGATGACGCTGGAATAATCGATGACGCCTCAGTCGTGTCAGAATTCCCGTTGCCTTACAACCCACCGCCTGGAGCTCGGATTGAGGAGGAAGAGGAAGGGGATGGGGAAGGCGAGGAGCCACAGGTAGCAACTTCCTTTGAGCGAGAGGCTTCGCCGACTTTTGCGCAGAAACACCGATCAGCTTTAGACAACTCGGAGGACGAAGGGATCAACCGTATGCACAAATTTACGTTGTATGAAACCGCGACTCGATTCTATATGGTCGGCATCAATCTTGCGGAGACTCATTTTCGGATTCTGAAAATTGATCGGACCTCGGAATCTGGCGAGTTGAGCATTACCGAGGATGACATGGTGTACAACAAAAGAGAGATGGTTCAGTTGCTGGATGCAATCGACGACGGCAACAAGAGCTCTGGCGGATTGAAGCAGAAGTGCAGTGCATGGGCATTACTTGGCTTCATCCGATTCACGGGCGCATACTACATGTTACTTGTTACCAAGAGGAGCCAGGTTGCCATGCTGGGTGGTCACAATGTTTATCAAATGGATGAAACCGAACTGATCCCATTGACCACCTCGGAACCTTCACATCTTAAGACTGAGAAGCATTCGGAGGAGGCGCGATATATTGCGATTTTGAACAATCTGGACTTGTCACGCTCTTTCTATTTCAGCTATTCCTACGACATCACTCGCACACTCCAGCATAATATCTGCCGGGATCGCGAGGCCCACCAGGATGGCCATCCACAACCGTCTTCGCATGATTACCATTCCATGTTTATTTGGAACCATCATCTCCTTTCCCCGGCTGCTGAGGCCCTTAAGAATCCCTACGAGTGGTGTCTACCTATCATTCATGGATATGTGGATCAGTCAAAGATGAGTGTCTATGGACGAGTGGTCTACATCACAATCATCGCGCGTCGATCCCGATTCTTTGCTGGCGCGCGCTTCCTCAAGCGAGGCGCAAACGACCTGGGATACGTGGCCAACGATGTGGAGACCGAACAGATTGTATGTGAACAGACAACAACATCATTCCATTCTGCTGGCCCAAGGCTTCATGCAAACCCTCACTATACTTCATATGTTCAACACCGTGGGAGCATTCCTCTTCACTGGACTCAAGAAAACACGGGCGTATCGCCGAAACCGGATATTGAGCTTAACCTCGTGGATCCATTTTACTCGGCTGCGGCGTTGCATTTCGACGATCTATTTCGAAGATATGGCGCTCCAGTCTATGTTTTGAACCTGGTCAAGTCTCGCGAACGAACTCCGAGAGAGTCAATACTTCTCAAAGAGTTCACCAATGCTGTGACTTACTTGAACCAGTTTCTTCCAGAGGACAAGAAGCTCATTTACGAGGCGTGGGATATGAGCCGTGCTGCAAAAAGCCGGGATCAGGATGTCATTGAGACGTTGGAAGATATTGCAGGCGATATCATTCCCAAAATTGGCTTTTTCAAGAATGGGGATGACGCAGAATCCGGTTTGCAGCTTCAGAACGGTGTCGCAAGGACCAACTGCATTGATTGCCTCGACCGAACAAATGCTGCACAGTTTGTCATTGGCAAGAGGGCACTTGGCTATCAGCTCCATGCTCTTGGTGTCATAGATGACACCACTGTAGAGTATGATACTGATGCTGTCAATCTCTTCACGAACATGTGGCATGACCACGGAGACACTATCGCTATCCAGTACGGCGGATCGCATTTGGTGAACACTATGGCTACCTACCGCAAGATCAATCAATGGAGCAGCCACTCTCGTGACATGGTGGAAAGCTTCAAGCGGTATTACAACAACTCTTTCCTTGATGCTCAGCGCCAAGAGGCATATAACCTCTTCCTTGGAAACTACACTTTCGCCCAGGGCATTCCGATGCTTTGGGACCTTCCAACAGACCACTATCTCCACCATACAGATCCCAAATCCCACTTTGACAGAAAGAAACCCAGCTACATCTCTTGGTACACACCAGAAAATCTGAAGCCCAGGGAATTCCCACCCCTCCCATTCCGTCCCAAAGCACCACTCTCACATTTCGACGACTTCTGGCTGGAATACTACCGACCACTCGCTTTGTCTTCCCTATCCAAAGTCTTCTCCTGGAAAATGAACTCCACGTCCCGCTACCTACCCCCAGTCCGCCCAGGACACCCAGTCCCCGATCTCAGTCCCTTCGTACCCCGCATCCCCCCAGAGCAAATCCAACGCGAGCGCCTACCACAGCGCAGCGTCAAGATCCAAGAGCCATCCGTCAGCCGCAGTCGCGCCTCATCAAGCACCATGCCAATACCCGAATCCGCACAAACATGGGCCCACCAACCACCCTCATCTGAAAAAAACCCGCCTCTCACGGGCATCATCAAAGAGCCTGCTTTCAAAATCCCCCATGTATCCCGCATCCCACCCATCGACCCTCCAAACGCCCACTCCACCCCCAGCAAAGCGGAGATTGCCCAGTGGACCCTCGGCCAGCTAGTCAGTGACTCGCTGAGCCCCTCTGTCACCAATGCCGAGGCAGAAGAATACGAGCGGTACATCAACCACCCGCTTAAGGTCCCGCTTGTTGTCACATCCGAAGATGAAATGACAGCTTCATCATTGCAAGACCACGGCTATAACCTCGATCTCCTGGAGTACGCGAATAAGTGCAATGTTGAGGAATCTGCGCTGGAGGCGAGGGCTGGGATAAACATGCTTGCTTATGCTGAATTCTTGGATGTCTCCGAGGACGGTCTTACTGTGGTGGGTGAGGATTACGAGAAGAAGAGATATAAGCGGTACCGCCAATGGTTGCGCGGGAAGAGTCTCTTCAAGCAGCGGGTTGATCCATGATGTTACGAATTCTGTGTCCGTTTTTCTTTTTGTTTTGGCGTTCAGTGCAGCAAATTGATACCCTCATTGCATATTATTTTACTTTATTGAAGTTTTTATGGACCGTCTCTATTTACTACCACCCAGATTTCAAGGGCAAGTTTTGACTTGAATCCAACAGATATCTTTAATTGATATTGTCATAATTGTTGTTATAAGCATTTCCCTAAATAACCTCCCAGACATAAATTGACAGTAACGTTTAAGCAAAAAGCCCCTTAAGCTCTGCATCCGTATCAATAAGCTCCTGGAACTCCTTATCCACATTTTCCTTTACCTGCACCTGTTCTGGCTCTGGGACATCATCCGCGATAGCAACAGGGTTCAGCAAAACAAGCTTCAAAACCTGAAGCGTCTTCTGCAACTCGCGCTTCATCTCAGCTAGCTCAGCCACGGACTCCCTGCTATCCTCGGCAATATGGAGCCAGCACAAAATAAGCCCGCTCAGGATCTCACCGCGCCAGCGCCAGATACGTGGGTGTGCGTTCTTGATCACCGCCTGCGTAGCTGCTGCTGCGGCTAGCAGGAGTGGGGGATGTGCTGTTCCGAAGGGGTTTGATAGTGTTGTGTAGAGGACTGGGATGAGTTCTTGGAGGTACTTTGTAGTGTGGATTCCCAGCTCGTTGGTGATGATGGTTATATTTTCTAGGAGGAAGGTTGAGAGACGGGGGTGTGGGAAGGATGCCGTCGAGCCGGAGGCTGGAGTGCTGGAGCTGACGTGGTGGAAGGAGGAGATGAGGTTTGATCGGAGGATTTTGGCGAGGCTGGTAGTGTAGGCTTCCTTATCCTTTTCGGATTGGTTGGGGCCTTTGTAGGCGGTTTTGAGGGTGGAGAGGAGGGCTGGGTATGCTGCTCCTAGTAGATCTAAGGATCTATCCTCGGGTGTGATGGATGGTAGGGATAGAAGACACGGCGTGACGGCGTCTTCAAAGACGGAGGTGAGGTTTGTTCGTCGGATGATGTCCGAGCCGCTTTCTTGGATCGGTTGCAGCAGCTGAGCGAGTAGGGCACAGCCTTTTGTTTTGAATGGGAGGTTGTTGTCGTCAACCATTGCTAGGATAGTGGGCACGAAAAGCTGGAAGTGCGCTTCGAATTGCGTCTTGTCCTCGGGTTGGTACTGTGAGAGGATCCATGACAACACAGATGCGACGTAGACATCGGCTGTCTTCCATGGTTTTGCTGATGCATCCAGATCGCTTGCACCGAAGCGAGGTAGAGTTTGAGGATGGAAGTTCTTGCGGCCGGCACTGGTGATGGCGGGATTTTTTGTCTTTGCAAAAAGAGGCCTAATCCTGTCCCTAAGGATGAAGTCGATAGCAGGCCAGAATGCATTGCTGCGACGAGTGTCCTGAACCCATACGTTCATGAGCATCGACGACGCATTGTAGCTCTCTGATGTGGCCCATGGGTTTTGCTTGTTGGCAAAACATGCTCCCGCGAGAAGAATATCTGCCGCATTGTCTGGCTTGCCATTTGGCAATCCTGCCAGGGGCTTGTTTAAAACCAAAATCAGCTCCAGAGCAAGCTCAGATCTAAACCGACTCTCGTTCTGGGCCTTGATAATATCTGTGTGGCACAATTAGTAAAAGCTTCACATTTTTTTATTAAAGAACTTACCGTCTGAAATATCGGCAGTCTCATCAAAGCTGACTGCAAAATCCGACGAAGGCAAAGCAGCAGCACTCGCCCAGTCGAACAAGTTGTTCACAGCCTTGGCCTCAGCTGGTTTTAGGGGTCGCGGGCCTTGGTCATTTGGAAGCATCCCATCCCAGTAGTCGATATAACTGGTCACGGTAACGAGACTCTCGCAAATCTGGAAAATTAGTTCATCTGCCTGGATCAAATTGATCGAAACATACATTCAAATGCGTCGAGTGATCGTAAGCAGCAACGTCTTGCCATAATTGAGCCAAATCACTTTTGGACGCAGCCGCAACGGCGGGGAAGAAACCGATTGGCATTTTGCCAGGGCTCTGCACGAGAGCCTCACGGGCTTCTTTGCGCAATTTATCCATTGCTAAAATATTTACAACAAGAATGGAAGAGAAGAAGTTGTAAACATTGAATTGTTAAGTAGTTTAAGTTGTCCGCGAATGGGGTTTTCTTTGTCATCGGGATCTTCAACGTCACTCTAATTCTGCTCGTCGACCCGCGATCTCCTCCAGCGCCTTTTCCTTGTCGGTGATATCAGGATGAAGAAGTTGCCATTCCAGCGCCATGCTAACTGCCTTGGACATCCAGGGTCCCTTTTTAGCACCCAGACTTTTCATAATTTCGTCGCCGTTTACAATGGGCTTGAGGTCACAAACACCCTCCAGGTCGTTTTCTACAATGTACGCAAGGAACTGGTCGTATTCACGAGCCACTACACATCGTGAGAATTGGAATGTTATCATCAGGGGGTGGTGGATCTTACCTTCTGCAAAGTCACGGAGCGCCATGTTTTCTTGCAGGATAGCCAGGAGAATGCAAAGCTTCCAGTCCTTACTCCACGACCGCATTTGCAACCCAATCCGCTGTCGGATTTCTGCCGGTGTTCCACTCATCTCGTTGGCGAGAAGTGTAGTCTTGGTCGCAATTGTTTCCTTGTAATGCAGAGCAGCAGCGCGGAGCGCACTGAGAGTCTTGTTGTCACTGCGAAGGCTGTCCCTGCCAACCTCAACCGCTCGCGGGGGTAAGGGCTTAGACCCTTTCCCGGTACGGCCGGGGATCGAAGCCCAGGGAGCAAAGGTTGCAATCATCCAGGCGTAGTATATGGTAGTTTCGTCGCGGAATAGGATCTCACGAATGCGCTTAGTAACTGCCTGAAGTTCTTCGCTATCACCAGCCTCTGGATGCAGCAATCGTGCCAAAGTATTGTAGGCAAGGGGCCATCTCGATGTATCAGCCTTGACCTCGTCCTGATGATTAGCGAAGATAGTGGGGAACAGCTGGAGTCGATCGATGAACTGCAATGCACCGCGAGGGTCCGGGCCTAAGATATGAGAAATGACTTGTCAGAAATGTAAAGTACCGGGCAAGTGCAATCACTCACCACGCAACATCTTTTCCAGCTCGGCTCCCACTCGCTCTTTACTGATTTTGAGCTTCAATGCTTCGCGGATATCTTCAATCTGCATAGCGGCTTCGGTTTCGGGCTCGATTTGGTACCCCAGTCTGCTCGCAAAGCGGATCAATCGAAGCACACGCAGTGGGTCATCTTTGAAGGTTTGGTATGGTTCCATTGGGCATCGAATAATATTTTTCTTCATGTCGTCCAGTCCTCTCTCAGTGAGATCCTCCAACCGTGACTCATTTAGATTGTAGAAAAGCGCATTGATAGTTGCATCGCGTCTCAGAGCGTCTTCGACAGCGGTGCCGAACTCCATCTGAGGATTTCGACTTTCATCTGTGTATGTTTCCTTCCGTAGATTGACCAAATCAATATCCAGGCCGAAGATCTTGGTTGTGACGGTCTCGAGGTGCTTTGACTTCTCTGGGTTGGCCTCGATTTTGTGAAGGCTCACAATGGCGTCGTGCATTTCCCCATTTGGGAGGCCTTGCTTGTATTTTTCAAGGTGCTCTGGAATATCCAGGTAGTCTTTCAGGGCCATACCAAACTGGTATCCCGTCATATTGCTGATGCCCACGTCGATATCATGGCTCTCGATTCCGAGCAGGTTGTCTCTGACCCACCCGCCGGTGAAGCGCAAGACAGTCTCGGAGTGATCTTTCGCAGTGCCGCCTCCCTTGGCGATTTTCTGCTCGGTGATGTATTGTGCGACATCGAGGAGTAGGGTTCGTAGGGTGCTCTCAAGTGGAGTGAGTTCGATGGTAGGCATGGCGGGGCTCATGGTTGCATATGAGCCTTCCCGCGTCGGGGAAGAAATGCGTCGCCTCTTGCTGACTCGTTCTGAGAAGTCCGGGTCTAATTCGGGGTTGCGCATGGAAGTGCGACAAGGTACTGATGTAGAGTAGGTTCGGAGGGGTAGATGTTGTTGAAACGGGCGTATTTGACCAGCTCTTCTCGCTAGAGTGCGGGCAAGTGGAGCTTTAACTGAAGAGAGACCAGAAGCCTTAAATGAACACACGAGAGGGCGCAACTGCATTGAACGTAGCCAGGTTGAATGCTTTGAGAAAGTGAGTCAGTTTGATTTGTCGATAAGCATGGCCCTCACGTGGTTTGCATCACCACTTGGAGATCGACAATCAGCCTCTACCTGAGAAGTACTCTGTGTTTCGTTTATAATTGACTAAGGCGATCCTCAACTTCCTTAAAAGGCTTTAGTGCCCAACCTGTCCACGGGTTCTGTTATATTTCGTTGTTGCCCGTGTGAGTGCTTATCAGCCCGAATCTGTCGACTTGGCTTTCTCCCCAACAACACCTCCGTGAAGCATCCCACTCGCTCTATTACACCTCGTTCGACCTCATCTACCAGTCGATGGGGCCTGTCGATCAACTTCACTCGCTTTAAATCTGCACAAAGCAGCAGGTGTCCGCCCATGACATCGCCCGGAGATGCTGCTCCGGTCAAACCTCCGCCGTCCTTCTCTCCCGGCGTTGCGCGAGTCGCATCCACATCACCATCACGATACCCCGGGGAGCATGAAACAACTCAATCTTTAGATGCTGAACTGGCAGAATCCCAAACAGTCTCATCGCCGACCCCTCTTTCTGCCACGATCGCCGACTTACCAATACGATCTGGCTCGTCGCACTCGCGCTCTGGGAGGTCTTCCACTCCACAATTAGCAAGGTCATCAATCGGTTCGCCTTTTGATGGAAGGTTTGATGGCTCGGAAGATATAAGGTCATTAATTATTCGGTCATTCTCACCCACGATCGCAGTCCATGCCTCCGAGGATACCGACGATTTGGTGAGGAGCAAGGGGTTTAAGGGGGGATTTTGGGAGTTGGTCCGGCCCTTTGGAGAAACAGTTTCCGGAAAGGTGGTGATCCGGGACAGTATAGGCTCGAGTCGTGCCTGGGAGGACTATGGAGTGCGCTTTGCCGATTTCAAAGGGATCGGCAGGGCTCCGGCTAGTCGAGACTCTGGGTCCCTGGCGCAGATGGAAGAAGTGTTGACCAAACAGTTAGACTCTTCAGATGGCATGCTTGGTGCATCGGTACAGACAAAGGATGTTTTGGGATTCCCTGCAACAACTCCATTATGCAAGTCGTTTTTGCAACAACTGCTGTGTTCGGCACCTACATCGCCCCACGAGACATTTGGCCATCCAGTAGCCAATGTAATAGCCATCAGCTCGCGCAACGCAGCTCCGTTGGAGACACTCAGGCAGCTCTATGCTGATGGCACCACTGGTGACAAACAGCTACCTGACTGGGTCAACCAGGAGTATCTTCGGTATTACGTTTTAGTCCATGACGAAGAACGAGACGACATCACGGAATCTCTCAAGCTTTATGATCAAATGAAGCGGCACTTTGGGCTACACTGTCATCTTTTAAGACTTCGGAGCAGCCAGTGTGTGGTGACAGACGATGATAGCATGCAAGTTCCCCGGTGCGAATGGCTCTCGCCGTCAGAGCATCTGTCGGGAGCAGGCGAAGCAGGCAAGTTTGCGCCCCCACATACTGAGACATATGCTAACTTACCGCCAGAAGCCTTGGTTGACCTCGGCACTGATGGCACCCCATATCTCTTTGGCTCCGATGCCACTGCGATTAGGGCATTCATCCGAGAACTCGTGGTGCAGTCCGTCATTCCATTCATGGAAAATAAAGTAGCTGTCTGGAATGACCAGGTTGCATCTCGGAGACGTGGTATAAGTGGCAGATTTATGTCGATGTCTCGGCGATGGGCTGGCTTCGGTTCAAGCTCGCGTTCAAGTATTGGAAGCTCGTCGGGTGGCAACAGCGGGAACTACGACCCAACGCAACATTCCTATAGTCCAGACTCCCCAGAGGCTGTCTTGCGGAAGATGGCGGACTATGCGTTCATGCTCCGCGATTGGAAGCTAGCTGCGTCCACATATGACATGATTCGATCGGACTATGGTAACGACAAGGCCTGGAAGTATCATGCTGGTTCCCACGAAATGTGCGCCGTTAGCATGCTTTTAAATCCATTGGCCACCTCGGCCAAAATCAAGCTTGAGAGCGTCGACCAAATGTTCGAGACTGCTTGCTACTCCTATCTCACACGTTGCTCAGATGCGCCACATGCACTGCGCTGTCTATCGTTAGCGGTTGAACTTCTCAAGTCTCGTGGCGGGTCAGCCACCGAGAGCGCAGCCAAATGGGCCATGCGGGTCATGGACTTTGGTCTTGTGGGCTCAGTAGGCCAGATCCTATACACCGAAAGGGTAGCAGCTTGCTATGCATCAAAGACACCAGTTGGAGCAGCGAAATGGGGTGGACGTCGCCGAAAAGCCGGCATGTGGAGCATCCTTGCTGCTGATCAATGGCTCAAAGCTGGGCAACCAACCCTAGCTTCAGCCTGTCTGGAAGAAGCCGAGCTTCTCTATGCTGACGTGCTGCAGGCTGACGGGGTGTTCCCCATGCCTGAGATGCAGAACTTCGTTGACAATCTGCGTCATGCTGTTAAGGTTGAATATCTTGAATCGAGGGGATTCGATGCCCGGGATGAACCGGCTAGCGAGGATCCATTGGGCACTGAAGAGACCAGCGAGAAGCTCGACATGCGTCATCATCGCCGGTCTTTGATTGGGCCTCCTGTGCAGCTGGATTCCGGAGCCTTCAACACGACGCAGGGGCCTCTGAACCCTGAGAGTCCACCCAATGATGACTTTGAACGAGCTTAGACTCATTACAGCCTTAATACCTCATCATAGCATATAACCATAGAATACAAGCTTGTTCAAACAGAAATTCAGACCCCTTAATGTAATGTATACTGTCTTCTCTCTGCCAGCTGCCTTTAGATGCTTACTCCCTACTCAGAATAGAGGTGTATGTGTTTCGCGCCAAAAGGTACGCATGTACATATACATACCGGATTTCCCTTCACGGATGAGGTTTTTCTATCTGAGCTGCTGTAGTTTGTATGAGGGTGCTCAGGTTCGGGATTACTCCATGGAAGTAGATGTTAGTTAGATGTCTTTATGTCAAGAGCAGGGCACGTGCGGACTGTAGCCTAAGAGGGAAAAAAAGACTGCAAACACTTATTTATCACTTCTTCTGAAGCAGTATGTTGAAACTTGTCGACAAGTCCTAGCCAAAATGCGTACCTTCAGATCGCTCCTTTTCAGCTGCGTATTCGCTTCGGCCTCCTTGCTAAACTTTGCCCGCCAGCTCTTTGGTCAACTAGAACTAGAGCCAACCCACCCCGGATTGACATAGGACTCCGCATCTACAATGGAGGATAACCCGAGCTGTATTACCCTTGTGCCCGACTATGAAGATATAATCTATTGGGTTGGGCACGTTTTAGGTCCGGGAGTGACTGTGTTAGAGTCCCCCTCGAAGGGCGGCATCTATGTACTTCGCAACTGCTTGGGCGTGGAGCTGGACTTTCTGGGACACGACCGATTTCAAGATTTTCAAAGGCCACCTAAGTCGGACCCTTTATCAAGCTAAAGAAGATACCCACTGTGATGATAGTGAGTGATTTGTTTTTCTCTTGATTTACATTCATTTTCAACGACTAATAGTCGACTAGTGCGTCGTCTAGGCGCTACTTGGTGGCGTCGCTTATCGGACGCATACGAGAAGGGTATTCTTGGTTATGACGATGAGAAGGAACCATTCATCCGAGTGGGCTGGCCAGCGAGTGGTGGTGTGTGGGTATTACATTCTACGGAAGCGGAGGCAGGAAGGATGGGTGCCGGAAGGATCCAAAATGCGTATAGTATGGAGGAGCGGTGCAAGGTGATTAAACAATGGGGAGGCATTTTCTAGGCGGATCCTAAGGACTGTCCTTACCTGCCCAGGTGGACCTGCCCTGATAGGGAACTATGAGCCCGGGTTTCCGACGAAGGAAACTAGGGCACCCACCAGGTGAATAGTACTGTCAGCTCGCATCCGGGCTATGCCTTAGTCGTAATGGGACATAGCATAGGGGTTGCTCTTGTATCCCTAACAGGAACTGTTTTTCAGGTCACACTCTGGACATATCTACCTACATGTAGGTAATGAGCAGTGCCCAATAAGCAGTTCTAGCCATCTAGATATTATGTACCGCCTTTCAACCAATTCTGTAGGTTGCGACTGATACTATCCTAAAAAGACATCTAAAAAGATATTCAAAAGACCTCGTAGTGGAATCGTGATTACAGCGCCTGTGATATCATTATAAAACAACTCGAGATTCAAAGACCATATGTAGTATTTTGGGAGCATGGCCTTGTGCATGGGTCCAATTGACAAAGTATACACATAATGAAAGGGTAGCTTTGTAGCTTCAGCAAATGGCAGTGGTGATGTTGGCACCGAGCATTTCGAGGGCGCCGCTACTAGTTACAAAATGATGACAAGACAAGTCCGGTGTGAGCAATGTGTGTATACATACCTGGCATGTGGAGGAACAAGATGAAAAGAAAATAAAGCTGCGGCTGATTGTCTACCGCCCACGTATTCAAGAAATGTTAGAGAACATACACGAAGTGATCATCACAGTTCTTTTAAGCATCAAAACATTCGGACGCGTCACGTGGGGCTTATCGATAAAGCTGTCGACAAAGCCGCAGTGGATGCGCTGATGACCCCATTTGCTTTGTCTACGAGGTTCACTCTCAACAACACAACTTGACCCATTATTTGCTTAGAGGGGGGTCATATCATTCCTCCTCAACATACCCTTGCATGATGAGCGAACTACTGAAATATATCCTCACCCATGAGGAAGCATTCCGAAGGTAAATACCCGAGAAGCCATAAAGCCCACCAAAACAGAGAAAGAATACCACACTTACCTCGATGTCATCTCCTCAGAAACCGTTTACCCTCACTCTACTCCGACTTCACACCCCAAAAGAAGACAAACCCCGACGGCTACGCTGTTAACGTCGCCGCATGGGAACAAGCACTCAACCGAGCCGCAAAGCGCGGCTATACCTCCTCACGCGGTGTGCGGGTACGTTCCGGCTCGACCATATCAGCTAAGAGCGGAATGGCACCCGCGAAACGAAAGAAGACAGACCACCTGATTCTGCGAACGGATGAGTCGTTGCTCCGGGATTTAGAGAGTCCGGAGTGGGGGAGCCCCGTAGCTCTGGGCACTGTATTTGTGGGTCTATTATCTTTCATTTGGATGGCAAGGCTGTTAAGCTAACCAATGGGGGTTACAGGACGAGGCAATACGCAATAATTCGATGATTCCATTGCCAGTTTACAAGACCACTGCTGGGCTTCTGCAAAAGAAAAGCCAATGGAAGCTAATCGATCCCGGGGTTCTGAGTCCGTGGAATGTCATGAGCTGGGGAGCTCGGCAGCTCAAAGGCTTTGTGGTAGGTTCTGAGAGTGACTCGGCGCCGAAGCTACAGGTGCAGGAGTTGGTCTTGATAGAGAACCTTCAGGAAGCGGCAGACCTAGCAGTTAAGAAAGCCACCGGCAGCAACTCATCCAAGCTTGACCTTATTTACTCCAGGGAAAGCTTTGTTGAAGAGTTCGCGGCTATACTGAACGATGCTACGGAATTATCAGATGTGGATTTTGATGTCTTGTTGCTTTATTTATCCCGCGATAGCGGTGCTATTGCATACGATGGCAAGGTAAGTTGGACTATATAATTATGGCCAGGATACCCAGATATTGACTGATTGATGATTAGACAATCAAGTTCAAATCGGCAGATGAATCGGCGGAGATCACCCAACAGGACACAACCATTGCATCCATCAAGACGTTGGTGTCGACTATGTCGAAACAGGTCACGAGCTTGGAAGCAAAGATCGCCGAGCTGACTGCGTCCGCAAAGACGGCATTGGCGAACAAGAACCGCATCTCAGCGCTGTCCGCTGTGCGTTCCAAGAAGCTGGCTGAACACAACCTCCAGCAGAGGTTTAACACCCTCATGCAGCTCGAGGAGGTTTATTCAAAGATCGAGCAAGCTGCCGACCAGGTGGGCATGGTGCAAGTCATGCAGGCAAGCACTGGTGTGCTTCGTGGTCTGCATACTCAGATCGGCGGTGCCGAGAGGGTTGAGGACATCGTTGAGGAATTGCGGGAAGAGATGACCAAGGTGGATGAGGTCGGAAGCATCATGAACGAGGCCGGCCCAGTCATTGACGAGGGAGAGATTGATGATGAGCTTGCCGCGATGGAGAAGAGCGACAGAGAGGCGAGAGAGAAGGAGGAGGCAGCAGTCACCAAGAGCAGGCTTGCCGAACTGGACAGTGTCAAGCAAGCCTCCGATGAGGCTTACCGCCAAGCACGTGCGGCCGAAGATGCGGATTCGGCGCTGGCAGATAACATTATTGACAGGCTCTCTAACATGTCTGTTGAGGACCGCCCGATGCAAGCAAACTGAGACTCTCCGAAATTTGTGAGAGATATTTGCCTTATGTGAAAGAACAATTTGCTCTTCTGGGTGCTTCTCAATTTGAGTTCAATGTGGCTTGTTTTGAGATCACCCAGATAGGTCAATGACATGGTTGGGATCGGTGTCTGAGCTGAACTCAACGCATGCACCATTCACCGGTAATCCAGAATCCTGCTGGGGTTGTGGTTCCTTCTGTCCAGACGAAGACGGAGATGCGCCAGGGATAATCGATCGTACTTTGGCTTCACTCTTTTTACGCGCATTTGCGATCAACCGTTTGAAATCGTCATCGTGGTTATTTGACCACTGATTGGCATCGAAGTCTTTGCGCATCACATTATTCGAAGTGGTGAATGATGAGGGCGCCGTCGCATTCCCACCCTGTGTTCGTTCCCACACGTCCAGTTCCTGGAGCAATATCCGCTTAGACTTGGGGTATTTGGAGTCGCAATTTGCATTCCACAAGTTCATCCACTCCGTGTGACGTCTCTGCAAGAGCTGTTTCTGCCCCCAGTCTGGGATTCCGAGATCCCGGAGCTTCTTCCGCAATGCGTTATCCTTTAATATGGAATAGTTTATAGCCGGAAGCCGCTCGGGCTGTTTGCTGGGGAGAGTGAGGCCTCTTTGGGATGGGCCCTTTAATGACCTGTAATTGTCGTCCAATTAGCGGCATGTTCTAGACCTACATAATAGAATTAACATACCCGAAAGATGCTGGCTTTGTTTGGGTTTTCTTAGGCGCTTCTTCTTCCTGTTGATGTATGCTCAAGTGTGGAAACACTGCCTCTTCCTTCATTTTGCGAAAGCATATTGGGCAAGCAACCAACCCATCTTCTGTGAGGCGATTAGACGGGTCTGGTATCCGTGTGATAAAAGTGGCATACCGGGCATATATTCTTCGTCGTCTTGACTATCCTCGATAACCTCGGGCACAATCTGAGGAACAGTTCGCTCTTGTGCCGAGCTATTTATGGATCTTTGAGAACGAGTCCGTCGGCCTTGCGAATTTGTTTCCGGGACCTGTGGCTCCTCCTCTTCAATCTGATTGACTTTCCGCTTCTTTTGGGTCGGTTCCTCTATCTCTTCCTCTCCCCTAGCAAGGCGCGCACTTTCCCTCCTCGCAAGATCGAGAACACTAGGCCGTGCCAATTTGAACGCGTCGACGAGTTCCTGCACTGCCCAATTACGACGTAGTTTGAGCTCTTGATCGGAGCTCCGACACGCCGGACACTTGCCTTCAGCGCTGAGGCAACGGCGAATACATAGCGAGCAAAATGTATGACTGCAGGAAGTAATAACGGGGTTATCGAAGAAGTCTTTGCAGACTTGACATCGTAGTGAGGATTCGAACGGCGCAAGTAGTGAAAGTGGCGTTTCCAACCAATCGGTGGAGTCGGGAAGCTCGAACGACTGATCCATTGAAACAAGACCTCAGCCCGGAGCACTGGAGCTCTTTTCTGTAGAAATTCCAGCCGGACTCGCCCGGCGATAGCAAAAAAGAGAGGTGAATGTGAGTAGAGAGCCGCCTGAGCAAGAGACCGCAAATGCCAAGACCCGCTGACTGATACGCGTTAAGTGGTTGAGCACGCGTCGGAGCAACTTGCACTTCAACAGCAACCATGGACTCCAAGTTGTATCTGGCTGAGAATGTGCTCAATGAGCGGCGCCCTGTATGGTTTTCTCATACCCTTCAGATAAGCAGGAGCTTACCAGAACTAGGTCACATATCGCTTATTGAGCCGCGCGCTCAAAGTGCACGCCAATCGAGCCAAACAGTATGTTCTACGTTCACAACAATGGAAATTGGAATTGGAACTGATACTAATATTCCGTTGCATAGCATCCTTTTTGAATTTCACCTCAATGAGAACGCGAAGAAGTCACAGACCGTCCACGCAACCTACGTCATCTCCGGTATCCAGAAGGCGCCCGAGCCGGCCCCTACGAACGGCCATGCGGACGACGAAGATGAGATGATGGAGAGTAGCCCCTACTTGCCCAGCTCAATGCCGAACCAGGATGCATCCTCGGACTCAATTCGCACTACCTCCATCGTGTTGGCACGTGAGGAAGACCTCGAAGGTACGCAGATATATGGATCTCGGTGATGGACCGATTACTGAATGAGTCGAGCAGATGCGAAATCAACATTCCAGTCGATATCTACAATTCATGTCTACAGTCTTGAGCCTACAGCTCTGCCGGATCTGAATGTGTTGGTTGATGCCAATCGGGAAATTGCGAGTACACACGGGCAGGAGGATCCACTGGAGTGTGGGAAGCAATGGGGTATGATTCAGAATCGGAACGTCAAGGTAGGTCATTAATTACTTCCACAGTTGTGTCGTGATCTAATGTTTATATGTTCCAGCGGAGGACTGGCGCGCGCCCACCGCCACCTGCAGCTCCAACTGTGAAGGCGCCGGCTGCCAAGGCATCGAAGCCTTCGATTGAGTCGACGGTGCCCGCTAAACGGCCGCTGCAAAAAGAAACATCCTCAGCCAAGACGGAAGCTACAAAGTCAGACGAACCGAAGTCTGAGCCAACCTCTGCTGCCAACTCCCAGACATCCTCGAAGCCTTCGGGTAAAGCAGCGGCACCCAAGCAGAAAGGCAATCTTTTCAGCTCTTTCGCCAAGGCGAAGCCAAAGACAAAGGCATCAGCTCCCGCAGAACCGGTTCGTGCAATCACTCGTGCAGCAACTATTTTATTCTTTTTTCTTCGTTACTGATCTTGTTTTACTAACTTTGAATACAGGCCGCAACGAGTGCAGAAGATGGTTAGTTAATCCCACTTGGGTTTTATATATCAGCTAACATTTTCTAGTCGTGCTTGACGATGCATCTGAAGAAGAGGCAGAGGAATTGTTCCCTGATAGCACCGAGAAAGCAGCAGCACCAACCCGGGAAAACAGGAAAGAGCGCGAGGACAGGCTCAAGAAGATGATGGATGATGATGATGATGACGAGGCTGACGGTATGCCCTGGCCCTCAAACACTACTTGAAAAAGAACCAACTAACATGGATCCAGACGAAGAAATGCCCGATGCCAATGAGGAGCCACGGGAGCCCACGCCTGTTGAGCAACCGCCACCATCCAAGCCAGCCGAACTTAAAGAAGAAGTGACTGTGCAGGGTGGGCGGCGGCGAGGCAAGCGGCAAGTCATGAAGAAGAAGACGGTCAAGGACGAAGAAGGATACTTAGGTCCGTGCATCCCGCTGAGGCCCGTTCGTTTGCGGACATATACTAATTTGTTGCAGTTACCCGGGAAGAGGCAACATGGGAGTCTTTCTCCGAGGATGAGCCGGTGCCTAAGAAGAAGCCCGCGGTCAATGTTCCCAAGGCAAAGGCTGGCAAAGGTGCGGGGCAGGGCAATATCATGTCTTTCTTTGGGAAGAAGTGATGTAGTATTATTGAGGTGTCCAATGAATTTCTAAAAGCATAGATATCTAATACCAAAGCATATATCCAGCTCGTTCCCCTCATGTCAAGTATACAAGTATATCAACCCAAAAAGGAAATCCCGCGATGTCGATCTTCTCCGCACTTTATGTGGGGAAGAGTGCCATCGTGTTTAGACCGATGTCACCTCGATGTCGTGGTGTACTTTGTATTCCCCCGAGGGAATTACCTTGAGGTTTCTATACCGTGTAGCTCAAAATCTACTTGTGAAAAGCACGGAAAAATTGAATGCGCGCAGTGGAATGTATCCCTGTCCGGTTGGGATCGACATACACCCCCTCTTATTTACCCCGGCCTTCTTCCCTGTAGCAGTACAAGTCTGTCCCTCAATTTCTTCCGACTGTACACCTGCGCCATGACTCTTCCTGTTGTGCTTGCAGTCGCTCTGCTGAGCCTCCAGGCCGGCGCCCTCCCAGGCAGAGACGACCCAGCCATCTTGCGACGCGCCTGCCCAGACTACACTTCCTATGCATCAACACCGCAGTGAGTGTCTACAATCCCATATAGACGTGCCTAATATCTGCTAAAAGAGGATTTCATGTCACAGCGCTCCCTATAGCGGTGGTCCCTTGAATCTTCCTTTTCAGCGACCTGCGGAAGCATGTCGGACATTCTCATCGCCCGCCGTGGAGAAGGTCATTGACGATATCACATCGCGCCTAGTCGATAAAGATCTGGCTCAGATATTCAGGAATGCATTTCCGAACACCCTAGACACTACAATTCGGTGGCATACAAATGGATCAACATCATCCGGTACCAATGCCAGGCGAGACGGCGCGCAATGGACTGGAGTGCAGACCTTCATCGTGACGGGTGATATCAACGCCGAGTGGCTGCGCGACTCAACAAACCAGCTCACCAACTACCAGACACTGGCTGCTAAGGATAAGAGTCTTTACTCGCTCATCCTAGGTGCTATCAACACCCAATCCGAATTCGTCATCCAGTCGCCCTATTGCAATGCTTTCCAGCCACCGGCTCTCAGCGGTATCAAGCCGGAAGCCAGCACCCAAAAGGATACTGTGCATCCTGTCTATGACAAGTCTTTTGTATTTGAATGCAAGTATGAACTTGACTCTCTGGCCCATTTCCTAAAGCTAGGCACCGAGTTCCACGAGAATACTGGTTCGACCGAGTTCTTAACAGACCGATGGTATAAAGCGGTGCAAACTGTGCTGGAAACCATGGACGCGGAGTCTCAGCCCACATTCAATACTCAGGGCCAGTTCGTCCAGAATCAGTACACGTTCCAGCGAGAGACTACCATTGGCACTGAGACCCTCAGCCTAGCTGGTGTTGGCAACCCGCTAAACAGCGAGACGGGCCTGATTCGCAGCGCATTCCGGCCTAGTGACGATGCCACCATCCTAGGCTTCTTCATTCCACCCAATGCTATGATGTCCGTACAGCTCCAAAAGACGGCGAAAGTCATCAAGGCAGCGGGTGGGCCTGCAAGTCTCGTTGCAGACCTGCAGGAACGCGGTACCAAGCTAGCCAAGGCAGTTCGGGATCACGGCATTGTCCAACACCCCAAATATGGAGATGTCTACGCATTCGAAGTTGACGGGTACGGGTCACGTATTCTCATGGATGATGCCAACATCCCCTCACTGCTGTCGTTGCCCTACCTCGGCTTTGTGGATAAATCAGACCCCGTCTACCAGAATACACGCAAAATGATCACCGACAAGGCATCGAACCCGTACTACCTGGTGGGTCCGCAGTTCCACGGCATCGGTGGCCCACATATCGGTCTTGAGAACGCCTGGCCCATGTCTCTACTTGTCCAAGCTATGACCTCTGACGACGACGCTGAGATCATTGGAAACCTCAACCTTGTTCGTAACTCTAGCTTGCTTGGGCTTGTTCACGAATCTATCAATGTTACCAACATCAAGGACTATACCCGTCCTTGGTTCTCGTGGGCGAACTCGGTCTTCGCGGAGACTGTTCTTAAGATTGCTGCTGAGAGGCCTCACTTGATCTTCGGTATCAATGCGAAATCTTATACTGTCCAATAGGGTTGACAGAGTGTCTGCTTGTGGCTTGGGCTTCTTTGGCGTTTCTTGAAATACCCATGGACCTTAATCCTATCCTTATCTCATTTCTTTATCTTTATTCATTGAAAGGATTCTGGAATGTGCCAGTCTTTTTTTTTTAATTCCTTAGCATTTCAAGTTCGACACTCTTTTCAACAGTCTTGTCAAGAGTAGATTTAATGATCAGTTTTCTACGAAGTAATATCCCATGAGGTATATATGTCTTCTTTGATGCACGGCACCACTTGTGTTGTTGCCCAAGTGGGATGTGGATTAAGCATGTCTCGGAGTAAGGTCCAGATGGCCGAGAGGATCCGAACCGTTCCGCCACTAAAGAGGGTCACAGTCTTTCCAGTGGATGAATTGGTGTATATTCGAGGCTTTTCGCTTTTTCCCCAGGCATTCGTCAATCTAGTCCACCCAGGGTATAGCTCTTACAGCAATCCACAGATGACTCAGGGCTAATGGGCTTAGTGTCCTTAGTGTCACCATATGCATTAGCTTGGCATTAGCTTGATTCTTTTGACCTGCCCAAAGAAAGAAAAGAACTTCAACCTCCCACTGCTCACTATATACAGTACACACGATGGCATATACTCCACTACACTTTTTGTTAACCCTCTCTCGCGAACTCTTGAATACCTTCATCCATTCCGCAGGAGATGACGGACTACTTGCGCGAGCTGATCGACTGTTACTAAAAGGACCTGCCCAATCCAATAATTTTTTACTAATAGTACCGATTACACTAGGGATCATCCTTAACGTCCTAGTAAGCGACTAACAAAGAATCCGTATTCAAAGCAGAGGCTAATGGGTGCCCAGATCCGATATATCACTGGCCATGTCTTAATGTCCATCTTAATCCTTGAAACTGTGGAGAAGCAAGCCAATACACCTGAGGTCGGGGACAAGAAACCAGCTCCCTCCAGTCGCCAACTATTCCGAACCATTGCCGTCCTCTACCGCAAAGGTGGTCTCCGTCTTCTCCTGAGTGGCATCGGTTCCGCCTGTACCTACTGGGCGATGCACTCCTCGGTAGCGAAACTATCGACTATTCTACTTCCCGGACCGGTTGCGTATATCATTGCATCGGTCCTGCTCGCTGAGACCCGTTTCTTCTGGACCGCGCGCACCATCCTTCCCCGCGACCAGCTGCACCTCGTGCCCAATGCCCGCGACCGCCAACGATGGAAAGCCCTGGTGCTTCCCACTTTGGTCTATGCCGTCGTCGAAACGGTCATGATGCATGTGCCGGCTCTATTCGATAGCAGCCTCGCCTCATCGGATGAGGATGTCACGATGGCAGGACTGGCGTACATTGTGAGATCCGACATCCTGATCGCGGGGCTCATGCTCGCTGCCCAGCTGTTTCTCCTCCTTCCTTCTTATATAGTGTTAACCCTGGCCCAGGCCAGTCTTCTGCCGCCCGCCTGCGAGACGCTGGTCTTTACATCGGGACAGCAGCGGGGCAGACGGGTGGGAGAGATCTTTTTGGCGGTCAAACGAGGACCGCTACAAGTACAGGAGGCGATGCAGATGATTGGGGTGGGGCGGTTGCTTTGGTGTCTGGAACTGCATGGAAAGATGTGCTTATCTTTGATTGGGGTTTCTGCTGTGGTGCATTTGGTGGTCTACTGTATGTTGTAGAAGGGAATACCAGCGCCTTAGTTATTCTCCAGTAAGCGAATTAACCGTTTGTTGGTCATCGAATAACCAATCGTACCTCGTAGTTACGATTAACTACATCCATACATACATATGCTTTCTTTCATACTTTAGACTGTCTCTTCTCAAGCGCCTTCCGCCGAGTGCGAATCGCCTTTGTCTCCTCCCTCAGCGCCAATCCCGCCATGATCTCTTCACTTCCGCCACCGACGACATGAACCCGAGCATCACGACTAATCTGCTCAATTCTAGCACCTTTGCCAGCCTTGTTGTAGCCCGCACCTCCCATAATCTGCTGTGCCTCTCGAACACTTTTTTCCAGAGCCCTGGTCGACATGACTTTAAGCAAGGCAGTCATGCCACCAATGTTGACGTCGTCAGAAGGACGGTCTTTGGTAAGCTCGAGGATATTCACAAGCTGTTCCATGAACGCGTAGGCCGGCTCGATCATAAGACCAAATTTGAAGATCTTGGATTGGATTGCCTGCTTCTCAATCAGTGGAGATCCAAATGTCTCGCGTTGAATGGCGTAGTTGTAGGCATCTTCGGCACAGACACGGGCGAGTCGCAAGGATGCACAGGCAAGTGCAAGGCGCTCTGGGTTGAAGTCTGAAGAAAGGATTAGCAGCCGATCAAAGCCCTTGGTAAGGCAACTGGCAACTCACTCGACATGATAAGGGGGAAGCCCTTGTTCTCTTGGCCGATGAGGTTTTTGACAGGGACGCGCACATCTTCAAACTCGATGAAGGTTGAACCTATATGTGTGTTAATTGACAATGTCTTCAAATGGTCATATTGAAAAAGAAGCACTCACCACTAGCATTCACGCCCGAGTTATGCATACGCCTGCGAGTCACACCGGCAGTTGCCAGAGGTATAACAAGCAAGCTGATACCAGACCTGCCAGGACCACCGGTCCTAACAGCAGTAGTGCAATAGTCAGCCCAGATACCATTGGTAATCCATTTCTTCGACCCATTCACAATGTAGTGATTGCCATCCCGCTGAGCCGTAGTCTTGATATTAGCAACATCAGAGCCCGCTGCAAAAAGTAAACAAAGTCAGCAACTCATCTCCATAGGAAGATATGCTTCCATAAAGTAAACATTCACATACCATCCGGTTCGGTAATCCCCAAACAAAACCTAATATCCCCCGTCGCAACACCAGGAAGCCACCTCTTCCTCTGCTCAGCATTCCCAAAACGCGCAACAGGCGGACATCCAATCCCATTACCACCACCAAGCCCCCAAATCACACCAACATATCCAACGCGCGTCAGCTCGTCCGATACAATCAGCGAGCACCAGGTATCCCACTTCTCACGCGGCACATTCCCCGGAAGAGCGAGGCCAGCTGAATCCTCCTCGCTCGTGAGGGGATGAACGATGCTGTAGCCCAGCTTGCAGTGGCGCCGACGCACGGCTTCGGGGACTTGGCCTGCTTCTTCCCACTCTGCAGCGTAGGGGGATATGTATGTGTCAACGTATTCGCGCACCGTGGCGCGCAGGTTGTGGTGCAAGTCTGTATAGTATGGATTGCGGACGTCTAGTTGCGGGAGAAGGGGCTCGCTGTATGGAGCTGTTGCGGGGCGGAGAGTGTCGGCCATTATGAAGTAGTATTTAGTGTTATGAGTAGATGGATAGGTAGCTAGGTACGAAGTAATATGGTTGTATTTGATTATTTGATGATTGGAAGTACACGGTGGTTTTATGCGGGGAAGACCAAGCTCGGTCGCCTGTGAAGAATGTGGGGAGATCTACTTGACCGAGGCCCGCATGCTAATCTTCATTTTGTGCTTCATAAGAGGGGAGTTATGCATTTGTATCGTTATTTGGGTATACGGTATTAGAATCCAGGCTCATTGGTCCTTGTGCTTGTTTCAGACACTTATTTTTGCGTTTCCTCGAATCGGCGAACGGCTTTCTTCATCGCACGCAAATGCTCCTTGACTTCCCGGCAGGTCCACCGCTGCTGCGACTTGGGTTCCAACATGCTTTTGATACATTTCATGAGAGAATCCGCGACTGAGATTCCGTCGTCCAGCACGATCGAGCCATAATCGACCTTGGCGGCGAAATCTGCAGGGAAAATGGTGCGCTCGGACGGATCTTGGCCTGATCCGCGAGTCAGATCACTCAAGACGAATTGTCTCTCCATCTTTGTGTTCAACCGATAAACAGTCTCGAAGAGAATGACCCCAAGCGCGTAAACATCGAGCTTTTCGTCAATCTTGTATTCGTCAAAGTAATCCACCGGCGAGCTCGGGTCACTTGGAGGCGCAGATAGATTGGCTGGAGGACGATAGAATTCGGTTCCAACTACCCGCTGTATATTTGGTCCCTCTCGGTATGGTGTCATGGTGCCCTGTGAGGCCTCGTTGATGTGGGAGATGTCTGCCACAAGACCAAAATCCCCGATGCGAGGACGACAGAACTTGGTGGGAGAACCCTCGCCGGAGCTGCACGCAACACATATGTCTGCTGTGCTGCTCTCTGGTGCACACAGGAAGATATTTGCAGGCTTCAAGTCACGATGCACAATTCCCTTTGAGTGGAGGTACTCAACGCCCGAAACAATGTCCATTACGAGCTTCAGTGAGGGCAGCAGGTGGAAGCAATGGCGCCTGGCGAGTGAACATTCATCATACTTCGGAGCGGTCTGAGGGTTGAGGTACGCGCCGAGCGAAATAGGGTGGAGTGACATTTGGATGTGAAGAATGACCGCGGGGGGTTGCTGACCAGGCCGGCAACGGGGTTGAACTTGGAGTTTAGACTGATCTTGGCTCAGACCATCAGTAAAGATGTCGTCAGTATCCCCGAAAGTGGATGTTTGGCCAACAGACGTGTTTCCGTCGAAGGTACGGGGAATGGATTCAATGTCATCATCTTCCTCGTCCAGTCCCTTTCGTGAACTTTTCTTTGAATGACGAGACGAGGAAGTCGCGTGGCTGTCCCAGCGACGAATGCTCTCGGTGAAGCTATGGTCTTCAGGCAGAGAGCTTGACTGGGACTCTGGATTTGAATTTTCAGAATGTCCGAAGACAATCCCCATGCTTGACTCGTTTGGAGCATCTGGAGAAGGTAAGTTGTTTTGCGACTTGTCATATGCTGCGTGAGAAGGGTGGTATTCGGCTGGAGGCGGGTGCGAGTGATGCGCCTGCTCGACCCATGCCCCATAGTACCGAACAATATTTGTATGCTCAAGGCGGGCAAGCGTTCGAATTTCCTTCATGATAACTTCAAGCTGATTTTGACCACCAAATTGCAGCTGCTCAAGTCGTCTTTGACTGAGGGGAATTTTCTTGACGGCATAGTCTTGTCCGTCAATGTGGTTTGTGACGTGGTACACTTCGCCGAAGGACCCGCGGCCCAAGATCTTGAGTTCCTGGAATTCGACAGAATATCTTGACAGCTGATTGTACGGCGGGGCTGTTGGAGAATTGAAAAAAGAAACCCCTACAGGCGAACTTCCAAATAGGGGAATCGAAGGGTTGGGGAGGTTCATTGGCCCCCGGGGAACGGTTGGAAGGAAATCCACTTTATTAGCAGGAAGCTGTTTCATAAACGATGAATTTGGTTCGGTGTTCCGTCGGAATAGAGTGGGACTCTCCACGTCTTCAACGCTGGATCTCTTTGTCGAAGGCTTTGTGATTAAGGCGAAGTCCTCGCCGGAGCCAATTGCGGGAGAACGTGCGTTGGGTTCATGAAAATTCATCTCTTCGAGGGCAGATATACTAAGTAAGTCGAGGTTATCCCGATAACTCTGCCTACTTGACCCCATTTCCTCTCTGTCAATGCCGTCGGCTAAGATACCGTGAGTCGACAGGAACTGTGATTTGAATTTGTACAGTTTCTTGCCAAGATACTGAGCCTCGGGGCTGTGTCGACTGAACGGCTTATTTGAGCCACGTTGAGCATTGAGAATGTCTGCTGCTCGACTCTGGCAGTAAAATTCCAAGAGGGCGGCTGTCATGATATTTGCATGTTGATCAACATTTACACCGGCCAGATCTTGTGGTACTGCTGATCTATCGCCGAAGGAGATCGAAGAGTCCGCATCTGTAGAATCGGAGTCTTTCGGAACTTGCTTGGTCTTGTCCTTCTTCGGGCTGCGGGATTGATTCTCTGTAGCATGTCGAGGAGTTGATGACCCGGATTCCTGGATTTGACTTGCTTCTGAACCCGAGTCGGAATCTGAGTCCGATGAGATTTCTGCTGCTGAACGAAACATCGACATATTGATGCACTTTTCATTCAAATAGCACACACAAAAGACTTTAATCAGTGCTGTGCCGGTGCCATTGGTGATGAGAGGCGAAGTACACAAATAATTTTAAGAAAAGAAGAAGAGGAAGGAAAAGAAAGACAGGCACACTAGTCCGTATAAACCGTGCTGCCCTCCGGAAACTTGGGCTAATTGATGCCCCGCAGTAAAAGGATGTGAGCTCTTTGAAGGGCAATGACGCAAAACTGAAAGAAGACAGAAATGAACAGGTGTCAGATATCCCCTTGGACGGAGATGCCACGTTGGGATTGAGATCAAAAAGATGTAAACATGTCACAGAAGCCTAGCGGGGCGATGGTTGTCTCAAGCTTCCATCGGGTTCTACTAGAATGTCTCTGGCAGGGCGTGGGGCATGCGGCTCTTGGCAGAAGAATCGAGGTCTCTTAAGTAGAGTCTGATACGGTTCATTCAGGGAAATCCGTAAATAGACTTAATGAAGAAGTAGACAAAGAGTTGGCCTTAAGATCGAGTCATTCGATGCCAAGCCCAGGGAGGCGAGTCATCCGTTTCCGAACCCGTGGACTTGGCGGGCCTCGAGGACATGGATATACGATGAAAGGTTATGCCTATCTATTCAATGTAGCTCTTCTTATGTATACACATATTTTACATAAAAAGTAGCTCTCCTATCCGGCATAAGAAGCCAAAAAAAGAAACATCTAGAGCTAAATATGACCTCCAGAATTTGACCAATCAGATCACCCCAAATCTTTGTTTCAATTTAGCTTATCTTATCGCACGTGACTCCCACGCGTAAACGTCACGTCGAAGGCGCGACAGCGCGACTTTCACAAGGAGTTGTCCGCTCAACACATTCTCAAGTTTAGAAGTCCAAGTCCACTCTCATCCCATATCGTTTCCACCACGCACCACGAAATTGACCGTGACTCCGTGAACCTCAGTCGAGGAGTTGCCGTCATGCCTGAAGCTACCATCCCTCCCCAGAAGCGGGTGCTGGGCGACGCGGCCAATAATTCCAACGGTATCTTGAAAACTGCTAGCAGTCTCAAAAAACGGAAACTCGACAATGAACCATCCGTGCAGTTTACGCCATCCTCGCAGATGGCTCGGCGAAACATTGGCTCAACTCAACCACAGAAAAGTCAATTCGAGGTGGAGGTACTCGAAAAGTTGACCCAGGATATCGGCGACTTGAAGGAGAACAACTCGGAGAAAGACCAGCAATGGGAGCGCCCGCCGCTTGGTGACTTCGATGAAACCAAGGAAAACATCTGTTTCCAACAGATTGACGCGGAAGAAGCAACCCTGATGGGAAAGCCTGCCATTCGGCTTTTCGGTGTTACTGAGGTAAATACATTCGCCATTCGCTTGGGTTTCGTATCTAACAACATTCATAGGCAGGACAATCGGTCTGCCTTCATGTCACTGGCTTTGAACATTACCTCTACATCGCCGCTCCTGTCAGCTTCACCAAAGCGGATTGCGACCCTTACAAACATTTCCTAGAGCAAAAGCTAGGCCAGAGCTTCACTGCAATCTCGTCTGTGCAGCTTACAATGCGCGAGAACATCTACGGATTTCAAGGAAACCAAAAAAGTTATTATATTAAGATTACGGTTACTGAGCCAAAATTGGCCGCTCGATTGCGAAGTGCGTTAGAGACTGGCAGTGGAAGCATGAACTACAAGGGTATGTGGAGCGGCGCAGATGGAATCCTCACATTTGACAGTATTCAATACCTTTTGCGCTTCATGATTGACACTGGGCTGGCTGGAATGGCTTGGGTCGAGGCAATGGCTGGGAAATATCGTCTTCTTGGACAGAGTCAACGATTGTCCAACTGCCAAATCGAAGCTTGTGTGGACTATCACAACATGGTAGCTCATCCACCGAACGGGGAATGGGCCAAAATGGCACCTCTTCGCGTCCTCTCCTTTGATATCGAGTGTGCTGGACGGAAAGGTATCTTCCCGGAGCCTAACATGGACCCCGTCATCCAAATCGCCAACGTTGTTACTCGATACGGAGAGAAGAAACCATTCATCAGAAACGTCTTCGTCCTCGATACATGCAGTTTGATCGTCAATACCCAAATTCTGGAATTTGAAAAGGAGGAGAAGATGCTCGACGCCTGGCGCGATTTCGTGGAAAAGGTGGACCCTGACGTTATTATCGGATACAACATTGCCAACTTCGATTTCCCATATCTACTCGATCGCGCCAAGCACCTGAAATGCACTGGGTTCCCCTATTGGACCAGATTGAAAGGTTTCAAGACAGAGGCCAAAGATGCAAACTTTTCGAGCAAGCAAATGGGCAATCGAGACACAAAAGCGACGAATACAAACGGCAGAATTCAACTTGATCTTCTCCAATTGGTTCAGAGAGATCACCAGCTGAGAAGTTACACCCTTAATTCCGTATCCTACGAGTTTTTGAAGGAGCAAAAGGAAGACGTTCACCACACGATGATTACTGAGTTGTTTAACGGTACTCCGGATTCGAGACGACGACTCGCAGTGTACTGTCTGAAAGATGCATATCTGCCACAACGATTAATGGACAAATTGATGTGCCTGGTCAACTATACAGAGATGGCAAGAGTCACGGGTGTGCCGTTTAATTTCCTCTTATCTCGAGGACAACAAGTCAAGTTCATCAGTCAACTGTTCCGGAAAGCCCGAGAGCAGCAACTCGTTATTCCCAACTCCAAGCCCCAGGACGAACAGGATTACGAAGGTGCCACTGTCATCGAGCCGAAGCGAGGATACTATGGCGTGCCCGTTGCAACCCTCGATTTCGCATCACTGTACCCCTCAATCATTCAAGCACACAACCTCTGCTACACGACCTTGCTCAACAAGAGCAGTATCGAGAAATTGAACCTGAAGAAGGATGACGATTACATTGTCACTCCAAATGGAGACATGTTTTGCACAGCCAAAGTTCGCAAAGGCCTTTTGTCACAGATTCTCGAAGAGCTGTTGTCGGCAAGAAAGCGCGCCAAAAAGGAGTTGGCCACCGAGACCGATTCTTTCAAAAAGGCTGTGCTGAACGGTCGTCAACTCGCTTTGAAGATCAGCGCAAACAGTGTCTACGGTCTGACAGGCGCCACAGTGGGTAAACTGCCTTGTCTTCCCATTGCCAGTAGTACGACGAGTTACGGCCGTCAGATGATTGAGAAGACAAAGCAAGAGGTAGAAGCACGATACACCATCGCCAACGGTTATTCCCATGATGCTGAAGTCATCTACGGTGATACCGATTCCGTCATGGTCAAATTCGGCGTCACCGAACTGGCAGATGCGATGAAGCTTGGCCAAGAAGCAGCAGACTTTGTTTCTTCCAAGTTCATCGCGCCCATCAAGCTTGAATTCGAGAAAGTGTACTTCCCTTATCTTTTGATCAACAAGAAACGATACGCTGGACTGTATTGGACGAACCCCGACAAACATGACAAGATGGACACGAAGGGTATTGAGACCGTCCGACGTGATAACTGCCTGATGGTTCAAAATGTCATTGAAACTGTCCTGAACAAAATTCTGATTGACCGAGATCTTGATGGTGCGCAAGAGTAAGCTGAGACACCTTTCAAACCAAGCTAGCAAGAAACTAACACAATATCTAGCTACGTCAAAGCCACCATTTCAGATCTACTCCAAAATAAGATCGATATGTCGAAACTAGTCATCACAAAAGCACTGTCGAAACGCAAAGAGGACTACGCAGGCAAACAGGCACACGTCGAACTTGCTGAGCGCATGCACAAGCGTGACGCAGGTTCTGCGCCAACACTTGGTGATCGTGTGGCCTATGTCATGATCAAGGGTTCCAATGATTCCAAGGGCTATGAACGAGCAGAAGATCCCATCTTCGTCCTGGAAAACAACATTCCCATTGACACTAAGTACTACCTCGATAATCAGCTTACAAACCCACTCAACCGTATCTTCGAACCCATCTTGGGTGAGAAGAAGGCCGGCCAGTTGCTCACTGGTGAGCACACACGGTCTATCACCAAAGCGGCATCAAACGTGGGCGGACTGATGAAGTTCGCCAAGAAAACCCAGACCTGCATGGGCTGCAAGAAGCCCCTTTCCAGCAAGGACGAGATGGAGGGTGCCGTCTGCTCGAACTGCCGTCCCCGCCTCGGTGAACTTTACACAAAAACCCTCACCAAGGCCTCTGATCTAGAGGTCCGATTTGGGCGCCTGTGGACTCAGTGCCAGCGGTGCCAAGGTAGTCTTCACTGTGAGGTCATCTGCTCATCCCGTGACTGTCCGATTTTCTACATGCGCATGAAAGCAAAGAAAGATGTGGAAGATTCACAGAAAGACCTGTCCCGATTCGACTTTGACGCTGGTGCTTGGTAATGAGAGAGCATTTTACATTGTATGACTTTTTTCCCCCCTTGGATAGCTGGCTTTTTTGGTTGTATGGGTTAGGTCTTGAGCATGGATGGATGGCGTTGAAGCTTGAAAATAATGTACAATGAGATTGAAATAATAACAAGAAGCCGTGGTCACCTTCAAGTGGCTCGCTTCTTTTTGCATCTTTTCCAAGATCTTTGGTATACTACTTTTAGTTTCTCGGGTCAGCCCTTGGAGCTTGGAGTTACTAGCAAGCTCGGGTGAGACTATAGACTGACTGGAAATACCACAGGCAATAGGGACAATACACAGCAAACGAACAATTGGGACAATAGAGCACCGGACTGAAATAATCAGATTGTATACCAAATCCTAAGTAAATATCCAAGTAAATACGTCTCTTCCACTCTTTTCTACTCTCTGTCGTGTACTTAAAGCCCGGAAGCGCGTCATCTGCGAAGCCGAACTCTTGGCGCGGAGTAACTGCCGATCTTCAATTTCACCATGACTTCGAAGTCTAAGCCCGCCATGAATCCCACAGTGGAGGATGAAGTTGGCGATGATGTCCACGCCAATCCAAAGGCTAATCTAAATACCAATCCCCATGCAAATGACACGCCAGTCCCTTGGTCGGAGGTACGCTGTTGTTGCGCAAGGCGCAAACCGAAAATATGGACATTTTGAGGCGAGCTGTAACTGACCGGCTTTTTCTTTGCGACCAGATCTTCTCCCGTCATGAGGCCGTCCTGTGCTCTCACCTCGAAATGCTGAGCATGGTGAAGGAGCAGATTGCTCCGGAGGTCAATGGGTTCCAGACCGTCTCGTCAATGGTGAACAAAACAGTACTGGCGATGAACCAGCTGAAGATAGCTAGAAAGCATATGGTGAGTAGTGCTCAATTTCCTTTTCTTTGATCCTATAACTGACTGTATTTCTTTAGATGAGCAGTAAGTCCCACCAAACTCCTACCCTGGAAGCAAGAAAGCAACCTACCCCACCCTTTTACCAAGCAATAGAGACAGAAATTGACATGACGGCTTTAGAAAACGCTACATCCTCAACCTCCAGTTCCTCCAGTTCCTCCAACCCCACACAGTCCACTGACACAGAGGCCAATACTCGCAAGAAACGACGCAGAATCTCTCGAGACAACGACACAGCCCGTGCCGACCCCACGGACGAAATACGAGCTTCCAAACGACACCGTGACTCTTCCTCCCAGCCAACAACCGAGCGAGATGGAGAGTTCACGTCGACGTCACTTGGAACAGAGGATATTTCGGCGGAAGTCCAGCGACGCCTGAAAATCAAGGAGGAGCAACGTTTTAAGAAAGAGAACCCCAAAGCGGATAAACGCAAGCGCGACAGTCTCGCGTCGAATGAAGGCGAATCATCATCTGTTGCGTGCAGGCCTCAGAAGAAAAGGCTTAGGCTGGAGAACGGGCACAAGAGACATGGTGATTTGGTGGACAATGACGCGGATTCTCCAAGGAAGAAACGACGCAAATCGCCTTAAAAGAAAGGGCTTTGAAGGAGATCATGAGTGATGCTGGTCCATTACTTGATTATTTCTTTTTTGCTTCTCTAAGGCTTGTGCTTCGTCTACTGGCGGGTTTTAAAAGTTCAGGGAAGAGGCAATTATGCTTACATTGAGCGACAGGTTGGACAGTTCTTACTGAAACTATTCTTAGAGATTCTAACTACTCGGTGCTAGTTCTTATCTTCTGTCCTGCCGGTCCCTGTCCAGATAGAGATTATATCAATCAAGAAGTTACAACCATGTGTGGGTAGCCTCTTCAGGCGTTTCTCGGCAAAGTAAGGCATCGTTGATGCGAGTGGAGCCAGGGCAGATTGGAAGGTCAGTAGTCAGACTCGATAATTCACGAGGTGAGAGCCTAACCATAGGGACGTAGGAGGATGGGATGAGAGGTGACTCAAAGGATAGATATGAGTCCGGTGTATACGGTTTACGCGGTTCGGATGAAGAGAAAATCCAAATGGCTGATGCCATTTATCAGCTTGCGCCATCGTGGTTTCGAGTATAAACGAGAGGAATGGCAATGATCGAAAGATAGCACGGTCTCACCCCTCTACGGCAGTCTCTAACTGCCAGTGCGCCATTACTGATTTTGCCTGCAGTACACTTTGTGATTTCCTCCTATATAAATACAAGAATAGTCGGCCGCTTATGCGGCCTCTGTCCTTGACGACCTAAGATTTTAATAGTCTGATCTATTCGGACCAAGATGATATTAGGGATGTTATATGTATGAACCCTCCGGTTTGTTTTTTGGACGTTCTTTTTATATGTCCTTTTTGATGTCTTCTTAGGTGTATACCATACCGAAGGCAGTAAAAAGTATAAACTGTGCAGACTTTTTTATGTATAACCTTTGATTACATGTTGGTGGTCTTTTTTGGCCGTCTTCTCAGATTCTTTACATTTAGTCTTTTTCGGATGTCTGTTTTCATAGATATTTTCTCCTTCTCAGTTTGTTAGGGAGGAACAGAAAAAGACGGTAAGAGGCTTAATTTGTGAAATGGACCTTTCCATTTAGAAACTTTGATTTTTAGAAGCTATATGACGATATAGTCCATCACAATATACAGCATAGGGTAGAGCCTAACAAACTGACATTTAATTGAACTTTGCTAACCCTTTGCAAAGGTAACTATAATGGTGTCACTCGAGGCATAAGGCCGATTCCCGATCGGGTATAGCCCATTACTAGGTAAGGTTTAGCGCATGTAGTTCTAGTCTCCCATTGGCTTGGTCATACTTCCATATTAGAATGGGCCTGGACTTGTTGTATACCTAGGTAGGAAGAAAAGACGAGCGAAGACGGAACTCAAGTTCATGAACTGCGTTAGAATGGGAGCTATGTTAGAGATATGAGATCCTAAGGAATCTATTAGTTTGAAATATCCAAATGAGCTATAGGCACGCTTGCAGCCAGTTTGAGGTCAAGTTCATAATTCCAAGGAATTATATGGTGATTGGCTTGACCGGTTCTCCCTCATGATTTATTTCATGATCTGATATGGTTCTTTTTTCTGAGGATTCCCTTTTAGCTACATATTTACTCTATGTGTTTTTGATGTTATCCTGGAGATGTATAGTCACAATGACATTATGTTCCGCACTAGGCATAACTAGTTGTTGACAAACTACATGTATATCAAAGGCCTTGTTCATCGGAAAAAAGCCATTATCTGCAAAAATCAACAAAGACCGGAGGGATTTTAAGTTCATTGTTCTGATGAAATAACATTTGAAGTCTTTGTCTTCGACTTCGGCGCATGCCAGCGATGTCCTGACAGAATTTTGTCCGTACCTCGATAGAGTGCTCTAACAAGATTATGCTCCCCCTATTCTCCGACATCAGAATGACTTGGGCTCAGCAGAAATCACAAGACACTTCGAAGCTTTTGCTGTACCTGGGTTCCATAGGCGAGGCATTGTGCTGACACTCAAATATATTTGTTTCTATGTCCATGTGCCCTCTGCACCAAGTCCGACAACAGGCCGATTCCAATTTGGGCTCCGGATCTCTGATGAAAATGCTCAAAGACCTCTGTCAAAATGGTCGAGCCAAAGTTGAAGAATTGAAGTTTCTTTGTCCGCCCCCCTTTATCGCTAACAATGGCCCATTGTTTGCTTCCACTTCTCAGTCCGACTCTCCTTTAGGCTCGACTTATAACGGCCGGGCCCCCATATATCATGGGATCCAGTACGATGAAATATCAACTTGCCCTTATTTAGACATTAACTTCTACGAATCCAAGGGATCAGAGAATCCAATATATCCAGCACAGTTCCTAGGTCGGCTTAGTAGCATATCACACTTCCAGCTTGGTATTATAAACCCCCCCTCAGCCCATCTTCGTCTGCTTTTTTTCTTTCCTTCTTCACCTCACCCCAGGGTCATCAACATATCACAACCATCAAAAATCAAATCAAATCATCCAGCATTTGCCTCCACTCCATTCAATCGCCCAGTCAACTCTGTCGTAAGTTGCCAGGGTCAGGGAGTTGTCTTTAATTGTCGGACTTGGAGTGTCAACCGGTCTCTTGAGGTGAAGTATCCCAGCTGAAGGCAACCAAAAAAAAAAAAAAAAAAACCAATTCCTCCCCAAACAAATCCACAAAACAAATCCACACGGGTTGAGAAGAAACAAGCCCAGCCAAGGGAAAAAAACAAGCCAAAAACAGAGAACCCGCTGGGCATCTCACAAGTTGAAATCCGGCTTTTGGAAGTTCAATCGAATGACCACGCTTGCACGAAACTTTTCCGGAGAAACAGGCTGCGGTAGTCCAAACGCCCATCATAGCTTTGGTATACGGAACCCCGAAAAGATGAATTACTACAGCAACCCATCTTTTGTGCCCACTGGGCCCAGATCTTACCAGGGCAATGGAGATGCACGAAACAACCGTGCAAACAACAACCGCAACGGCAACCCATCTTTCGTGCCCAAGGGGCGCAGACAATACCAGAACAATGGAGGTGCTCGAAACAACCGTGCAAACAACAACAACTACAACGGCAATGGCAACGGCAACAACCAATGGCACCCTCGCAATGGCAATGGCAATCACAACAACCAGTGGAACAGCAATCGAAATGGGTCTGGAAATGTCAGCTCTACTGACAATGGCACTGACAATTCAAACAACCACTGGGGCAACAACGAGAACTTCAACCCCAACTACAAGGGCAAGAACTTCAACCTCAACTACAAGGGGAAGAACTTCAACCCCAACTTCTCTCGTCCCGTACCGGCAAATGTTGTAAGTACTTCCCTCCTCCCAATTCATTTCCTTTATGCATTGATGATTTGATACTAACAATATACTGTAGGGTCAGGTTCGAAATGGCAATCGGAGAAACCAGCGCAACAACTACAACAACCGCCAAAACCAGCCAATGCATGCCGGGAATTACAACATCGACGTTCAGATGGCTGAAGCACCATCCGATGAGCCAGTAAGTCGATACATCCCCATCCATTTTGAAGAAGATCAGTTCCTAACATTGAATTTAGAATGACATCGAGATGCCAGACGCACCACCTCTCCCTGATCCAGTGAGTGATCTCTGGGAAGCGGCAAATGGGCTGCAACATGCACTAACTTCTTTACAGAGGATCGAGGCCTTCACCATGGGTGCTCTTGCAGTCAAAGAATTTGTTAGTCCCCCACTTTCCCATTTCCAATTCAATCCCCCTGCGTTCCATCAACCTGCTTTATATCCTCCTACTGTTCATCCCCCTGCTGTTCAACCCCCTGCTGTCCGTACCTCTGCTTTCAATCATCCCGCTTTCCGTCCCCCAACTTTCCACCCCCCAGCTGTCCATCCCAAAATCATCCATTCTCCAAAGTTGCAAGGAAATGCTGAATGTAACTTCTTTCTCTAACTGCATAACAGGCCGATACCATGCTCAGGATAGCTAGCCAATTGGACCCTAACTTCGTCCCCAACTGAGCTCCACTAGGCAGCGGCCTTGCCAACCCTGCTCTAGTCACCTCACGAAAAGAAGAAGAACAACAAGTCGTCATCAACCTGTCGTCCCCAACGGAGTCATACATATGTCCACGTTGGTCACCATCTACCGACGTATGGACCCGCCCCAAGACCTTTGGATTCCTCAATCGGGTACGAACCGTCTGTGACGGGTGACAACCCACCCAGAGCAGGGCACAGAAGACTCCATCGACAGACGACACACGACACACGACACACGACACACGACACACGATACAAAATCTCATCTGGTCCTGGTGTTGACGGTGCGGTGGCTGCCCCGTCTACGGGGAGGACCAGACCACAGACCGAGAAGAAGCTCGGTGGAGGAAAGGGATTCGAATCGGTACATGTGCAATGGAGGAATGAAATAAAGGAACCTGTACTTAGGACTGCAGTCCTGGTCATGGTTTTTACCGGCACCCAAAAAGGGGTTTGCCGGGTTTTCCCATGGCCCCGTCGGGATGAAGACAGCATCAGCATCAGCATCAATCGGCATCAGCATCTACATCAACATCAACATCAACATCAACATCAACATCAACATCATCGACATCAAAGAAAACCAGCCACCGGTGTTCATCCCACGGCTCGAATGGGGGGATCTTGCCATTTGATACAATCTGTTTTGGGCGTTTTGCATATGTTTCAAGTTTGATTGATTTATTTCTGGGAGTGATATACTTGGGTTTGTTGGAGATGAGACAATTTTCATGTACTGAATTTGGTTGGTTTGGGAGTCTCTCGCGATGCCATGGTCGTTGAGGGTCTCACGGCTTTCCATGGGATATACCTGGAGAGATTGTCATGTACCGTCCTCGATCAACGAGTCTCTCGCGATGCCATGGTCGTGGAGAGTCTCTTGGTTTTGGGAACACTTTTGATGTATTTTGAAATGGAAAAATATTATTGTCCACTTGGATTTCTTGTACAGTAATCTTGTAGACACCGTAAATAGGAATTATGAAGCTGAAAGACGATCCTTCGAGATAGATGATGTCCTTACGACGTCAGGTAACTAGTACTTTTTGGGATACTATAGTAGGGACGGACTTGGCACTGAAATCTTCAGATTTGTAGACCAATTGCAGCTTGTTCGAATGGATGTATTGTACATAGACATAATAATAACAGTCTTTCCATCACGAACATCCTGATAAATTCCTGGCAGGTGGAATTCAAAATGCAACCAAACACCAAATCCCAATGCAAAGCAGGGCAAAATATAATACATCAAGGGGGGTAGAGAGAGAGGTAGAGACGCTGTACAAGACACACAAAAACAGACAGAGACAGCACAAGCATCGAGAAATCAATCCTTCTTCTCATCCACAGGCTCATCCTTGACCCCCTCACCAGCTTTCCCACCCTTCCCACCCCAAGTCCAAACATCCCAAATATGCTCCTGAATCAAATCCCCATACCCCTTCCCTTCACTAAGAGCCTTCTGCTCTTCTCTCAACCTCCTCTCCTTCCACCCCTCCGACTCCCCACCCATCCAAACCCGCTGCACAACCCCTTCCTCCTGCGCCTGTCTCGCCTTCAGCTTCTGGATCTCCTCCATCAAAACCGGATCCGGCTTCATGCGCTGCTTATCCGAAAGCGATAGAATCTGCGCCTGCAACTGCTCATGCTCAGCCTGGCGGAGCTGCGCATCGCGCGCAGCCCGAAGTCGTTCCTGGATCTCCTGCGCGCGCTCGCTCGGCAGAGATGAGAATGTGCTCTGAACGCGGGAAATGCGCGCGTCAATGCGGTCGATTATGCTGCGGCCTGTGCGGTCGTGCACGATGTGGTTTGCGGACGCGCCGAAGGAGCAGAGGACGAGGACGGTGAGAGGGTCGAGTTTGCGTGGTGGGAGGGCGATTAGGATCGGCGCGCCGATTAGGAATGTGTAGGCGGCATAGTTCTTGAAGCGTTTGTAGTCGGCTTCGCGGGTTGCGTTTAGGTCTGGGGTTGAGGGGGTTGCCATTGTTGGTTTTTTCACTTGGGGTTTGCTGTGATATTGCGGAGGTTGCGGTGTTGGAAAATTTATGGTTGGCGGTTGGGCTTGGCGGATACTTGGCAGCGTTGGGTTCATAGTTGGTCGTCTTATTTTTGATCCTTTTACATATCTATAATTATTTTTTAGATCCTTATTTTACGTAGATATGGAATATCAACAGAATTCTATTATGTTGGCCACATGGAATTACTCCTTTATGGCTACAACAGAAGGAAAGAAGACACGATACCAATCTGATATCAACTATATGTACAATCAACGCTTGGGATTCGCGAAGATCTATATGAAATATGCATAGCCACATATAAAAAATACCTGAAGTCTCATACCAAGGGACTATAAATTATGAAATATAATACAGATAGGAACAACCTTGCAGGATCTAAATTGATCTTCATAAATGATTGGCAGAGTAGACAATCCCGCCCTATTAGTGTTCAGGTCGAGGTTATACAATTATCAAATCCGATATTATAACTCCAGGGCTTACTTTCCCCTTTGACTTTTCTACCTCTCCAATTCCACTCCCCCATCTGACTGCATCTCCCATCTCCAACCAACAACCAAGATGTTTACCAACGGTCTCTTCTCCTGGCTCTCCTCCAAGGAGCCCACTCCCAACGCTACCTCCGATGCTACTGCTACCACTAGCATCGAGAACTACCAGCCCACCAGCCCAAAGGCCCCCTCCACCGACCGCATGGTGGCCGAGCAACCTGTACGGCATACAAGACGAAAACTCCCTTAACAAACCCCCAACTAATATCCTCCCAGAACTCCCAGGAGAACATGCTCAAGCTGCGTGGTGGCGGCGCCGGCGATATCTGTTGCGGCCTGTAAGCCAAACACTCTGAATCAAAAGGACTACACCAAACTGACACTCATCTAGTTGCGCGGGTCTTCTCTGCTTCGAGTGCTGTGAGTGCTGTGAGAATTGCTGCTAGTTGCGCGGTAGTTCGAACACGCCGTGGGCTTGATCCTCTCAATATCCTCGATACATTGTTCTACACTGACGGATTTGCACCCCTGTCTCGTCGGATGATGGACTTTATAAGATGGACCCCCAACATATCGAGAGATGGAGATTAGCCGAGCTTGAGGGGCATTATTGCTCTGCTTTCTTTCTTTGCTTCATATGCCCATTTAGCGATTACGACTCTTGTTCATGGCTAGTTGCCGCCGCCTTTGCGTGAAAATGGAGTTCGGACTCGGCTTTTACATGCCCGTTTCCCTTTTCTAGCGAAGAAAATCAAAATTCACTCTCGTTTTTGATCGTATTTTCTGTACTGCCATTGCTGATTCTTATAGGTGCGCCTTAGAGGCTACACGGTCTGATAGGAATAGGTATTCTGGCTCTACTCTAGACAAGGAGTATTGATCAAGGTGATTTGTGCTATGGAACTATGTAAAAGTGGAGAGCTTTCCCTTCTATTATTCCATGATGTGAATTAAATCCCATCCGTAGAACCGTGGCAGATAATCTTGAAGCTCACCCTCCAAGCTCACCCTCAGGTACCATCCTCAAATTTCATCCTCAGAAACTCGTCCCCGGATCTCAATCTCAAACTTCATCCTCAAAGTTCTTCCTCCTCATATTCGTCGTGCGTATCGGAAAAGACGAGTCCCTCCAAATCACCTACCAGGGACTCCGCGTTCGAGGAAATGGCCCCTGCGTTGGAAGACATGGCCCCGACGTTGGAAGACACAGCCTCCACATTTGAAGAGACATTATCTGCGTTCGACGCGACATCATCTAGGCTCGAAGAGATGGGCCCGGCGTTAGAAGATGCGGCCTCTCCATTGGAAGAGACGGCGACCGCGTTTGAAGAGACATCATCTGCGCTCAAAGATGCGATGTCTGCATCCGAAGACCCAGGAGTATTGTGCTCGGGCTGGCTACTCACATCGAAAGGGATCTCACCCGGCTCCGTTTCATCACCGATCATCCGCGAGATATCGGCAAATCCACGAGTAACTTCACTGAGTTCCTGTTCGATTTGGCCAGTAGTCACACGGAAAGCACACTTGGAGTATCGAGCCTCCATGTGCGCGACGAGTGCGGCGAGGGTCCTGAATCGTTTGAAGCACCGAGGGCAACTATAAAAGAAATTGTTAGACAGAATCCCTTTGCAAGGTAAACGGACAGAGAAAGAAAATACGTACTCGTTGATTGTTTCATCCTCCATCGTGAGATGGTACTCGAAGGTAGTAACGTACAAGAAAGACGAACCACAGTTACAGTAGTAGCGACTTTTCTCGTGATTCCAGAAGCTCTCAGGGTCCACGCCTTGAATCTTGCGGTGAGCCGTGGCTCGGCAACGAGTGGGAGCAACATATTGAGAAGGGCCTGCTCCTTGGACAAGCAGAGTAGATCCAGAGGGTCCTGCCTCGCTCGACTGCTCAGTAGCTCCGATGGCAGACGGGAAAGGATTATCTTGGCGCATTGAGGTACCGAAAATATCATTGAGGAGGACACCCCCGGGCGATTCAGTGGAGGTACTTCCTGCTTTGTCTTTGACTGGGGTTTCCAGAACGCCTAGCTCGGGCCAGTTATCATGAGGATTGTACGCATCATCAGTATCGCGAGCAGGGCGCTTTCCTTCCATACGGGGTGTAGAGAGATCCAGCAGAACGCCGCCATCCGTATCCGTGTCCTCGCTGGAGTTATCAGAGGGCGGGGACTGTGGTCCAGGAGAATCTCTGCCCATGGTCAGAACGCTTGCTGCAGGGTGAAGGTCATAGTTGGTGCCCTGGGCTTTCTCTGGCAGGGCAAGGACAGGGCATTCCTTGTCTTCGATGTGTTTCATGACTGCAGAAGCGGACTTGTATTTGCAACCACAGCCCTTGCAAGCGACTTCGTGACCTCCGTGGTGATTCTAAAAGGTTGGATAGTTTGTTAGCATTGTTTCTCGTTTATATGGATGGTAGCATAAAGAACGATGAAGACTCACGTTTCTCATATGAACTTCCAGACCTGCCTCGCTGCGGAGCTCGAGACAGCATTCGGGGCAGGCAAAGTGACGATCGCTCATAATCTTGTGCAGATGAAGGGTCTGCTGAGACGGGAAGTCGAGGTCACATTTCATGCAATAAGAATGTCTGTCCGCGTTTGCCTTATGGTGTTGCATCTCGCTGACGGACTTGAAGCTAAGTCTGCAGCCCTGGAAGGTACAAAATATCTCCTCTAGCTCTTCAGCCATTGCGAAGGGCCTTGATCAGCCGTGAGGGCGATGAAGTGACCCTTATCAGCGAAGGATAGATAGGATATCAAGATAGTTGAAGGAAAGTAACGCGAAAGAACCAGAATATCAGAAGGACGATGGGAGAGGGAGAGCAACTAGGGTGTTGGCAACGTCTGAAAGTGTTGGCAAACAAAACGATTGGTTTCTCTTTGACAAACTGGTGGCCTCTCGTGGCTGGGTATGTCAGCATACGAGGAGAGGCCATGATGGTTTGATATTGGGTAATATATTGGAGAAAGCTAGAAAACTAAAAAAAAGAGCATCAATTTTATTTGACGAGGTAGTGACTCGATCGCATGACTTTGAGATTTCAGCTGATTGTCACCGTCGTCGTTCCTTCCGAAAATGGGTGTCTGAATAGCCTCATTTTTGACTTGATATGTATGTACCCGAGGGTCAAAGTGGCGGGCAACCACCACTTTTTGATGTTCAGAATTTCTCGTAAATTGATTTATAGGAAGCTAAACCTACCTAGATGCTATATTCCAAATTTGAAACTCCTATATGGTCTGGAAGGTAGGTAAATCGAAGATCTAAGATCCCAAGTGACTTTGTCCTTAAGTTTTTCTCCTATTTGAGGAAGACAAGGACTAATATTTCAACCAGCCCCCCCCCCAGTGGCCCAGCGGCATTATGGCCGGGGCATCCCACACCAGGATGTCGCAACGGGTTTTGCTTGCTCCCCACTGTCGGTCGGACTCCTATATGCTGAAGCTCTCCCGAAGCACTGCGCTAGGCAAGCCCCCCGCCGAAGGGTATCGTCCCCGGTTACTTAGGGGGAGGCTGTAGTTAGTACGGTGAGTGGAGGTGTATAGGGGAATGGCCGGAGGAGTGGACCATGTACATCGAGTGACCAGACTCTGTCCATACCCTCCTGTGGTCTAGGAACGGTCTAGATTAATGGGGACCTTTTTTTTTGATGATGATGCTGTTGATGATGTTTGTTTTTTCTCTCATCACTTCTTCCTTCCTGACTTTGCTTCCTTTCTTCCTTCTTTCCTATCTCAATCCTATTCCCCCCTTTGTGACAGTCTCATGATGCTCGAGCTATGATGCAACTGCGGTCTGAGGTCAAACAGAGGTGTCCCACCAGGTAACTCTGCACATAATTCTATGTATGTATCAATGACTTGCTGAAAGTGAATTTGCTTAGTCGCCTAGAATCAGATATAAAGTCCAGTTTTGGTCGGATTCTGGTGACTACCTTTGAAACTGCAAGGTCACTCTTGAAGGTACTTGGCTTGCTGATTACATACGAAGAATAGAGCCACAAAATCCATGTCAATTTCTGCTACTTCCTAGTAATATCCTTCGGCTTAGAACCGAGAGAAGGGCAACCTATTCATTCGTTAGATGATTGTTCAGCAGGCATAGAGAAGACACTCTTACCATTTACCACGAAGAGTGATAACAGCCCAGTTATTACCATCCTCGTCAGTCTCCTTCTCAACCTTTGTCGAAAACGAGATAGCACTCATAATCCCATCCCCAAACTTCTCATTGAGAACCGCCTTGTAGGCATATCCATAGTTCTGCACGATCTCATACAGTCGGTATATAAGGGGCTCCTTGGGTGGCATTTCAACGGAGCGACCGCGATCGGGGAAGCCGCTGAGTTGTTCCTCTAAAGTCTCCTGGGGGATGAGAAGAAGATCGGCTAGCTTTTCAATGTCTTCGGGCGACGCTTTGGCCTGGCCGTAGAATATAGCAGCTGCAGCTACTTCATTGCGACCGAGATGCTCGCCAATTTTCTCGAAGCTCAGCTTCCGGGCTGCCTTGGCTTTGAAGAGAGTTGTCGATACGGCGGGGAGGTTGGAGTGCTCTGTGGTCTGGATTGATGTTAGCGGGGTTGCGGGTTGATAAAGGGCATTCTCACATCCAGGGTTGCGAGAGACATGATGGACTGATTTGGGTAAATGATCTTCAATTGCTGAAGGATTGATGTTTTGCGGTAATGCTTGATTCTTGGTTGTTGTTTGGCTGTGGAAGATGGATGTCAGGTACTTTGGGACAGAATGTACTGCGGGGAAACAGGCTTTGATGCAATGGCTATGATTCATTCCTGTCTTTCGGATTTCTGCTTTGAATGTATGTAAATTTAATCATCTTGTCTCATGACTATTAGATGCTTTTTACCTACATTGTCATAGATTTGAAAGAATGGAAACTAAATATAAGCATAAATTTAGGCCAACCGGTGACTTGACCACATGACATGCTTTGGGCTATAGCTAATGAGCGGCTACTATATACAATAACGGAGATCGACCTAAACACACTAAACAACCTAGAAGAGACGGTTCTTATGTAAGGTTGAAATATTTAGACATTATCATGGTCAACTCTCGTACTCCGTAGATGCAACTCAAAAGCACCTCGGAATCACATTGACGTAGAATATGATCGTCCATCCCGACCCACCAACCTAAACCCTTCTGGGAAACCACTGCGAGTAGCCAATAGGAGCTCAGTCTGGCTCCACTTGCCTGATTGATACCATCCAACGAAGTACCTATATATTTGATTTCCTCTGCCACTTCTTGGGCTTTCTCTTTCCGTATTAGTGCTCAGAACTTGCCGCTTTTTGCTCACTGAGTAGATCTGAGCACGCCCCTGAGCGCCCTGATCCGCTCACTGAGTATTACATAAGCGCTCTGACCTGCTCAATGGAAGATTGATAGATAGAATACTGTGGGACATCAGAAACCTTTCCGTGTCGCCCATTGGAAGGGCTCACATTAGCAGTTAATTCCTCAGGCATCAACCCCTGGGTTTGCTAGATAGATAGTCAGGTAGCTTGCTTCCTGTAGGAATCAACTCTCTCCCTCCTCTCCTTTGGCCCCTACATAGCGTAGAGCCCAAGACAATTCCTATTACCACGGTGAAGATCATAGGTGCGATCCAATGGACATTTGGTGGGCCCAGAGTTGTCCATGCAAAGCCAAAAAGGCCAATTGGCAGACAGTGTATGACTGTGACCACCATAAATACCTTGTGACGAACAGAATAGACCTATTGTCCCCGTGATTGGAAATATTGACTCACCATAGAGCAACCACCATAACCGTACTTCTGGAGGCACATATTCGGAGCCATTCTTGCGTCGTCTTTGTCTAAACATATGGATGGAGGGCAGAAAGAGAGATAAGCGAGGAAATAACCAATAATCAGCCTAGCGAGAAATCAAAGTTTTAGCATGCAAAGCTCAGCCTGCTTTATATCCAGAAAGAAGATAGGGTTCCACTAACGGTATAAACACAAGACTTAGTTATTTGAATTGTCATAAAGCCTCACTGTTTACAGACTGGTTGAAACCCTTAAAGGAATGTAAAAATCAAAGAATCACTAAACCCGCTTAGTAGCGAAAGCCATAGAACAATAGGCCTAGTGAGGAGCATAACGAATGGTCGTTTCCATACACTCCAAATTTCTCGTAGGGAGAGCTTAAAACCGTGAATCTCGTGTGGACCTAGATATTGACTTTTCCTAGTCCGGCCTTACGTCTCTTCTTCGCTACCCTATCGAGGATAATAGTAGCTCGCGTTTCCGGTACTAGGAAGAAGTGTATAATTTGGACATATCCACTAGCGAGGAGCTGGACCTAAAAGATCTAGGCTAATAGATAGCGGTCTTTCACAAACCACTAACGACCGCTCCGACAACTAAGCCTCCGACGGATAATAGCACGAGGAATGCGACAGCGCATTCCTAATCATCGGGCTCCTATATATCCGTAATAACTCCTAGTGTCAGCCACCGGCTATACCTAAACCCCTAAGGAGTCGAACTATAATATATATATCGTAAAGTTAGGAGTAAGAGCATATAGTAACTGCTAGATATTAACGAGGAGGAGACTTAGTTACTAGGTTGGCCATCGCCTAAGTTCTTCACTCTAAGGGGCCTAAAGCTCACATCCGAAGGCGTAGGCGTAAAGAAATACTAGCTAAGGAATTCTCGTAACTTGTTCACTAGTATTACACTCCTTCGAGATCGCCGTGACGCCGTTCGTATAGAGACTTACTTTTAGGTTAATTGATATTTAGATACAAAACATTACGCAGAGGATTTACCATTTTCTCCATATGGGATAGCTATATCCCAATTCGTCGTAGGCAGCAGACTACGTTAGCTCGATCTTGTTGGTATCCTATAAGGAGATTTTGTCTTCTCTGTTATCGCCTAGATCCACTGTTTCTAAATCTAGGTGGGATCTATCGTTTGAACCATCGATGAATTGATTAGTTGATGCCATAGTAGTGGTATAAATTTGTACAATTTATGTGGAAAGAAAATAATTATTCGATCTAAAACAGTAATTATATCGATTAGTCTAACCGACTACATTATAGAACTCATACTTCTATGACGTGTGTGGCGAATTTCTCCCATAGGCATCGCACGGCTTGTTTCAAGTATCGGGATAATTCTGTTGGAATTGAGCTGTTCATTAATATTCGTATTTCTCAATATGGATCGAGCGACTAAACCATGGAAACAGAGATAGAAAGACACTGGATTCGTGGACGGTACGAGTCAGCAGGCAGAATCCAATACGGCGCCACATATGATCACTCGCTCTTTTTTTGATAGTTTGGAATTTAGCTTGGTGCTTAAACATAAATCGACGCGATAGCTTGATTACCACTTACCAGCAGAGGTAAGAAGGTGTGCACTTTTTTAACCTAGCAGTAAAATATCGCATATTTTGTTCCCACAAAATCTAAGAGCTATATTATCATGGTATCGGAAATTACGTTGTTGAGAACCAGAGATATATATCTTAATTGCTAAGTCATAGAAATTGTCAAAACTCCCTGAATAGGCTAAATATCACTATTATTAAGATGTCAAGTTATAATTCATCCCATTTACTATGGTGATTATGAATTTAAGCCTGAGGTTGTATGACACATTTCTGCTTAATTGATCCAGGCCTACCCATGGGTGGGCGGTTCTAGGCTTTGGCAGAGCCCCATAGGCCGCCTGAAAAAGCAATATATCGAGGTCTATACGGATGTCACGGTATTTGTAAGCTCTATCACTGCTATCTCTTCTCAAGACAAATTTAGTTCAAACTCCCCATTTCCCTCCCTCAAATTGGACTCCATCACTGACAAACTTTCAAAATATTCACCCCATCTTCGAAAATGTTCGCGACATAGATCTCAGCTATGAAAGATATATTGAGAGAAGCCCCATTGGGTCAGCTCATCCGATTCGTCACACGCAATAGGGTTCTTCCATATCCCGAGGAGTTGCTTGGTTTCGAATTACCAGCGACATTCAATGCTGCTCTCAACTTGCCAGAAAATGGACAGGAAGCTGCTACTACCACGGCAACCACCAATGAACGAAAACGGTCACCGAACGGAGCGAGACGCGATAGTGCAATTGGGCTTCCGGGAACCGTTGAACCCGGCGAGGATTTAGACCAGCAAGATCTGCGCGATCATGATCCAGAAGATATGTATCTCAGCCAGACGAAGAGTCGTCTAGAAACTTGCCCCTTCTCTGAAGAGCGCTTGGAAATCGAAGCGGATCTTGCCCTTCAACGGACGCAGACAAAACCAATCATCCCACGAAAGTCGTCAGATGGCAGCATCCTTGTTGATTGGTATACCACTGATGATGCAGCAAATCCTCAAAACTGGTCCAACGGAAAGCGCTTTGTGGTGTCGTTCATCATTTGCTTATACACCTTCGTCGTATACACTGGCTCCGCGATCTACACCTCGAGCGAGGGGGGCGTTATGGAAAAGTTCAATGTTGGGCCAACAGCCGCATCACTCCCGCTTTCCCTCTACGTTCTAGCTTACGGTATTGGGCCTCTTCTCTGGGCTCCTCTCTCGGAGGTTCCAGTCATCGGGCGATCTCCAGTCTACGCTGTAACAATGGCGTTATTCACCATCTTATCCCTTCCCACTGCGCTTGTTGATAACTTCGCTGGCCTTCTGGTTCTACGGTTTCTCCAAGGATTCTTCGGAAGTCCTTGCCTGGCAAACGGGGCGGCCACGATGCAAGATATGTACTCTTTGCTCTATCTACCATTTGCGCTGTGAGTATATCTTCTCAGTATGTAAAGAATCTCGGCTTATGCACGACTAGTACTGCTTGGGTCTCGGCAGCTTACTGTGGACCAGCTATTGGGCCCCTACTCTCTGGATTTGCGGTCACCGCCAAGGGATGGCGCTGGTCATTATGGGAGATCCTGTGGGCAGCTGGACCTATCTTCATCGTGATGTTCATGTTCCTTCCTGAAACTTCTACCCCCAATATCCTGCTCCGTCGCGCCCGTCGACTCCGAAAATTAACGGACAACAAGCGACTCCTGGCACAGTCTGAAATCGACCAAAAGAACCTCCGGCCTTCAGCTATCCTGATGGATGCCATCGCTAAGCCGATGGAGATCACCATCAAGGATCCAGCAATCGCATTCGTGAACCTGTATACGGCTCTAGTTTACGGCATTTACTATAGTTTCTTCGAGGTGTTCCCGCTAGTTTATCCTGTCTACTATGGGTTCTCGCTCGGCATGATTGGTGTTGTCTTCACCTGCGTGCTCGTTGCCTGCCTAATCGGCGTTACTATTTACTGTCTCTACCTTATTTACATACTCATCCCAGATATCATGGCGCACGGTCTGCGCGCGCAAGAGTCCCGCCTGGTCCCTGCTCTCTTCGCCTGCTTCGGCCCTACCATTGGGCTCTTTCTATTCGGCTGGACCGCTCGCGCCAGCATCCACTGGATCGTGCCAACCATCGGCATCACTTTATACGCTGCCAGCGTCTTCATTGTTATGCAGTGTATCTTCGTATACGTCCCACTTTCATACCCTCAATACGCTGCGTCCTTGTTTGCTGCGAATGACTTTTTGCGGAGCGCCCTGGCTTGCGGGAGTATCTTGTTCGCGAGACCACTCTTCATCAACCTTGGTGTTGGGAAGGGTGTTAGTGTCTTGGGTGGCTTAAGTGTGATTGGTATCTTTGGTATGTTTGGTATCTGGATCTACGGCGCGAAGTTGAGAGCGAGATCGAAATTCGCGATTTCGTAACTTAGACACAGTCTGTCCCATAATGCGATGGCCTTGGCTACGATGTGTTACGACGTTATTGCAAACGTCTCCAGGACAACATGTTGGATGCCGACCGAAAATAAATGCAGAATGAGACTTTACTTTGCCATACTCCAGAAGATCGCTCAGGTCAAAGCAGCGAATTGAAGTGTATCGTGTTTATCCAAAGACCTAAGACCGTCGGATAAGAATCAAGGTTCTGACCAGGTAGCAATAAGATGCACTATAGATATTTGTATAGCACTTACAATATGTATCAGGCACTTGATCATTAGCAATTTTAGTTGATCTGCTCAACTATAACGCTATATTAAACATTCGGCATGATCTCGGGGCTGTGCACCCATAGGACGTCATACCCACGATGCACAACTAAAGCATGCGAACGTATTTTTGACCCCAAGTGATATACAGAGTGGAAGCCTTTTACTTGGAAACAAAATTGTCGACTGCGCCTCCACCTAATTCAAGAATAGGGCGGCGATGCCAGTTGCTCTGCCTAAAATTGCTAAAGGGGAAGTAGGTCAAACCACGGTTACGGCAAATCACCCGCGTTCTGCTTTTTCCTCTTCCGTTGTTTTTCCCTTGTTGCTTATTGCATGGTGGTTTGGCTCCACTTGACACTGCTGCCTACTCCCTACAGCAAATATGTCCCCTGAGGTACTTAGCGCCTAGTATACATGTTGTTGATGTTTATATCTCAACACGAAAACGAATGCGAATGCGAACATTGCGTCGCCTTTCGGAAGAGCGTGTTCCCTACTGATACAGTCAAACTTTGATGAGACTATAGGCACCATACGGCATAGTATGCACAAGAGGTGTTAAGATCAAAGCATCATTTTGCATATAAAAATAGTGCAGTGTCCCCCTCTCCATTAACTTGTATTTTGTATGAAGTACTTCATACTACCAACCAACTACGCTATCTTTCACAGTATCTTTGTCCTCAGCATCATGCCCTATATTCACCGAACAGTATCATCGAAATCAAATAATGTGTCAGTAGACAAAAAGACGAAATATAGATTGCAGGTGACGGCAGGGCCAGGATATGATTCAGCATGTCATTCTATTGTTCCCGTCAACCAGCAGGAAACTGTGACTTTTGAGAACGATCTGGCTTTTGTAAGCCTTTGCGTGAGGGTCAAGAATTACAGAGGTAAGTGACTAAAATATTTGGACTTTTACTCCTACGATGGAGTACGCTAAGAGATTCATAACTAATTGTCCATTGCCCATCAATTGCATAGGTTATCCCGAAGGCTCTCCTAGCACACACGCCTATTTTTCCTATCCTCTTCACAAAAGCCAAGAATACTCCGTCACCTTTTCCTTCCAACCGAAGAAGGCCATTTCAGGCGATAGCCTCGTTTTCGGCAATGATTTCGACAATCCAATCCGAGACCGCTTGCCTCCCGGGTTCAACACTGCTCTACGTATCGTTAAATGGATGATTGACCCAGGTCTTTACGGTAACGCATATACCGATAAGCCATATCTATATGGTCCTGCGCTTTCTAGTTTGAATTGCCTACGAATATGTGGAAGACCAGGTGCGTTTGAAACCATATTTCATTGGAAGAGCGGAAATAGGAATCTTACAACAAATTTACTAAAACCTACCAACTAGGATCGAAAAATTGGCGAAAGGAGCTACACACTGAAGTTATCGAGGAAGGTGGTGAGGCCGAAGGAGAAGTGTCCAGACGGGAAATGAATATCCCAGATCAGGCACATGAGAGGCAAAAGCATTTCCTCCAAAGGGAAAACCGCCAGACTTTCTGGTTTGAACCTGGCGTCGTTTATAAAGCAGACTTTGGAAATGGGTATATCGACTTTCAAAGTACGTCTTTTCCATTTGGGCAACTCAAATCTTTGCATGCTTTAACGAATATGGTCAGATTTCTCTTTGAAACTCCCAGGTTTCTCCATACCAGTCATACAATACGTTAACGACAAAAACCACAACCTGCGATATGTGTTGAAGGATAGGGACAGCGGAGAAGTTATCTTCGCACTTGTTTTCAAACTAATCTTTGAGGGGTGAGGTGAGACGTCGATGTGAAATAAAAACAAGTAATTCCTTGAATAATTCCATTAAAATCTATGTTACCCGCACGAGAGCATTACCTGATATGTAGACTACAACAACTATGTGCCTATACCCATGTTAAAGATCAAAAAGCGGCAAAGCGTGAGCAGCTCAGTGAGTTTGAGCCCGGACTGAAATCTACTCAGTGAGCCTGACTCTGAGCGCCCTCATGAAAGCGGCGGCAGCTAAGCTTAGGAAAGCCCCACCCGGCAGAGGAAATCAAGTACGTATAGCTACCTAAGTATGGCAGCAAAAAATAGACTTGGACATCAAGAAAACCTTCAACTTACACTTAACCACATGCACTTAACCACATGCACTTAACCACATGCACTTAACCACATGCACTTTGCAGGAAACCTCGGTCCCTATATAAAGAACAAAATAATATGCACTATATCCTCCGGACCGGTCTGCTCTTGAACAACTCCAGAGGAAGACCAACCACTATTCACTATGGCCACCTCTCCAAATCCGATGGATAATATGAAATCCACATGGCGCACATGGGACCGAAACCAGTGGAAATTACCACACAAAATCTTCGAGCACGCTAACGTATACCACATCGAGCTCAACAGGGATATCCCAATCCATCCCAAAGAAGATAAGATACCATACGTATCCGACTGGGCTTTAAACCGCTGGGTTCTTGTCAATTCCGGAGTTCCACTCCTAGCCCACCAGACTTTTACCTACTTCACCGGATACAACTTTCACCCGATCATCGCCTTCTTCTACTATTATTATGCCTCAAGACTGTTCACAACACGCGAGCTGCGGAGTCTCCGAGAGCTCGGCCATACCTACGGGTTCCTAGACGGCGACAAACACGAGCGAGATGGTGTACCCGACATGGGCGTTTCAAAAGCTCTGATCTCGGTTCTCCTGGCCGGGTTTGTGCGCCCACTGATGACGGTATGGCTCACCTACGATGCGGATAAAGCACCCTCCTCACTCAGCTGGGCTTGGCTGCTCGTCGAGATCAGTCTTTATGGCATCATCCTTGATTTCTGGTTCTATTGGTACCACCGTGTCATGCATGATGTGAACGATCTCTGGAAATTTCACCGCACTCACCACCTCACAAAACACCCGAACCCGCTACTCACAATCTACGCGGACTCGGAGCAAGAATTCTTCGACATTGCTGGTATTCCGTTGATGACATGGTTCACGATGAAACTCATGGGCATGCCGATGGGATTCTACGAATGGCATGTTTGCCAGATGTACGTTGTATTTGCAGAGCTGGCTGGGCATAGCGGTCTCCGTCTTCACGCATCGCCACCCAACCCTGTGACATGGTTGATGCGGATGTTTGATGCTGAGTTGGTGATTGAAGACCATGATTTGCATCATCGTCGGGGGTGGAAGAAGAGCCATAACTATGGCAAGCAAACACGAGTCTGGGATCGGGTCTTTGGAACATGCAGTCCCCGTATTGAGAGTGTGGAGGCGAATATTGATTATGATAATCCTGTTGGCATGCCGATTTTGTGATATATTATTGCAGGCACCCTTTATTTTCATGGGCCGAGTGACGCTTTTAATGCGATGGACATGGAACAAAATTAGAATAGGCCTTGCAGCTCATGACAGTCTTGTATTCTTCATTCAACACCTTGGTCTATCTAGTATCATTCTTGCTATGGCTGTGTTATTGGTCAAAAACAGAGGTCCTGACCCAACATCGGCTAGCATGTCTCAGCAAGCAGCGAGGCTGTGTACGTCAAGTGGTGACCATGAAAGTTGAAGAAATTGCTGCCGAGGTCGGACAACTGGCGGATGGCTGGCCATTCTAAATCGAGAAATCACATCTGGTGGACTACAAGCTGCCAGCAAGCACCGGTACCTACGTAATAAACCTCTTAGAAGCTCATGGAATGAAGGCTTCAGCACGATGAAAGTCTATTTGACCGGATACCAGACCAAGGAGTCCGGAGGGAATCCTGGAAGGTCAATGGGCCACAGAACCCGCGATGTCTCAAGCCGCGTTTCCGGGAATCCGGGAATCCGGACGGACTACCCTCAGCCCTTCTGCGAGGTCAAGTGAACACCAAACAGCTCCTAAAAGAGATAAAAGAGACCATCGTCGCGAAGATGTAAGTCAACATCACAACAAAACATCTTTCTCAATATCCACTTGAACTTCACTTTAATCAACAAAATGGTCGGCTTTGATATGTGTGGTTTGACCCCGGCTCCGGTCACCCCCTTCACTGAAGACGGCGCAGTGGACTATGACGCTATTCAACGCCTTGGCTCCTGGCTCGGTGGCATTGATGGAGTGAAGGGCCTTGTGGTGCTCGGCCACGCTGGCGAGGGCACCTTCCTCACCGTCGAAGAGCAAGTTTCAGTCATCAAAGCTTTCGTCAAGTCCGTTGATAACAAAGTGCCCATCATCGCCGGCATCACCGGCGAAGGCACTGAAGTTGCTGCTATTGAGGCCAAGCGAGCCAAAGAAGCTGGCGCAGCTGCTGGCTTGCTCTACCCTTCCCACGGCTGGCTGCGCTTCGGGTACCAGCCCGGTGCTCCTCAAGATCGGTACCGTCGCGTGTATGAAGTCTCCGGCCTTCCCTTAATCCTCTTCCAATACCCCGACAACACGAAAGCCACATACAACCTGCAGACGATGCTGGATATCGCTGCTCAGCCCGGCTGCTTCGCCATGAAGAACGGTGTGCGCAACATGCGTCGATGGGACACGGAAATCCCTGTCATTCGTGCTCAACGACCTGACCTGCAAATTCTTTCTTGCCATGATGAATACCTTTTGCACACTTCATTTGATGTGGACGGATTTTTGGTTGGTTACGGGAACATTGCCCCCGAGCCCCTCATCGAACTCATCAAGGCTGGCAAGGCTAAGGACTACAAGAAGGCGCGAGCCATCCATGATCAGCTCTTGCCTGTTACTAAGAGTGTCTATCACCGTGGATCTCACATGGAGGGCACCGTGGCACTCAAGCATGCTCTTGTTGCTCGGGGAATCCTGACTCACGCTACCGTTCGCCCACCTCTTTTGCCTCTTGGGGCTGGCGCGGAGCAGGAGATTCATGCTGCTATCAATGCTGCATCGCTCAGTAAGGTGGTCTTGTGATGCACAATCAGATCGAATGTCGCGCATAAAATATTTTGATTCGAGTGTATATAGACGAAACAAATCACACGTCATTGTCAAAGATATATTTAGACACATTAGGCATTTGTAGAAGTAAAGATCGAATTTTCTTATAGGACCAACGATGGATAGACCACCAGTAACCAACGAAACTCATGCCGTAAAAATTGAATGTATTCTAGATGCCTATGGAGGCTGGACACGAAAGGTCGAGCTGTTACAGTAGGTAGTCTCGGATTCTCGGATTCTCGGCTATTCTCCCTACAGTCTCGTATCCGTATCCCCGCATCCGTCTCCTGCGTATCTGGACCCGACATTTCCGTTCACCCTGCATATTATGCAAACCCCTGCGAGAAGTCATGTCCTCCGTACCCCCTCCACAGACACCTCCCTCAGCGTCTGAGTCTTTCAGGGCCATTTCAGGCAAACGCCCTTTGTCAACGACGAATGTAGACGCGGACGAGGAGAACCGTCGGAAAGATCCGAAGATTAGTAGGGCTTGTGACACCTGTAAGAGAAAGAAGATACGATGCGACGGCATACTTCCATGCAGCAATTGTGCTAAGAGAAAGCTCAATTGTGCTTATGACGCGAAATATGGCCGAGGGCGGCCTCCGACTCCTCCACTTTCAACCACAATCAACGAACGCCAAGAGAGATCACGAAGTGATAATTCAAATGACCTTTCTATCTGGCAGCAACCAGCACCCGTCACTCGTGATGTCTCAACTTCACAGGTGCATTCTCGCGCCTCGCCTGAGGTCGAAATCGAGGGTCAATATTTTGACCCTACCTCGGGTCTGAACTTTCTACACCGAGCGTGGAAGAAGTTGTTGATCCAAAAAGACAAGTCTGCCTCATATGACACAAACGATACAGAGCGAAATCAACTTCTCACTTCGGCTGGAGACCGCCCGTTTCACGTCGATAATAGCGCATCAGACAGCTTCATTCCAGATGCTCCCACAGCGAGAAAGCTACAGGAGTTCTATTTCGAAACGTGTGTTGTGACCTACCGTATGTTCCACCGACAAACTATTGAAGGCTGGATGGAGATGTTCCTGAAGGATCGACAATTAAAAAGGCCGATTGCTCAGTCCCTTGGTAATTCCAGGACTGCGATTCTCCTTACTATTATGGCCATCGCGACCCTGCGCCTTGAGAAAGTACATGGGGAAATGTCCACGGAAGATGAGTCACTTGTTCTACAACGAAGCGATCACTTGTTCTGTGCTGGTATGAGATTGACCGAAATGGAGATGGGGTTCCCTCGTCTTGAGTCAGCGCAGGCACGCCTCATCCAAGTCCTCTATCTTCTCCAAACAGCTCGCATGAATAAAGGCTGGTATACATTCGGAAATGCATTCCATATCACTCTCTCCTTGGGTATGCACAGGAGACGCGATCAGAAGCGAGACTTTCCTTTCACGAGCAAGCGACAAAATTATATCACTTCAGAGTGCTATAAGCGCACGTTTTGGGTCGCATACATCATCGACAAATACCTTAGTGTTGTATTTGGCCGGCCTCGACTTTATCAAGATGGAGATATTGATCAGAACTTTCCAGATAATGTCAACGATGAGGACATGACGCCACAGGGACCTTCCATCTCAGATGACCCAGCAGATTGTTATATTGATGCTCTCATATTTCATGCAAAGTACATATCAAGTCCATTATGACAATATTATTCTACTAACACATTTGTAGAATTGCACGAATAATTGGAAAAGTATCACGAGAAGTATACTCAGTCAGCGACCTGTCCAACCAAGATCGCTTGGCAGCTGCCCATCGATCGAGCCGCGAATTACACGAGTGGCATGCAAGCCTGCCGCCACACTTGGGTACTGTGAAACCATCAACATTGATTCCTAGTTTCCGGCGTCAGGCTATCGCCTTGCAGCTCGCGTATTCCCATGCCCTCATTCACACCAATAGGCCCTTCCTTATGAGTGAAGGGGCGTCTGAGAATGTCATCGAATGCATCTCTGCCACCAAGGCCAGTTTAGAGCTCGTCAACAGAATGGCGGGGGATAGTACTCTGCTTCATTCCTTCTGGTGGACACACTATGTCATCTTCTGCGCATTGGCAGTGGTCTATGTTTGGGAAATTCAACGAACCACAAGACCCACTGAAGAGATAGATAATCAGTCTCTAGGCAAAATCTTTGATCTTGCAGAGAAATGCCATGGTCATCTCAAGCGAGCATCTACTGGTCTATCGCAAAATCAACGATACAGCGTCATACTTGACGAACTGAGATCTGAGGCCCAAAGATGTCGAATATTGAGAAATCAGCCGTATCCGCACCAAGGTGGTCGTGCTGGTGGCGAAACCAGTGCCAACACAGATATTGCCTTTCCATTCTTGCAGGATCCGGATATGTTCGGGTCTGCAGCGAGCGCTCAGGAGGAGATCATGCCGAATATGCTGGACAGCTTTCTGTTCAGTGACTGGCAGACTCTTGACTCATCGGTATGTGCATCCATGGATCCCTGGAGCATTTGATAGTGCCCTCGTGGTGATAGCTAACCTCAACCTTGTCCGTAGGCCATCTTCCCATTTCCTGACCCCAATTCTGTTTCCCCGACATGTTTCCCCGCAGTTCCATGAGAAGGTGAAAAGTTAATGGGTGCTCCACTTTTTGGGCCCGAAACCTTAGAACTCGACGCCGGGACCGGACTTCACGGAAAAGGCGACTCCGGAGGGCAAGAGTCCGGGGTAGTCCGGGGTTGCCAAGACTGCTAACGCACTCCAGTTTGCTTTGCTCTTGAGGTACTTCTTCTATATCTACCCCGTGGGGTTGCCAAGGGTCTCACTATGTACTTTATAAGATGATCTCAACGCAAGCTGTCGATATCCCTCTTATCCCTGCTACTTACTAGCTCCATCATGACCGACAAAGATGCTGCAGTGATGCACCTTGAGCATCAACTAGGCCAGGGAATCTCTGCCGACGATGCCGAGTTTTTGTCAAACTTTTCCGATGAAGCGAAAAAGAAAGTCATTAGCAAGGTGAGTACAATGACAAGACGTATGAAGAAGTTTACTGACAAACTGCATGCAGGTTGACGTATGTGTTCATCTCGATCCCGCTCCATTGACCCCGAAGATGATGACTGAGTCTGAATTCTAGATGAGGCTTGTTCCTATGCTTGCTCTCCTGTACTTGGTGGCATACATCGATAAGACAAACATTGGTATGTCAACTCACAAACCCCATATGTTGCATCTTCTCACTCTCAGCAGGAAATGCCAAGATCGAGGGCCTTCTTCCAAGTCTACACATGGACGGTGTACAATACAACATTGCCTTGTCCATATTTTTCATACCTTATGTCCTTGCTGGTACGCGATTCTTATGTGAAATCCATGGATACCCACTGACATAGTTGAAGAGGTGCCGAGCAATGTAATCTTGAACCGGCTCAAGAGACCATCGCAATATCTGGGATTCCTGATCTTCTGCTGGGGTGTGATTATGCTTTGTACGGGATTTGTTCAGAACTTCGCCGGTCTAGTGGTGATCCGCTTCCTTCTGGGACTTTTCGAGTATTGCCCCCAATCACATTCCACGGTGTTTCCCCAATACTGACAATTGTCCAGAGCTGGCTTTCTTCCAGGTGCCGTGCTTGTGATTTCGAAATGGTATCTCCCAAATGAGACACAGACTCGCATCGCTATTCTGTACACATCTGCCGCTTCTGGTGGTGCTTTCTCGGGTCTGCTGGCGTTTGGGCTCGCTAAAATGGATGGCATGGCAGGCTACGAAGGCTGGCGCTGGGTATGTTCTTTCTTTTATCATCTCCCGATTTCTAGCTTCTAACTATTATGTCAGATCTTTATCATAGAGGGTCTTGCAACCGTTGCTATGGCCCTCGCTTGTTATTTCCTCCTTCTGGACTCGCCATCCTTATCTCCAGGCTGGCTTACTCCAGACGAGATCCGATATCTCGAAGTGCGTCAACTAGCCTCCAATAACCACAGTGGCCACCACAAAGGCTTCGACAAGCGGATAATCTTCAGCGTCCTTTTCGACTGGAAGATGTATCTTCTCATACTTGCCACCTGGTCCAATGCTGTTCCCAACTACGCACTCAAGTTCAGCATGCCCGAGATCATCAAATCCATGGGCTACGAATCAGCCAACGCCCAGCTCTTGACCATTCCTCCATATGCCGTTGGCGCTTTGTCAGCGTACGGCTTTTCCGTGTTCGCCGATCGCTTCTCATGGAGGATGCCCTTCATCGTGGTACCGCAATGCTCACTTATAGTCGCCTTCGGAATATTATTTTCCAAGGCCGCCGACATCGAGAATAACATAGCACTGTGCTACTTCGGCATTTGTCTCGCTTGCTTCGGAATGTATCCCATTCTCCCCGGTGTCAACGCTTGGAATGTCTGCAACATTCCGAATCCTCACAAGCGCGCCGTGGCCATTGGTTATCTAATTTGCGTGGGTAATGTGGGTGGGATCATTGGGAGCTACATTTACAGAGCTGAAGAGAAGCCACGATATCCCACTGGTTATGGCACTTCTCTTGCGTTCGCTGCTGCTGGAATTACGGCTTGTTTATCCTTGGAATTCTGTCTCTGGAGTGCAAACAAGAAGAAGGCTCTGATGACTGTGTCTGAAATTGAGGAGAAGTATACTGAAGATCAGCTTCGTGAGATGGAGGAGAGGAGCCCTATATTCAAGTATAGCTTGTGAGATACTACTATTATCATGGATAAATATAGGTATAGAATCTGAGCAACTATGGAATTAATGCCAAAAACACCCGTTTTCGCGCCTTTTCCACCTGTAACTTGACAGAGAAGGTAATGAACGCTTTCGAACTGTCGCAGATTTTCTGTGGGTAGTAAGAGCTCTCTACTAAGCCGCCTGATGCTGCGAATATTTAACCAATTTGTGAACTTAATAAGCATGTAGATGCCTTCACCTACTGGCTAGGTAGGCATCAGGCTAGTTTTCATCAGTAATCCAAGACCCATGTTTATCCACCTAGTAACAGACCTGTTATCAACTTTCAACTTCAATCAAAAACAAGCATCGAGTTCGTTCCCAAAGGAAAATAGTATTTACTGGGCTCTAGACTAATATTTCAAACAAAGAACATTGACCAAGTCGTCTGGGCTATCTGAGTAGAATACACACTTCCATGGGTGGTTGGGTTAGTATAATATTTTTATTGATTTTGATATTTATTGTTTAGTATCCACGCAAACAGGGATATTTCAGTCTTTGCATTGGTTATACTATGGTGTTAAGATATTACTTGTAACTAAAACACTGTGTTAGGCTTTCTGTCTCAAAGACCTACCAATAAATGGGTTTGATTGGGCTAATTAACACACACAAAGCCTTTATACCAGCTGACAGGGAACAAGAGCTCATGAAAGAGAAACAGCTGAACGCCAATCACCGCTTATCGCTTGTATATAAAAGAAGCCAGATCCCATTATAGGATTAATCAAGCACTTGCCAAGTTCGTGAACTGTTCTCACTATGGAAAAAAAGTCAACCACAGATGTTTTCATGAGCATCCCACCTGAAGATGCGCTAGAGATTGCACGCGGTAGGAAAACCAATGTATACCGCAGCTATCCTCTCCCAGCCACCGTTCGCCGCATCTGGTTCTACACCACTGCTCCACTGCAGTTCATTGAGTATGTGGTGTGTATATCACACAATGAGGTTGAATCAAACACAAACAACAAGCAATCCACATACAGTTACAAGATTCGCCAAGTGTGGATGTTGAAGCACCCTATTTACCTGCATCAGGCTATCTCGCGCGGTATACTGAAAGCTCCCCCGCGCAAGTACTGCTGGGCAACTGAGAGTTTCTTGGACAGCTGTCCTTTCTATCGACAGTATCCAGTGAGGGGTCCGAAGGAAATCATCTGGTAAAGAGGGTAATGCAGCAATTTTTGACTTCCCTAGATTCAGATAGTGAAGAATAAATTATCTTTTTTTTTTTGGTTCAAAGCGTTGAAAACTGAAACGTCTGGATGTTCGCCCGAGCTAGGTTACTCTTATTAAGCGAACTACACTACCAGGGACCTAGTTATTTTAGTATTAGTGCCAGGATTATCTAGGTTATTTACACTAATTGCTTTGCGTTTGAAGCCTGAAAGACTGCTGGTTGAGTATTGATGGCATTACTGAGCACTATAATGCATAACGCATAGTATGTAATACGTGGAGGAGTATTAAGAGCTCTTATTGTCCAAACGCCAAGTGACGTATGAAAACTAAGACATTTGATTCAGCCTAGGCCTCTGTGATTGACCTGTGTACAGTTTAGTGATACAATCAATATAGGGTCGTTTCCTGGTTCTTTCTGACTATAGTGCAAAAAAATACATATCTAGATCAAATGTATGTATCCAATAGAATCGCAGGATAATCCAGATAGTGGATCTACCCGTAGCCCGAATTAGTTCCGACGGACTCTTATTGGTCCGATTATTGATCAGTCAAAGAGTTCCTCCGGTTCACAGGTTGATCAATGATCACGGTGCATTTTTCCTCCGATTTAGGCAGTTCAGCAGATGATTGACACGCTCGGCTTTCATTCTGGATTAGTTCAAAATATTTCAGGGGCGCAGATGTTCATATATAAATCGCGGCATGGGATAATTCAATGCATCTTTGATTTTTCAAACCTCTCACTGTCAGTCAGTTTGTATTGACAACATCATGGACGAAAAGCCGTTTAAAGTCGTCATTGTGGGTGGCAGCATTGCTGGACTCTCGCTAGCCTTGATGCTAGAGAGGAATGGCATCGACTTCGTCATCCTTGAAGCATACGGCAGCATTGCACCCCAGGTCGGGGCTAGTTTTGGCGTTTTGCCAAACGGCTTTCGCATTCTCGATCAGCTGGGTTGCTATGAGTCGGTTTTAAAGATGGCAGAATACCCTGTCGACACATTCTGCTTCCGTGATTCGCAAGGACAACCATTCTGGACATTCGAGAACTTTAACGAGACTTCAATCGGAAGGTTTGTCGCCTTTCAATCTTATAGGTTGATATCTAAGAACACACAACTGACAGCATCTCAAGTCATGGTTATCCTGTTGTCTTCCTGGATCGCCGAATGTTGATAGAAGTCCTCTATGAAAAGATCCAGGATAAGACCAAAGTGATCACCTCTCAGCGGGTCCAGACTATTGAAAATGGTACTTTGGGTGTGACAATTACCACAACGAGTGGTCAAGCCTACACCGGAAATATCGTGGTCGGAGCAGACGGAATTCATTCCAAAGTGCGGCAAGAAATGTGGAAAGCGGCCGAAAAGATAGATCCCACGTGGATTGATCCTACAGAAAAATCTGGTAACGAAAATCAAACCCAAGCATCTGAGAAGTATTAGCTAACTCCCGTGAAAGCACTGCCTGCAACCTACGCATGCATCTTCGGCATTTCCAAAGGTGTGAAGGGAATCGAGAAAGGCACGCTGAGCTCGGTGTTCAATGAGCATTTCTCGTATCTTATTGCCAGCGGACCCGGAGACCTCACCTACTGGTTTCTCGTGCGGAATATGGGAAAGACGTACTATGGTGCAGATATCCCTCGGTTCACCAAGGAGGAGGAGGAGGCATGCGCAACGGAACATTTCGACGACCAGATCACTCCTACGCTTCAATTTTCCGCTCTGTACAAGGGCAGAATCGCCTCGGTATACACCAGTCTGCCAGAATACGTCTATAAAAGATGGCATTTCCAGAGAATTATGACCATTGGCGACGCCAGTCACAAGGTAAGCATACTTACCAACCCAAGAACAAGATCATGCGAAGACTGACCAATATTTCGTCTAATAGTTTGAGCCTTTGACAGGCCAGGGAGGCAATAATGCAATGGAAACCGCTGCATCCCTGACAAATCATCTCATTGCGGCCCTCAAAAACTGCCAGTCTGGCAGCCTCTCGTCGGCAGAAATTTCGAAGGTCTTTGAGAGCGTTCAACAGCAGCGTGAAAAACGTGCGTGGGGATTGGTCAAAGTATCCCATGCCCGGCAGCGCATGGAGTGCCAGGAAACGCCCTTGTTGAAGTTCATGGCAAGATACGTGGTGCCACGCCTCTCTAGATCCGCTGTCCTCAACAAATGGGTCGACACGTATTCTCCCGCAGTGTCCTTAGACATGCTTCCGCTACCACACAGGCCTCGAGAAATTGCATATTTCGACGAGCGGTTCAGGCTTCCGTCATCTCGGGGCATGGTAAGCATCTTGTTGTACGCTGCGTACTTTCTCTTAGCCTGGTTAGGCCATCGCCAATTGTCAACAGCACTCAGAGCAAATGGAACAATGGGGTTGGTCCGCCAGGCAATCCAGAACCAGTCGGTCCTACTACCAGGAGGAGTTGAAGCTCCCCTTCGCCAGGTGTATACAGGGCTCGGACCTGTTGATCTCATTTTGAAAATCTTGGTGACAATATTCCTGCCAGCGGTCTCCAACTTCTCCACGCCGGAGCAGCCATTCCAAGTTCTATACTTCCTGGGTTCGCTGATGCCGATTATCGCTATCTTGACGGTTGAAGGTTTCCGACCAAGGAACAAATGGACCCTTCTTGCCACTCCGAGTCTATGGGCGGTTCTATATCAGTTGCGAGGGATGGGGCTGGTTGCACCGCTCTATTTCGCATCGAGCACGTATATTTCCTCTGGGATACCATACTTCTCCCCAAGTTCCCGCACACTGCCTGAATCCACTGCTCGAGCTATACTGCCTGCACTGGTACTGGGATTCGTTGTGCCCACAATCATGCTGTTCTTCCCACTGGCTGATGCTCTGAACACGCGACAGATCTTTATTGCACTGTGGCAGCCCGCTCCGGTATATGTGGTTATCTTGACTCAGATATTCTCTCGTGCCATCAAATCGATCGGTTCAAGCACACCAGCCAAGACCAATAGCGCCCCAGCGGAGAGGAAACCTAACCGTGACATCACACACTTGAAAACACTCTACGCTGTGGCCGGTTGTGTATCTGCTTGTTTCCATGTGGCCTTGTTGCTGAGCTGGGCTGCTTTGGGGACAAACTTTATTACCAAGGCATTCATCCCATCCGATGCCTTCGCACAGGTGGCAACACTTGCAGACGGTGTCTTCATATTTTTCCAGAACGACTTCTTGCTTGTTGCAGCAGCAACTCTCCTGTGGTGCTTAGCTAGCATGTGGGATCTTTACCGCATTGGGGTTTCTAACGTCTCCTGGCAGGTGGCACTGGCCGGTATGGTTCTGGGTTCCGTGGCAATTGGACCGGGTGCGACCGCGGCAGCTGTGTGGTATTGGCGCGAGGAGGTCATGAGTCAGACATCTTTCCGCCGGCATGGTCCGGATCTCTAGCGCAACCGAGAGTAATTGATGGTGCAATTTTGGTGTTGAAGGGCCATATGATGAGCGAAGAGAGGTCACAGCAAACTTCCAAGACTTGGGCGAAACAAAGGTTGGGGTAGATAGTTCCGAACGAAATTGTGTCTCATTCATCGGGTTATTGTGTGCGTATAGAAAGTAAATAGGGTATTGTGATGTTCTGCAGATTGAAAGACATAAATGCACACAAGGCTACATTAAAGAGCTAGTAACCCCAACTGAGATCCATCTCACATTGTGCGAAACAACCCTCTCGACATCAGACCGGCGAAATCCAGCCACACAGCCCAGGGCGACTGGAAGCTGGCTCAGTCCTGGCTAGGTTAGCTCTTATCATTATATTTGGCCCGAGAATAATAGCAAACAATAGTGCAAGCGTACTGTTGATCAATTTATACTCATCGACGACCATCATCATACTGCCCGGTAATTCGCCGTGGGGGGCCTCTAAGTTTGAATGACCAGCGCCTGGACTAGACGGATAAGATATCGTAAGGTTGGACGAAGGAAACTCGCCTGCAACAATGCCTTTGTTGAGCAGGTATCTCTCGACATCATGCACATCAAACCAGTCTTCATCGGCAGGAACATGAGACACGCCGTTTGTTATTCGGAAGAGGGCGAAGCTATCTGAAGAGGCGTCACTGGAAGGCTGTATAAAGTGTGTTCCTGCACCACCGAGGCTGATATATGGGAACCGAGCATCGATGATAGGATTGCAAGGTTCCCTGTTGATGACACGTCCGAAGAAATCTCGGATCTCTGCTCGTGGCATTCTTTGTAGCAATAGACCAAACTCCCACATATCTTCATCTTTATATGAGAGATTTGACAGAAACCGATGGCCACTTTCAGCACAAGCGCGGAAAAGCCGTTGGGTGAAGGGTGTGGTTGCATATTCGATGATGTGTGTTTCAGTAATAGATGGTGTCACAGGAATGGCAACCAAGTCATTGGATTGGTTGTCCAGGCTCTGGGTATTAGTCGATGGAATCATGCCAGCGGACGAGCCCAAAAACAATTTCCAGAAGTCAGACTCCGTAGTGTGATCTTTTAATCTGCCCATTGGCACCTCGCATGCGACCTGCGCGGGGGGTTGCTCATTGACAGCCTGGGATGGTTCTGGGGTTTTGTTCTTTGGGGGCTCTTGGAAGGGAATATCGGCCCGCTTTAAATGGGACACTATATCATCGCGCAGCAATTGGACTGTCCGGAAAAGTTGAGGTCGAGACCACTGCGACCCATCCCGGATCACTTCGGCATCGAATGCGTGCATGGTCTGGCTCAGGTGATCAAATGCATCTTCCAGTTGCTCTACGCGGGCTTTTAGTGAAGAGAGCTGGGACAGTTGGCGAGCTCGGTATGCCTGTTGCGCTTCGCGGACCTGGGCGCGTCGTATCTGCGCTAGGGGTGAGACCGAGTTATTATTTTTACTTGCAGGAAGGGGCCTCACGGATTTTGCATCTTCAGCTGGTTTTCGGGGTCGCCCAAGAGAGCTTCGTTTTACTTGGGCTGTAGGCATTGCAGTACAATTTGAGGATATGAAGGTTCACCAGTCAACCACGGGTGACCCTCAGTGAGATGTCTGGTTTCCACCATGCCGGAACGCCAAGCCCCCATTTCCGCGAGCAAAAGTACTTCACCTCATGTTTGAACTTGAAACTCATTAGTTAGTTAGTTATTATTTTACATAGGGATTTTACATATTTTTATGAATATATAGCTTCGTAGTCTCTTTTTATCTTTTTTTTTTTAACATCAAATGGCTCATGATTTAGAGGCACGAAGGGGGTGTTAGTGTCTCACCTATTCTATTGCCTAGATCCAAGAATATCCCAGGAATATCCCAACTTCGGAAGATAATCATGTCAGCTTACGGAGTACCCGTGGACATATAGGTACACCGCCACATTCACCACGTTCCCATCGTGGCTGGGTAGCGGGGCCCTTCATCGGATTTAAAAACAGTCGCACCCCGCTCTGCAGGCACCCTTGTTTCTTGACGTTTCTGACTTTCTTTCGTTTTGTTCAAGCTTCTTCGTTCTATCTTGTCTACAAACTACTTTGAGCCGTCAGAATGTCCAAGCAGGATGATCTGGCCTATGGTGGTTACTACCAGGGCACGGAACGTGGGTCCGGAGACGGTTCCCGTGGTCTAGGCGATACCTTCAAGAAGCTCCGCGACACCTACAAGACCCATGGATCCTCACAGGGCCAGGTTAACCAGACATACAACCCAAGTGGTTATCAAGGCGTAGGCTTCACCCTCCTTCAACCTCCACATTTACTAACCGGTTCTCTACAGCAGAGTTACCCAACCCAGACCGAACCGCAATACGGACACGATCAACAGAGCCAAAACACAAGTGGACAGCATCAAAACCCTAATTATCACGGGAAACCTCAGAAGGAAGACAAACTCTCCGGTTTCTTGGGGAAACTTCAAGGTACTGTGACCGAGTTTGGTTCCGAATTTGCGCAAAAGATTGGTACCACCATCGACCCACAGGCGTATGCCGAGTATGGTCCCACCAAGCCCAATACGGAACATCGGTTTGGTAGCTTCGCTCCTCCCCGAGAACATAACGATGCCAAATGGTATGTGGATGGATGCAGCTATTTCTGGGCTGTGTCGCGAGCTTTGGAAAATGCCCGAGAATCGATTTGGATTCTGGACTGTGAGTTTCAATCTTCCCCGGATTTTCATTGCATGCGGCTAACTTGACGTAGGGTGGTTATCTCCCGAACTTTATTTGAGAAGGCCACCGGCGAAGAATGAACAGTACCGATTGGATCGCATGCTGCAGGCTGCAGCCCAGCGGGGCGTACGCGTCAATGTCATCGTCTATAAGGAGGTTACGCAGGCTCTCACGCGTATGTCTATGATCCTTGAACATTGAAAAGAACTCAACTAACAGTCCCTACAGTGTCTTCTTCTCACACAAAACATGCGCTAGAAAATTTGCACCCCAATATCGCTGTCTTCCGTCACCCTGACCACCTGCCTGACCGCCAAGAGCTGGCAGCTTCCATCACATCGTCCTTCCAGAACATGTCACTCGACTCAGCAAGTTTGAGTAAGATGTCAAAGGACACACTGAAGGGACTGTACGGAATGAACGATGATGTCATTCTGTATTGGGCTCATCATGAGAAGCTTTGCTTGATCGATGGTCGGGTTGCATTCATGGGTGGTTTGGACATGTGCTTCGGCCGCTGGGATACAAACCAACATGAGCTCTCGGATTTACATCCCTCGGATGTCAGTCAAACCGTGTTCCCTGGCCAGGACTACAACAATTCTCGCGTCCTTGATTTCCAAGACGTCGTTCACTGGGAGAATAACCAGCTGGATAGGAAGACTATGTCTCGGATGGGATGGTCTGATATATCCGTGAGCCTGCACGGTGCAGCCGTGGAAGATTTGCGGCGTCACTTTGTGGAGCGATGGAACTTCATCTATGATTTGAAATACAAGGTACGCAGTGATTCTAGATACGCGAGACTGGCACTCCATGGAAGGCCCGTTTCCTCGACTGGCCAACAACAGGCTGCTTCTCCTCAGCCCAACCTGTATCCCTCAGGACAGGCAAGCCCACAGGGTCAGCCGCCTGCGCCATCCTGGCAGCAGAAGCCTAGTGGAGTCACATCATCGCCTACCTACCCACCGCCACCAGGTCAGACGTCGTCGAGTTCGCATCAAGAGTCGCAGTGGCAGCCGCAGTCCCAGCCTCAGCACCAACAAGCTGCCGGGGAATATCAGCCCTACAACAGTGCTTCCACTTCAAGTTATCCGCCACCGCCGACTCAGACTTCCTCCTCAAATCAGCACCAATATCAGCAGCAGAACACGTCTACCTCGTACCACCCTGAGAATGCTCCAACCTACCCCCCACCGCCAAGCCAAAGCCCTCTAGGCCATCAATCTCAATTCGCTCAGTCCCCGAGCTATGATACAAGCCAGTATAGCTACACTGGGAACTCATTCCCCCCTCCTCCGCCTGGACCCCCTCCAGTGCAATCCAGTGCCAACACCTCATATCAGCCATATCAACAGGGCCAGCAACAGGAGCAGAAGCCCTATTTCCCACCCCCACCAGGCCAGGAAGCATCCAACTCCAACACCCGTGGAATTGATGACTACCAGCATGAAGGCGATCGCGAACGAGGTTCTTTGGCGCCCCGTCGCTTCCGAGAGGACCTGACCCAATATGGCAGCTCCCTTCGTGGTCAGCTCGCCGGACAAATTCACCAATACCAGGATCGACTGACCACATATGGCCGCCCTTCCTCCTCTCAAGGCAGAGGGAATATGTCATGCCAGATTGTGCGCAGCTGTGCGAAATGGAGCAACGGCAGCCAGCTTGAGCATTCAATTGCCGACGCATATTGTGCCATCATCAGAAACAGTGAGCACTTTGTCTACATCGAAAACCAGTTCTTTATCACCGCCACCGGTGATTCGCAGCGTCCAGTGAAAAACCAGATTGGTGCCGCGATTGTGGAGAGGATTTTACGTGCTGCCCGTGCCGGTCAGAAATATAAGATCATTGTGGTCATTCCATCCGTTCCGTGCTTTGCCGGTGATTTGCGAGATGATGAGACTCTTGGAACACGCGCGATTATGGAGTTCCAGTACAACTCCATTAACCGCGGAGGTCACAGTATCATGGAGATGATTGCCAAGGAAGGATTTAATCCCATGGAGTACATCCGTTTCTACAACCTTCGCAATTACGATCGGATTAACAACGGTAGTATGATGGCCGCAGCTGAGCAGCAGAGTGGTGTCAACTACGAGGATGCCCGCAGACAGTACGATTTGAACACTGCAGGCCCTGGTGGATATGCTCCTAGCACTACTCGTAGTGCTTTTGATACTAGTGCACCGTTCCAGAAGTATCAACAGGCTGCACACCAGGTACAGGGCAGTCATGCTTCCTCGAACCGGTGGGACAGTGTGAGCGAGTGTTATATGCTCAACGGAGAGGATATTCGCAAAGTGCCGTGGGATGGCCACCCCGATGCCGAAATTGATGCGTTTGTGAGCGAGGAGCTTTATGTTCACTCGAAGGTTCGTTTCCTGCCAAATCCGATGATGATCCAAAACTCTAACAAAAGCATTAGGTGATGATAGCCGACGATCGTGTAGTTGTTTGCGGCTCCGCAAACCTGAATGACCGTTCCCAATTGGGTGACCACGACTCAGAGATCGCAGTCATAATCGAAGACTTCACGCCTGTGGCATCCACTATGAATGGTAAGCCATGGACTGCCAGTCGTTTTGCTTCATCTCTCCGTCGCCAGTTGTTCCGGAAGCACCTGGGTCTTTTGCCACCGCAAGACTATCAACAACCGGATGCGAACTATGAACCCGTGGGAGTTCCCAACCAATTCGACTTTGACTGCCCTGAGAGCAAGGTGGTTGCTGATCCGCTTTCCGACACCGCCCAGAGTCTTTGGAACTCGCGGGCACACACAAACAGCGAGGTCTTCCGGAAGGTATTCCACGCGGTTCCGGACGACTCAGTCCGCAACTGGGCCGAGTACAAAGAGTTCTATGAGTACTATTTCCACAAGACCGAGAGGAGCGCCGCTGAGGGCATGGAAGGAACTGCTCGTCCGGCGCGATTCCAATGGGGCCACGTTGTGCGCGATGACTTTGCGCCTGGTGCAGAGGGGGCGAAACAGGTCAAAGAGCTGCTTAGCCAAGTTAAGGGTACTCTGGTTGAGATGCCTTTGATGTTCTTGATCGAGGAAGATATCGCCAAGGAAGGATTGACTCTGAATGACTTGACCGAGCCACTCTATACCTAAGGGGAGATTGCATTTGCCAAGTTGGGACTATTATCATTGGTCATCTCGTTTATTCTTGATTTCGAGCATTTCCATTAGCTAAATTGCTGTACCTAAGCGAAGTTTAACTTCTCTATTCTTTTGGTAGCGATCCTGTTCGGGGAGCACTGCTTTCTTTCATGTCTCCTAGTGAAAATGACACCGATACTCAATACTGTGCAATCAAACATATGATCTGAAATTTGTCCGATGCCAAGCCCGACTTGATATTGTTCTTGAAGAACAATGCTAAGGGGAATGTGAATGTGGTGATTGGTCAACCTAAACTTCCTTTGTTCGCGATGCTATCCCCATTGGATGAAATCAAAGAAATCAAAAACATACTCCGAAATGTTCTTTTGACACTTTGAGACCCCGGCTTAATATTGTTCGTGCCCCTATGAAAGACTTATGAATGTGCTAACTACACGTACCTGGGATAGGGGCCTCTCAACCATCTCTGTGGCGTTCCGTCATGAAAGACACGCCTCGGAGGATATGTGATGCGGTCAATATCAACATCCCTCGATGGATGCGCTGACTGCATATCAAAACAAAGAGCAAAAGCCAGAGGCAACGACTCCTACATTCATGGACTCGAGAACAATATCAAACGACTCCGCAATGGACATTCACCGCAATCTCAACCCCATGCATTCTGGATTGATTCTACGCCTTCGTCAATGCCCAATGCATCCAAGTCAGCAGTTCAATGTGACATTTGCATTGACTTCCATTCTCCAGGTGGGATGTCGATCATATTGATAGTCCGAAGAATAGTCCCTCGTCGAATATAAATATCAACGTCTACACCCAGCTTCAATTATTTTCTCCACCACCCGCTCACATTTCGATCATTCAAACAATCTTCCAATCTTTCCAAGCTTCCGCTTTTTAAGCTCTTCTCAATCTTCGAAATGTCTCGCGCTCAGGTCCAGAAGCAATGTGAGTAACATGCCTCCAAAGCATACACTGCTTCATCATCTCTCTATACATCCATATACTAACATGTCATCTCCGATAGCTCCCGGCGGTGGCTGCGTCGTCATGAAGTCCCCCGGTGGTGGCTGTGTGGTCATGAAGTCTCCCATCCCCAACGGCTGCGTCGTCACCCGAACCCCCGGAGCCGGCTGCGACATCATGAAGCGGTCTCCCGGCGGTGGCTGTGTCGTCATGAAGTCCCCCGGTGGCGGCTGTGTCGTCATGAACCGTGGGTGCCATCTATTCTCTATATAACGACTGATATACTAACATGTCTTCGTGCCTAGCCGCTGACTTCTAAACGCCCTCCACGAGCGCCCCCAATCCCAACATTCCATCAACCACCATGACTTGACCTTGTTCGCTGGTCGCCATGGTCAACATTGAAACGTATTAATTTGACAATCATCGCCGCGGACTCTTGAGAACACTTTCAACTTTTCAACCAAAAATATCAATCCCTCGAAACATGACCTCTCAGCTTTGCTTTTGCTTTTGTGGAGACTCTTCTCGAGTCTGTCTGTCCAGTTCATTCTTTCTTCGACATGAATAGCTCATTTCTTTTGACGGTCTTGCATTATCTTCACGACTGTCGACTTTGATTTGTTCTGCTCTTTCGAACTATTCGTGGACGATCCGGGTGACAACGGTTTCCTAGAAACGGACTTGTTTTATGTTCCTTCAGCTACATTCGGGGAATTTCCATTACCTACTTCTAAATCGGTTGATAGTGTTTCTCTTTTTCAATGTGGTGCGGGTTCCTTTGGTTTCTTGTTGGTGGGTGGTTTGGGTGGATAGGGCTTTATTTCTTAGTTAGAATCGGTCATGGTAGTTGATAGGAATGGATCATTGCCTCAAAGAATCTTTGCTCCTTGGAAGTTTCCTGTTGTAGTTAAACTGTAGTTAGAGAAAAAAGTCTCTAGTGGCCACCTTCCTATTTTGGAAGTGCTTCCGTATGTTGGACCAAAATCATATGCTTTAATTTACACGCTTTCAGCGTAGACTTCCATGGATATGCACAAGATGATTAAAACGCTCATTCATGGAACATCATATCTACTCAAAATTCAGTACAAGTAACCTGGACCTGTACTTATTTCCAGATATCAGTCTTCTTCCGAATCTCAGACACCTTAGCCTCTTCAGCCTCAGAAAATTCACCCAGATCCCCTTCATCGGAACCAAATGCATCGTTGGATGTCTCCTCAATTTGATCTAGTGTAAGACCAATAATTCCTACAGACCGCGCGTTGCCAATCTGGCACATTTCCTCTCCAACTGCAGCTTCAATGACACCCTCGCCTCCCTTGGCGGTGAGATCATCCTCGAAGCTCCGGAATACTTGCCGGAGAGGAGTCAGAACATGGCCGCGGAAGAACTTAGCGGTCTTCTCGAGATGAAGCTGGTCGCGTAGCGATGGCGAGGAAAGCAGCAAGTAGTACAGATTCAATGCTGAATGAAGTGGTGGACCTTGAGTCTGGGTCAGACGAGACCAGCTAGCAACGAGATCGGATGCTGAGTTGGCGGCAGTGACCGGTTTGAAAAGTGCCGGGAATAAAGCCCAGAAGTAGAGCGGATCTTGGAATACGTTGTCGGAAGATTGGGTGGGGCTGCGGAGTAGTTCATCCTTCAGCCATGCGATAGCGCTATCCCGCGCCGAGGCAAGACTGCCATCTTCCAAGATCTTGTGTATGAGCTTAAACCGCGTCTCAGGCGATGGGTGGCTCTGAACAATGGCGGCCGGAATCTGGCGAACGATGCCGTGGCTCTGGCGTGCTGTGCATGCAGTCAAGATGACAACGAAATCCTTGAACTCGGTATCGCTTGACGGGGTTTCGATGGGTTGTTGCAGAGCGTAGACGGTCAAAGCCAGCAGGGAGTCGAGAAGCGCATGGGGTTGACCGAAAGCCACCTCGTCAAGATTGGTGTACCCGCCGACAAAGTTGTTAAATATCTGAGCCAGCTCAGGGAAGACAGATACCTGACGGGGCGGTTGCCCAGTGGCGAAGAGGGTTGCGCCTGCAGCCCGAGCCGCTAATAGTAGGAGTGAACCATGGCGTTCTAGCGGAATTTGATCGGGGTTTATTGGTGGTTTATCGAAATCAAGTTGGGCGGTTTGATCTGTCGGGGATCCGGATATGATTGACAGGAGTTCCTCGTTCTCAATTCCAACGTCTCGTGATAAAGCCTTAACAAAAGCAACGTCAGATTAATCGTCGTCAAATTTGACATGGTGCCGTCCATAATTTGGTCTCACTTACCATAAGCTTTCCCATAATCATATCGCGCTCCTTGAGTTCCTTGGTCGATCCATATGCCTCAGTCTGCGATTGGGCGGCGGGTAGCCGCAGATCCGGATGCAGGTGTTCCTGCATCCGAATGGTCCACGACATTCCCGGATCCATGGGGCTGGAGAAACTCAAGAGGTATGACTTCAGCAGTTCAAGCAAGCCGAACTGTATGAATTTCCGAACAAGTAGGGCCTCGTTATCGGTAGATGGAGAGGGCGAGGATACCTCAGCTTCGGGGTCTGGGGCTGAGGCAGCGGCAACCCTCAGTATGCTCGACTCGCTAGCAGCTCTAGGAGGTGGCGCAGGCCGCTTGGAAGGAGACACTTCGCGGAAGAACTCAAGGAAGGCTAGGGTGGTCTCATTGGTCGCCATTGTGGTATACGCTTCCAGTGCTGCTTGGAGGGAGGTTGCTATGAATCGACTTGGAGCATTTGTCTGGATCCGTGTGTGAAGTACCGAGAGCATGCCGAGAAGGCAATTGAACTGTAGGATGTGCAGGGGCAGCCCCTGATCAAATTTCTCATCCTCGTCCTCGTCCTCCGGCTGAAGATGCATTAGAGACTCAGAGACGCGCAAGATTACTTCTCGGGGGTTGCCTAGTCTAGCCACATCCTGTAGGCATTCTGTGGACGCTGGTAGCATGGGCAGGAGCAGCTTGACTAAATCCCAGCCGATGTTCGTCGTAAGCTTCTCATCTTGCAGGAGAGTGTGCAAAAGCGGCAGACGTTCTGGGGTTAACTGATACTCCAACAGAGTAAGATAAGTTAGGTAGTCCGTAGCCGGAGGCAGTGCTTGAATAAGAGGGTCTTCCATGGTGATGGTGTTGACTATTTGATGTCGCGGGCGCGGGGAAGATGAAACATGGCGATGACATCAGCGGCAGAATCCCAAAGAAAGGCGGGCCGATCACATCTCCGCTTAGAAGCCCTGAAGCTCCCAGATTGTCTCTACAATCTCTTGAAGGGCTTGTTGTGAGATTTGAATATCTCTTTCAGCGGGTATAGATGGTGGACGGAGGAATAAATCTTCGAATGGTATGATAAGAGGGTGTTTTGTGACACTTATCTGGTCTGACACTCTAGTCACCCGGATAATCTGGAAGCGATGGAGTCCTCTATTCTGGAGTCCACTTCTCAATACAGACTGCTGGTTCGTGATTGTCTACTCTAAGAGTTAGACAAATCCTGGCATTTCTGTGGGCTGGATTCATATAGTATCGTATCTAATCGAGGTTCGCTCTTTTTGTAAGTAAATTCTAGAGAAAACTATACTATCTAGGTAGTATAAAACTACGCTTTTCTACTACATTCCGGCCCTAAACCGATAGCTAAACCGAAAGGGTAAACTAGGTTATATAGTATTAGTTATAATACTTCGCTCTAGAGAATTAAGACTACTAGCTAAAACTACTAAGGATAGCGGAATTCGTATATAATAATACTGTTTGTGTCTGGCACTGGAGGACTCTAATGCGCTGGAAGTCATGTTAAATTAATCTGCGAGCTGGGGCTTCGTGTTGTATTGGTGCAAGCTGCCAGAAACCTTGGGTGTTGTGTTGATGTCTCAAGCATCAACCCCTGGTTTTTAGGTCTAGAACTCCGAGATAGATTCTCCCTCCTTCAATCATCTCTCTCTGGTCGTTTCTTGGTTCTGCGTGGCCCCATCTCCTACTTGTTCGATATCTTTTCGCCCAGCTCCTCTAAAACTTTTTCATCGCTTCAAATAAATGCATTTCCTTCGCTCTTTGCAATCTCAGCGGCTTCAGATATTTTCTCTCCAGATGGGCGGAGATGGTTTATATAATTGAAGCTTTTACCATCTATCACTCAGGATGGCGTCAAGATAAAGCTAAATCGGTGAATGCGAGTTTAATATGTGACAAAGAAAGTCTCAATTCTGTCATCTACAGACAGAAGAAACCAGAATTGTAGCTTGAAATATAGATGCAACCAGGGAGCATAGGTGCATCAACAAGTGCCTTCACACACAGTAGAATTCGACAACAGATTACCCCCAGACCACGGCTTGTTTTCCAACGCCAAGTAAGCGTCAGGGGCTCAGAATCGCAGTAAATATCGACATCATTGATGTCTTGCTCTGTATAGCACCTCAAACCCAATCGGCCGATACTGACCCCAACCATACAAAAACTTCGCACCATTCAGCAACACACCTAACTCCAAAGAATGCACTCACTCGAGCTTTGTTTTTCGGCCCATACCCGGAACTACGTTAACCCGCATGAGGTTACTTCAAAAACAACCCCTGCTTAGCAGTATGGTGGTATAGAACGTACCTAGGTATTGGACTTTGGTATCTAATCAGTCAGTGTAAATTACCGTATAATTCCATGGAATGTTCTAGGGTAATAGACCTAACACAGAACTGGTGATGATATCATGACTGATGTACAGTAGGCAGGTAGCACTTAGCACTGATCATCATGACGGTACAAATTCAACGTAATACGCTATATAGAGCTGGTGACATCCAGCCCGCAACATCCTTAGCAGGAGCTGTGACAGTTCGAAAAGATCCCAACCACTGCCTCGCCACTATCCTCATCAAGCCCTTTTCATAATTCTAACCACAAATATTATATTACACGATGCCTAGAGCAAAATTTGTCAATGATGATATCACTTTGGCGGCATTCGATATTTCGAAAATAGCCCTAAGTGATAGCGCAGAGCCTGAAACTCGATTCAAAGGTGTCACGGGAGATATTAGAGACTTTACTCTTTTCCGCACTGATACCTCAAATGGACAGGAATACAAGGAGATCAGGCATGTTAAGGCTGATGTTGATTTCGGCCCTAATAAGGAAGTTATTCTTCGCGGTGATAGTGAGCGAACCATGCCAAATAATTGACGACTACTAACTAGCGAACTAAGGTGGTCAATATTACTTTCAACAAGGCGAAAATGAAGTTATGCTCAATGCCTTTTTGGAATGAAAGGCCTAAAGGTGTAACAGAATTATGGATCGGTTATATCACTTCTTTTGATAATAAGTAGCCTGCTATAATATCTCCTCTCCGCATCCATTCTCCTTTGATCGCTCCACGTTGCGCACCCGCAGGTATATCAAGACTTCCAGAAATCGGAAGTCAGACCTAGGCGGTCGTATAATTCCCTAAATTTAGTTTTTCCGATCGTATCCACGCTCGTGCTTATTGTGATATTATGCTTTTATTACCAATATTAGCTTTGATATTCTATATAGCTCGAGTCAGATCACAGCCACTTCTCACTTGAGACAAAACCCACGATGTCTCTAGGCTTATAGTATCTCCGGGGTAGAAAACATGCTTAGGGCCACTCCTACGCCTTATCGTAATACGAAGAATTAATTGGTTCCGCATACAAACCGAATGTCTCTCCACCACGTAGAGCTACTGCAGGATCTAGCAGGCTAGGAGTAAATTTTTGATACACTCTGGCTCCGCACTCCAGCCACCAGAGAAGTATGGTTGGACCGGTCAGCATCAAGAGAGCCTCTTTCGTGGTATAAAGGTCATATGGCAAAGTGCTATAAGATTTTTCTTTAACGAGTTGAGAAGTGGATCAGAGATTCTTGGTTTGATGACTTTAATCGTTTGTCCTTTGATACACAATTTATTTGATTTCTTAAACTTTGACTATACATGAAATATACTCAATTCTCTCCGCTTTTGAATTATAAGGAGCCACACGGAGAAAAAACATATATAGTTACTGCTCTCGAATGTTCAGTGTACCTTGGTTGCGCGGATATCCATCCGATTTTTGGTTTCGCATATCGGATGTTAGATAAAGTCAAAGGTCCGGTGTGGGATTTCACACCACTCTATCGCTTCAGAAACATATTTCCTATTATAATATCTCTGTCTCTACGCTTCTATGCATGTATTATTGGTGAGGCAATTTCGCTATTGATCCGTATCGCCGAGTTCCGCCACTATAACTATCCCACATACGACTCGTCAACTCTGCGATCTCTTAAGTGGCCTCTGCCTACTCCGTACTTTCATTCACATAGCTCCGTTCTCCATTGACTCCCACCGGTAGACCTAAGGTGAAGCAAGCTTGCTCTCGTAAGATGCGTCAACGTAAGTACCCAATCCCGCGACAATTACTTGGGTAAACGATGTTCTATGCATCTAGATAATACTCTAAGGTATTTCACGACGATTACCCCTCCACCCTTGCAGCGTAAATTTGAATCAATTTTAAAGGTGTCTGGCTCAACTTTGGCATATGGAACATCATAGACTAGAGCTAGAGAGCTCATCATCTTGCTATCTAATTGCTATTAAGCTAGGCAATGTGGAAGCGATGGGTCTCTCTTTCTCTGCATTAATCTCCCCCAAACCTCATCCCAGCCCCTGCCACTCCATTTCTAATATGCTAGAGTTAGCTCACAATAACGGAAATCATTGGACAGTCGGCTGAACCCACAGTGATAATTCTGGAAATGAGCCATATGCTCCCTGTTAGGAGAATAGATACAGCCCCAAAAAGGAGATACCATTTCCAATCAGGATTGCTTTGAAGTGCATTTACATTCATTCCAAACAGGCTCTATATCCGTTTGTTAGCCGAGACCTCAAGCCCACTTGGATCCCTAATCTCTGGTTTGAGGACTACTCACAGAGGTAAACATCAGAGGAAGGAAAATGAACTAGATAGAAAGAGCGTCAGGCCACAAATCACTACCGTCAAATCTTGCGCGGTTGTGCCTGCGCTTACGGTAATCCAAGTAAGACGTTTGATACTCGCTGCCTCGTTCTTTGAAACCCAAGCAAGTTCCTATAACCTAAGTGTCAAAAATCAAAAATAACGTGTTTCATGAGCATACGTACCATTTGCAGCAATTCACGAACTGCACGTTCCATGTCATTTAGTCTTCCGGTTGCATCATTCCCAATTTCATCAATAAGAGCAGTGAGCTCTGTTCGGGCATCTTTTGTGAAAAATTGATCGGTCTTGACCTGGTGGCCTAGTCTATTGATATGTGACCGCAAGCAATTCCGGAAATTAATTCGAATCGATGCATTGTCAGCAATTTGATCAATCAATGTAGACTTTCGGCCCCTTTGCTCCAATTGTTCTTTTTGCTGGTTTATCCCAAAACAGTCAGAAATTTTCGTAGTGCCTTCTAGATCGTAGTAACTCACTATTTCCTCAATTCCCACGCTGGCAATCGAGCAAGCAATGACCCATTGATTTTTGAGATCCCTCAGAAACAGCCGAAAGAAGTGGCTGTCAGATGCAGGAATACAGCCATCTGAAATACTACTTAGAAATGTGACCTTGTCTTTTGCCCCCGGCCTTCTAATCCATGCAATGCCCCACGGGCCCTGACGCATCCCATGTTTCTCAGAAAGGAACCGGTCTTGGAGAGGAAAATTTATTGATATGTAGGACACAACAGAGTCTGGAGAATCTTTCTGGATGTACTGAATATCGTTTGATTTCTCTTTTTCAGATCTCATATTATTCTCAGCATCGAACAGGGCTGGTACATGAGTCCACGGACTCTGCGGCGTACAGAGACTGGAAGAAAGTCAGGATATAGAGGCAAGTTGCGGATGAATTACTCACTATATTCTCGAAGATCCTTCTGATAACAGTTGGTCGCGTCGAAGGTTGCCAGTCAATTTCCAGTCAAAGCCACTTCTCAAGTCACCGAGTTTGTATACTTGAACCCAACAAGTGTTCTGCTCCGTAATGCGAAACCAGTCACTTGATTGCACATGTCCGAGTTCAGACATGGATCGAAGAAGCCGTCTGACAATTATCTCGTTTTGGGGACGTAAAGCGTATTGTAGACATGATCGGCCCATAGAGTCCCTGGGATTGGGATATGCCTCACTTTTCAACAAGGCATCCACGATCTCTTCGTTTCCCTGAAGACAGGCAAGGTGCAAAGGTGTATTTCCCTCTGGGCCCTCTCTCCCTGTAAAGCCGAGACCTTCCACTTCACCGTAGGAGATAAATGTTTTGACGATGTGCAATGCCTTGTCCGTTCCAAGTTCCTCTCTTAGAGTGTCAAACTGACGAATCAGATAATTCAGCGAGAAGTCATTTTTATTTTTTGCAATCATCCAATGCACTAGACGTTCGTGGTGCTTTTCCACTGCCCAAATCACTGGAGTCCTAGCAAATTTTTTCTCATTTCCTTTCACTCCATCGCGAAAATTTGGATCAGTGTTCTTATAGCCCAAGAGTAATTCGACAATCTCCTGATCGCCATACTCAGCAGCCCAAGATAACCAAGTGCGGCCAGTAGAGTCCTGCCGATTTGGCTCCAGGTGCTCGAGCACTTCCATCAATTTTACAAGACTGCTGCGATACATCATTGGGAATGTATGACCGAGGGTGGCGCGAATTATCGGACGACCGGATCTAGCTCTTAGGAACCACCAAAATCCTGTATGGCCGTTCTTATCCTCTTCGTGGGGATCAGCCTTGCTCTTTAAAAGCATCTGCATGATGTCAACCCACTTCTTTTCTGCAGCCAGCGAGAAGGGAGTTCGCCCTTGCGCATTAGAGCTATTCACTTTGATCCCACTCGTCTGGAGCAACTTTATCACCGCAAGGCCCTTTTCTTTCTCAACAGCCCATATTAACGGTGTTCTCTTCAGCTCGTTGTCATCCCCGAGGTTGACATCAGCCTTTGGTATAAGCTGTTCCATGATACCCACAAGTTCTAGCTCCGTTGCTAACGACAGTGCCGTTCGACCTTTTGCGTACTGGTTCACATCAATTATAAAGTGTTCCGAGGCTAACAGTTGCCCAACAGTTGTGATATCTGAGTGACGAACTGCAAGTACAAGAGGGGTGTTTTCTTCATTGTCCGCGGAGTTAGGATCTGCCTTATGTTTCATAAGGAGATTGATGGTTTCTTCCTTTTGAGATTTTGAAACACTGGAGCTTGGTCCTACTGCCATAAGTAATGGTGTTCTGCCAAGACGATCCCTGTGATTGACATCGGCCCCCTTTGTCAATAAGTATCGTATAATATCGGTACGTCCACCACTGATCGCCCATTGTAATGGAGTAAGCTGCTCGCAATCTTTTGAATCGACATCAGCATTTCCTTCCTCGACAAGAAATTTTACAGTCTCATGGAACCCCCGCTCGGCTGCGTGCGATAGGGGAGTGCGGTATTTCTTATCCATGCAGTCAATTTCGGCTCCAACTTTGCTTAGGCGCTCCAACACGTCGCGTTTATCCCTTCAACTGCCAGGAACAGAGCAGTCTTACCGTCCTCCCCGGAGAGGTTCACGAGTGTTGTCGTGTTTTCCAAAATCTTCTGAAAAGTTTCCTGTCGCATTGTCGCTTGCCATAAAGGTGATGTTGATATTTCGCGGTCACAAAAGTTGATATCGAAATCCTCCTTCAAAAAGTCTTCTATTTGTTGGAGAACATCTTCTTTCCAAATTCGAAACGCCCGGGGATTTTTCTTTCTCGATGGCTTTCTTTGAATTGTATCAAGAAAGCAGGTCTTTACATCGGCCGGAGACTTGAAAGACGAGAATTGACCGGTCGGACTTTCTGGCATTTTGTCTTCAGAAATGCCTAGAGGACGACGGCCGCAATGGAATCAGAGTTCAAGTCGAAACGAGATTTTCAAAAAGAGGTTTAAAGCGTTGTGGCCCGTTAGGAAAGAAATTACTATCGGTTTAATAGTACATCTGCTTCTAAGGCAAGAAGCTAAAGGAGGGGCTAATTGGAGTTGTGACTGTGACATCTTGTGAAGTGTGATACGTAGCCGCCACGCTTTGTTTTCACTTGGCATGCATGATGTGTTGTACCCTAAAATAAGACATCTCAGTGCCACGCTGTTGCTTCTACCGTGGAATGCTCATCGAGTACTGTAGTAAGTAAAAGGATGCGTAGAATACTCTAAGATAAAAGCAGGTTTTAATTGTGGTAGCGGAAATACTAATCAACCTATGTCCAGCAGAAAAAGTGTCAAAACCTCGACGTATGTGACCACTTGAAATATCGACTCCGGTATTGTATTAACCCTATTCTCACTAATTCTATTTATGGCTCCAATCTAGCGACATAAAGCCATGCAATTCTCCAAAACACATAACTAGTAAATGCGACATTTTCTATACTTCTAGCTTAGGCGTAATAGTAGTAGTTTCTAAGGGAGCTTAATAACAACTAGTAGATATCTTAGAGGTCTTATTCGTTAGCTAAGTCCTATTATCCTTAACGTGTGAGAATTCTAACGCGGTTTAGTAAGATTTTATAAAAAAGGACTAGTAAAGTCACCTCTCCGTAATAGGTTATATTTTATGGACGTTAATAGGCATTAGTGAATCGTGATTCGTTGATTAGTGGAAAGCGATTAATAAAGCTTAGGTTATATAGTATCCTAAGATGTGTCCATCATTATACCGCTTCAACATAGCATAACTTATAGGCCCGGAGTTAGTCAAACTTAGAAGATCCTACTAAGGATTAGGTCTTGAAAGATTTTGGTAGAGAAGTGACCATGCTTTGTCGCCATCAGAATATCTTCGGCCATTTGATTTGTGGTTATTGACTAGTGCTCTATTGTATTACGGATGAAATGTAGCATTGAGGGTAAAGTCTTCTACCGCAAAAGTTTCCGTAAACACGCCCTCACCAAAAGCCAAAAAATAAACCCGAATATTCATAATGGACTCTCCTACTAACGTTGATTACATTAATGCTAGATAGAGATTGACATTTCCTAACCGCGGGAAGAAAAGGTTGTCCCATTTCCCCTCCCACGCTACCTGTAGGGGCTGGGAACTACCCCTGCTGTGGCTTAGTTTCACACAAGCGACCAGAGACTAACATCGAGTTCGAGATATCATAGGACACGGGCATCCCGATGATATGCCTGTGCTCCGCTTCACCCCACTTTGAGTTGGTGAGAATGTATGAACTAGCATGGATGTCAAGTAGCTGCATCATTGGCGGCTATGCACTGGACCATATTTAGCACAACGATGGTTCAAAAATAGCGCAATGTTCCCTCCCCATCGCTTCGAATTTTTCAAAATTGCGGTTTCGTATATCTTGAAGTTGTAGCGCTTTTGACCAAAGTTTGTTTTCCCCCGAATATCCATATCGCGATGGAGCAATCATCTAGAAAGAGGAAGCTCTCCAAGCAGGAGGAACGGGAATTGATTGATAAACACAAGATCAAGTTCGAAGGGCCCGTCTCGCAGGCAAGTTGGCCGGAACAAAATTCAGCCATATTCACCAGCATCCGCAAAATCGAAGACATTAAATACAACACCTACTTGGGGCAAATCCAAGCCAATACTCCGGAGGGCACACAAAGGGCGAAAACGGTAAACAAGGCTAACCGTCTTGTTTCTGCTGCATATGATTGCCGTATTATTGAAGCCAACGAGTCTACTTGGAGGTCCAAGACAGAGTTCCTTCTACTATCCCGTTTCGAGGAAGACATAGAGTGGTAGGTGAAACATCGAAAACGCAACCTTGGATCGATTCTGATTTTGATTCAGCCGGAGATGTCAACAGCGACGATGGGTTCCCGATTCCTGTACGCTGCCGATGACGCCAAATGGGGGACAGAAAGTGCAAACAGCGCAGGGAGGAGTGGGTATTTGTCGGTGCATTGAAAGCGATATCGATGGACATGGGGTAAGTCCATCAAATTCAATCTCCCAGAAGATCAGATGGTTAACATTGTTTGCTTGCTAGTCAATATTTGCCGGAAAGCTGCACGCAGGAATCAACGACCTTTCCGTTCCTGAGATCGGAACCAAGTTCCCCGATATGATCATCGGGCTTCAGAGATCACCAACACTCAGCGCTGCCCTCCAAGGCCATTCAAGGCTAGTTTCCAGTCCAGTAAAGGATGCAGAGCATATTTTGTTTCCTTTTCTGATTCTCGAAGCCAAGTCTGAGATTCAAACACCTGGGTTTACGGCTATCGAGAAGCAGACTGCGTTCCCCATAAAAAGACTTGTCGATATTCAAAAGTCTCTGAGAAAAAGAAGGCAAGAGCCAGAGGGAAACAGCTTAGTTTGGTTCTTGGCTTTCAGTGGGGATGAATGGAGAGTCTATGCGTGTGTTCCAAGAGGAGATGAAACAGTAAGGTTCTTCGAAGAGGCCAAAATCCCTGACTGACACCAAGGCAGCGTATAATCGACCTTTGGCACGGATGCATTCAGAGACATGATTCTGCGCTGCAATTGTGTTTGATTGTTGACTTTATATGTGACTGGGCTTTGAATATCCATCGAAATGAGGTCATTAGATTGCTTTCTGGTAAAATGAACACAACAATCAGCAATTCTCTGCCTACTTTGCATGAACGTGATACCCAAAAACTGCAGCCTGAGTATTCCAGCCCGCCGAAGCGACAATCCGTCATTCGAGACACAAATGAGGTTTTCTTCTCATTCCGCCATCTGACACTCCCTGATGTGACGGAAAAGCTGATTGCGATTCTCAATCCACCTGGCTCGGGGGTTAATAAAGTCAATCAGAAAGCTATCAAACTTTTGGATCTCTTCAATCTAGAGCATCCGCTCTTGGTCACGGCGGAATTTATTTGTCGTCTACAGCTGCTTTGGACCGGTACAACGAGCAATCATCCAATTCTTGACAGCGATCAGTCTGTCTGTGCTCACATTTCCTTCCAATCATACTTTCGGCCAAGCGACTTCCATATAGTACGAAAAATCTCATGCATCACGGCATCATTCAGTGCAATAAGTACTCTGCAGCGTCTGGCTGGAACTAAGCTTCCTTTGTCGTCTGTCTATGCAGATCTAAACCCGGATAAAGTCCTTCCTTTGGCTGAACTATCTGGCGTGCATTCATTGAGAGCTGCTGGTAGGAACTTACGACTCACGTTATGGGTAACTCAAGGGGATTTCATTGTGCAGCCATCCTGTGAATGGGTGAAGCAAGCCTCTCATGGAGATTTTGTATCGAGCATCTGGGACAAACTAGAAACCTGTTCTCCTGGGGTTCTTCGGTTTCCTATATCCATTCACTCGAGTGAACTACGCAGGATGCCGGCTACCAATAAATCTCTGTCTTCTGACCTGCAAGACTGTCTCAAAGAGGGAAAGCATCAGCTCCTTCACGGAGCCGCTCTTTTCAAGACACCTGAGAGCTCACTCCAGCCGCTTAACCCCCAGTATTGCTTGGCCGTATTCGATGGCTCCGACTTAGACGATCGGCCGTGTCTTGGCTTTAAATTATTGCACTTGATTACAACCGGCGGTTTGTTTGAGGGGAAACGCCTGTCAACTGCGACTACGAAAGACCGCCAATTCATCTACGACTGGGCTACTCGCCTAAGGCGCGGTGATTCTTGAGTGCCAATTGTGGCTCGCAGGCTAGGAAGCACTATTTAAAATGCTTCCACATGGGCACGTTACTTTGTACTACATTAAGCGTTCCACATTTGGCATCACTTTTGATTAATTCCTTTTTGCTATCATCCTCTACATCTTCCAGTAGAACTTCTACTATTGTCGATGAAGATAGAAACGACGACGAAGGGGCCTTCGAAGCAGTATACGAGCTGCTAACCTTTACTCCGTTCTCCAATGTACATCCTATCTTGCATCCATTCTGATTTAAATTATCGAAAGCCCCATTATCACTTACCTATATCCATGGAATACTAGGTAGGCTTGCCGTATTCCTTGCTTTACACTTAGTTCGGAGTAGTGCTTATGGTTAACATTTATAACCGTGCTTAGATCTAGGGCTTTATTAATACCAATAATATATCTGTGGAGACATCACTTACCGGAACAATCATCTCTATTGAGAGACCAAAAGATGCTGAGTAGGTGGGTTCTCTAGTCGAATACGCACGCACAAGTCGCTCCAACCGCTGACATGTATCTGTGGCTGAATTAATTTACCAAATGCCTTGAGTCCCTGCCGCTGTGACTGACGCCGTGTCAATATAACACTTTATTGGCCTACATACTCAGATGCGATTATCTCCATAATTTGTACCCAGTAAGATGGTAGACAAGCAAGATCACCCTCGATAACACGGCGTGTCTTCGGCTTTTGCCTCGGTTGAATTAGTGAAATATAGAAATTTGATTGGATTTCGGAGCCAATGTAATATAGAATGAAAGTTTGAAACCAAAAGAGTTTGTATATATGTCCCAACCTGTATCATCACATATCTTGCATGACAGTTACTGCAACTGACTGATCTGCTAGAAACACCAGTCCAGAGGTCTTGGGGAAATCACCGCGCGCGTAAGAAATGGGTGACCAAGGTCAATGAGGGTAAGGATCGCCCGCGCGAATCACGCGACACACTTAGCATTGGTCTCGATTTATCATCATTGGGATATCAGCATTTTACCTGACTCTTGGTCTTTTGGCATCTGCATACCTACATATAGCCGCTTCCTTCCATAAGCCTATAAGGTAACTGGCTTCACTAAAATATCCTTGTTATTTACGGGCTATAAATAACCGTCCAATAAATTTGGGGGATGGTGCAGAATCAAGCTGCAGCCTAGAGTCGCATTGTGATTACTCTAGGCGCATACAGGTCGTTCCTGTAGCTCGAATCACAAGAGTTATCGGGACGGGGGCATAGAGTAGAACCACGCCCGAAGATGCTATGAGCCAGGGTTTAATATTTAAGAGTTGTAAAACCATTTGTTGTAAATCTTGACATCCAATATCCGATATGGTGTAGTGGCTAACATCGCCGTCTCTCACACGGCAGCCGGGGGTTCGATTCCCCCTATCGGAGTTTTCTTTTTTTTTGGTGTAGCTTATTTGCCAGATAAAGATTCAACTATTTTTTGTTCAAGGTTTCATGTCATTTGAAATTCTGCAACGTAGCGCAAAGCAAACATTATTGTACTCGCGGCCCTAGAGGACCTTGGCAATCTTGGAATATGCCAAGATCTTGATCACCTGACCTTATCATATCTAATCGGATCTTTTCTTTAAAAAAAAAATTCAAGATACATGACATACTAGTACATATTAAGTGAACTCAATTGCACTACAGTGGCACCGATTGCAGAGAGACTCGAAAGAAGACAAGCCAACTGTCCATCATTACCCCCCAAACCAAACTTGCCCACTCCATCAGCAAGTCTTTTTCTCCACCGAGACCGCGGGGTACTATCAGTCGTCCCAAAAAAGAATCGCAAACCCACCTTAAGCTCAACAACCATATAAACTCAGCCCTCCAAGATGGCGACAATTTCAACACCCCAACCGGCCACAGATGCCGCCTCTCACCTCGACCTAGCCATCACCCTCACACTCAACAATTGGCCGGCCCTCTCACTAGCCGTGCAGTCAAACTGGGGCGGCCCCAACTCAAGCGAGAAGCGCGACTGGCTTTGCGGTGCAATCTCCGAGATGCTGGCTGATCGACCCGAGACCGACGCCGAAGACCTGGAGGAAGTGCTCGTCCAAGTGATGAACGACGAGTTTGATGTGGCGGTGGACGACGAGAGCGCCGCGGACGTTGCGGATATGATCATGGAGCTTAAGACGCAGACAGATCGCGGCGAGTTCGGCACTATCCAGCTGATGTTGGAGAATTTCCAGAAGAAGAGCCAAAATCGCTCTGCTGCGGGTCAGTTCCAGAGGGTTGAGGCTGCGGATGAGGATCAGGAGACGGATGATGAGAGTGAGGAAGGGGACGTTGAGATGGATGAGGCGCCTAACTTGGTGCGGGCCCCAAGGGAGCGGGCTGAGCCCGAGATTGATGATGATGGGTTTACGAAGGTTGTTGGAAAGAAGAGGTAGATTCGGGCTTTTTATTGAATATTTTTGTTTTATATTCCATTTGCCTTGGTGACGGTTTCCTGCACGCAGGACACCCCTCGGATAGATATCCTGTTCTAGTTACATAGATGCATTTATTACCAATGATTGATCGTTCATCAGATCCGGCTTGTGTGGGATACCCCCTATATGGCTGAAGATAACCCAAGAACCCATACACGGTTCAACCGCTTGGATTCATAGATAGAGAGCAAAGTCTATGGAAGAAAGAATGTGGAAAAGGAAATGTTCATCATCGTCAGTTGTGGACTGTCTGTGGTATCATTACGCGACTTCTGCCCACCCGTACCTCCCTGTTCATAGTTTCGCAAGAACATCGCTGACATCGCTTTTGTTTTGTGGTTTGTTGCACTTTTGAAAATATGGACATTCAGGTATCCTTGGTGGCAAAAGCTCTTCACTGGGCCTCGGTCTCGGCAGTGATGAGCTTGGTGATCATACCAATAGCAATGGTTTGACCCTAAAAGTGATATGTTAGCGGAGAAATAATATTAGGAAGAGTGTGCAGAGAACATACCTGGTCACGCAGGGTGAAACGACCTAATTGGTTGTATTCGTCGTAAGTCTCAACACAAACCGCACCAGCGGTGCTGGTAATCTCGAGACGGGCAATAATGGTCTGGCCCTTGCTGGCGAACTGGGGAGGGCGCTTGCTCTTGCGGCCGGTGCCGGGCTCGAGCTTGTGAAGAAGAGAGGCGAAAGTAACCTCCTCGACAGCGGAGTGGACGTGCAGGACACAGTTGAAACCGGCCGTCAGAATGCTCTTCAGATCCAAGATACGAATCTTGGCCTCGAAAGCAGATACGCAGTGAACGGGGCGCTTAGGTGAGCAGAGCACGAAACCAGGGAAGAAATCCTCTTCTTCGATACCACGGAGACGCAGGCGAATCTGGTCACCAACCTTGGCAGTCGGAATCTCTTCTTCTGTTTCACCGTACATAGCAGAGATTTGAACCTCCTCGCGGTTAGGCATCATGAGATAAGTACCACTCTTCTTAATGATACCGGACTCAATGCGACCCTCTGCCATGGTACCCATGTCACGGTACTTGGCGCTGATCGGCATCATAAACGGTGCGTTGATTTTACGCTCGGGGAGCTCGAACGCAGTCAGGTATTCGAGCAGTGACGGACCGTCGTACCAATCGCACACATCTTTGGGAATACGGTCTTTGATACCGAGAGTGCGCTGGGCAGAAATAGGCATGCAGAAGATATCCGACTTCTTGTAGCCCAGGGCTTCCAGGAACTTGGTGACCTTGACGGTGCATTCATCGAAACGGGCCTTGCTCCATTCGACGGTGGGGTCGTCCATTTTGTTGACAGCTAGCACCAACTTGGAAACTCCAGTGTTTCGCGCAAGCAAAGCATGCTCGCGGGTCTGGCCACCTTTCTCGAATCCAGTCTCGTACTCACCCTTACGAGCAGAGATAACCAAACAACCAAGATCGGCCTGAGACGCACCACCAATCATATGAGGAACATAGGACTTATGACCAGGAGCATCCAAGATGGAGAATTGACGCTCGATATCACCCTCCGGGTGCGGGATGGTGACCTTGAAGAAGGCACGACCAACCTCGACTGTCTTACCCTTGGAACGTTCCTCCTGGGTCAAATCAAGAGCCCACGAGAGGTACCAGGTCTCTCGACCGGCCTCCTTGGCCTCCTTCTTGTATTTGTCCAGTGTACGCTCATCAACCATGCCAGTGGCATGCAGGAGGGAACCTCCCAGGGTGGACTTGCCAGCGTCGACGTGGCCGATGAAGACGACGTTGACGTGCTCTCTCCGCTCACCGTAAATTTCCTTTAGGGTTGCGTCATCAACATCAGCTTGCTGTGACTTTGCGACGGCATTGGCCTCACGGGCTTGCTTGGCTGTCTCGCCGCGGGCTGGGCTGGAACGTCCGGGGCTAGAGCGGCCGGAAGATGGCGTGGGAGAAGACTTGCCAGTGGCAGCGGCCTTGTCTGTCTTGTCAAGACCCTTGGTGGCCGCCACCTTTGAGCCAGCCTCAGCAGCAGCGGAGCCCTTAGTATCACCGTTGGCCTCCTTGGGGGTGGTGTCAGCAGGCTTGGCTGCCGGGGTAGGAGTGCCAATCGAAAGGACCTTGGTCTTGGGGGCAGCGCTGGAGGAAGTGGCGCCGATAGACAGAACCTTAGCCTTGGGCGGGGCCGCATTCGATGCGGGCTGCGGAGCGGACTGAGCAGGTGCTGCAGCCTGGGGTTGCTGTTGTGCTGCTACAGGCGCATTCTGGCGAGGTTGCTGGTTATAGCCACCGTATTGCTGCTGTTGCTGTCCATTGTTGTACTGGCTGAAGCCACCGGGCTGCTGGGCATAGGCGTTGTACTGGCCATAGGCTTGCTGCGGCTGCTGCTGCTGCTGCTGCTGCTGCTGCTGCTGCTGGTAGCCACCATAAGCTTGTTGCTGGCCGTACTGAGGGTATCCCTGCTGGGGATAGCCAGCATACTGTTGGTACTGCTGTCCGGGGACGAAGGTAGAGGCTCCAGGAGTGAAAGAGGCGGCGCCGGGTTGGAATGAGGGTGCCTGGGCCTGGGGGCGAGATTGTGCGTTCAGGTTAACGCCCTCAGCCTGTCGGGAAAGCTCATCCTCCCAGGATTCAGGTGTTTGGTTTGACATCGTGAAATAAGATCCGAGGTCTAATTAACACGAAAATACCAAACCAAGACGGATTTGGACAAATACAGGTTGGGTCAATAAGAGGGGCCCCAGTGCCTTTTGATTTTGCACAGGTGAATGACTAAGACCCCGCGATTATTTTTTTCACGTGATAATATATTGAATGGTTTTCTTCTGTTGTGTGAGACAAGGTGAATGAATATTTGTTAGGAAACCATTCTGTTTGCTTATGCTTATGACTTTTTCAATTGTCTGACCTCACTACATTGCCTCTTTCCAAGGTTGAAGGCACAAGTGTCGGGGAGTTGGGCTCATCTTTGAGCTTTCATTCTCTTATCGATAAGCACCCCTCCATGCCCGGTGGTTTATTGCTCAGGGGCCTTTTATATCGCCTGTCAATACGATCTACACTACAAATTTTAAAGGCCATTGGCCTTTAACTTGAACCAAGATGGATACTTTTCTAACTGGGGTTCGTCTCGTATATTACTGACCATGGGGCGAGGAGCTAATTCGTGCATTGCATACAGCTCACCCGGCAGGCAATGAATTATGCTATTCGGTATGCCTGATAATGACTGAGGAATGACACCATTCAATGCTAAAGCTGCCATGCAGGTCGGGAATTGCGATAACTGCCAGCTATGCAATGCGCCAGTCCTCGCGCTTGCTTAAAGTAAGTGTTCCTCTTGATCGCAGAAAGAAGCCGACGCTGATCACTTCCCTTTTCTTGGTTAGAATGTCAAAAGTGAGGACCGAGATGAGCTAATCTCCTTGCAACAACGCCTGGAAAGCAAGATACAAGTTATCGCCCCAGCTATTGACATGATTGAGTTGATGTGAGTCACCTGGCACTGGGTTGGAACGCCGGAAAGCTCACAATTGGTCTAGTGCTGCTCGAGGAAACACGTCATTGGAATCTGCTGTTGCCCTCACGAAGTCTCTGAGATGGGACATTCAAGCCCTAGGACAGCGTCTAGGAAGAGCCGCGGCATGTGAAGAATTAAGACGCAAAGGAGCAGGATCGTCAAAAGATCAAGTGAACAGCGATAAAGAAATCAAGCTTATTATCAGAGATATCAAGAATCTGTTGGCTCGGATTGAAGATGCAGTGCCACTGATGAACCTGGCTATCACTACCTCCGGGGCCAAGTTATCCACTAACTTGCCCGCAACGGTATCACCATCCCGGCTCCTCCAAGCAAGCACGTTCCTCACAGCAGGGGATACACAATATTCAATCTCCCCATCTCAGGCAGTCCAAGTAGGGCCAACTTTTACCTTATCGATGTACATGCTATTTGCCAGCCACTTGCGACCCCATGACGAAGAATCTGTCCGCGAAGCCACGTGGAAGGAAGTCATGCACAAGGCACGTTTGAAGCTGCGTCGTGTTCCAATAGCTTCATTGCAGTCTACGGGCGAACGCCCACGAACGAAACTTCCTGGACCAGCCGGAGCCGATGAATACGCTTATCAAGTCCTGATTATCGAAGACCTAGACGACGGCCGAGTCCACACAATCGATGAGAATGGTCCACAGCCCCAAAACTATGAAGGCGTTTCCACGGCAGGAATCCGGGAGATTCTTCCTATTCATCAAATTTCAAAAATATTCTACGCAGACACCGGGAGGATCCTCAATATCAGCACAGAGGGCGAAACAAACAACCCGGTACTGCTGTTGAAACGGGACCTAAATGCTCTCCCGCCACGGCGCATGATGGAACGCGACGAGGTAGAGGAGGACTTTCCTCAAGCAGAATCCGAGGAGGAACCAGAAGACGAGGAACAATCCCAACTCGATGCACAGCTGAACGGAGGCGAAAATCCGGAAACTAGCAGCTTCGATTATCTGCATGAAGACTCCATACCCGAAGAATGGCGTCTGCCTCCCGGACTAGACCCAGAATGGATCGCATTTGAAGTTTACAACGAAGATGAAACCTCCGATACCGAGTCCGAAGCTGAAAATTCCGACCCACCCGCAGCTGAACCCTCGATCGACCCAAATATGATGGCAAAGCTGTCGCTTAACGAGAAGGGGGATTTATCACACTCCCCTTCTCCCCTAAATCAGTCATTCACATCCGCCGCTGCCACAACAACAGTCTCCAACCCTCACTTCGAGAACATCCGCACCTCCCTCTCCCTCCTCGAAACCCTCCTCCGCCTAACATCCCTCCAGCAATTCCAGCAACAATCCCACCTCTCCATCAGCGACGAGCTTCTCAACTTCTTCCTGGAAGAATCCTCGACCACCGGCGCCGGCGGCGACGAACAGCACCGCCAACGGCTCCGCTCCGAGGCCCGTCGTCGCGTTGGCTGGGACCCCTACAATGAAAGCCCCGTCAAACACCGCGGCGAGGATTACCAGTACGGCTGGGAGCCCGGTAGTGGTCCCCACCAATATGGCGGCGATCCTTACTCGCCTACTGGGCGGTCGCAGGGCTTCCATCTTCGTTCCAGGGAAAGTACACCGGAGACCCCGGTGCGCAAAAGCTCGCCGAGTGTCCGTCCAGGTGGTCAGCGTGGTATGAGGCCTGCGTATGCTGAGTCGCCCCTTTCGAAAAAGATGGGTAGGTCTCTGAATGATGGAGATCCAGGGTCTGGCACGGCAAATTGACGGATTCAATGAAAAATAAATGGGAAATGAATGGGAAATTCGTGGACTACCATGCCTTGTACATGTATTATGATCATGATTATGAGATAGCGAGTGCATTACAAGATCGATTTTTTCCTCTACCTTGCGGACCAATCCTCTACTATGTATATGTTACCGTGTTCTGGTGAATGTCATCATCCCTAGCGGCCGTTGAATGTCGGCTAATGATCTACCTAGGAGCTTAGATAGTCAGATCGCCCGTGTTGAGATACTATGTAGATAGAAGGAATGGCGTGTATTCAGATATCAACCGCATTGACAGATAACATCGCTCGCTGAAAGCAAGTTGCAGAAAACAGAGCTGGGAATAAAAGGAGGGGGAAAAGCCCGAAACGCCAAAAAAACAAAAGACCCGACATTCCTAAACTCCAACCAAAGCAGATTTCTTCAGCAGGCAATTGGCCGTGTTTAAGCTGGCGCACGCAGTAGCAATACCACGCTCTCCGGGGGTATATAGTATAGACAGGCGCCCTCGGAACCAACTTAGATCCTCTTGCCGATGCGTCCTTGAAAAGAGATAGGGAGTTACTCCCAATCTTCGTCGCTCTCATCCGCCTTCGCAGCGGGGGGACTCTTTTCCTTGGGACTACCGGGCGTGCGGCTAGCAGCGCCACTCACGACATCGTAGCTGGATTCGCTGTCGGCTTGGGAGTGCTGGTCGTTTGACCGGCGAGGCTCGGCTTTCTGGTTTTCTTTGGTAGGAGCGAGAGTCTGGGCACCGGAGCGGACCTGTGGAGTAGAAGGAGACTGAGACTCAATGTCAGAGTCGTCGTCCCAGCCGACTTCTTCTTCGTCTTCGGCATTGGCACCTGTAGAGTAAACTGGTTAAAACCGGAAACAAAAATCACCGGAGTGATGGACTCAATATACCCTTCAAAAGTTCCTTGCGCTTCTTCTCCTCGGTCTCTACGACGAGACGCAAGAAGTAGTAACGAGTCCAGAATTCTGCGTATTCCACCTGCTCCGGCACGAGCTTCTCCATGGCCGAACGGAGCTCGGGGTATTTTTCCAAATCGGCGGCGATCTCATCCGTCTTGACTTCGACATTGAACTCCTTTTTGAAAGAAGGCCACTCGTCGCTTACCGGGTCCTTGCTGAAGCTCTCGAGGTTTGAATGAATAACGTGCAGCTGTGCCTCGAACCGTGTCGCATGAATTACCCGCTTTCCCTCAGCATCCTTGCTCTCGAAAAGAAGCTTGCCAGACTCATCGGTATCGGGGGGCAAAATGCTAACGGCCTCACGCAGCTTCTGGCCGATGTTCATTCCGAATCGCAGGATCGCTTCATCCGCTGCTTCCTCTGCCTTCTCAATCTCCTTCAGCCGCCGAGCGGCTTCCGCCTTCAACCGGGCAATAAAGCTTTCTCCGCCGGCGCCAGCGCCTTCGCCTTCTCCCTTGTCACCAGATTCTGCTCCTTCTGCGGCAGCCTTAGGTATGGCAGCCTCATCACTCTGTCCCTCGCCACTGCCCGTCAAAGCAGCCGTGCTGAGAGACAGCCCCTTTGTCCGGTCGGCCAGTGTTTCCTTGAGATCTGAAAATCCTTTCACGGCTTCCTCGCTGGCAGCTGCATACTCCTGGCGAGCACCCTCGTAGTATGTTTCTCCCTGCTTGCGTACGTTGTCCCATAATCCTCCAATTCGGGAGCCCCACGGGCTGTTGGAGAAGGCTCGAAAGGTCTCTTGTAGCTCATCGTTGAGATTGGCGTTGGACTCCTCGGGCTTGGACTCAGAGGGGGCTCCCTCTTTGTTGGAAAATGCCTCCTCCTGGATGTGATCGTAGGCGATATCCATGATTGGGAAGTTGCAGGAGGAAAAAGAGGGTCAAAGACTTGGAAGCACAAGGTTGCAGTATCTCCGCGTTCGTCCACGGCCCGACCGCCCCGCTTGCGACGATCCTCAAAACTACATCGCATCATCGTATAAACAAACATATTAGTCAGTAAATTCAAGGTACAGTTTATATAGTAATTATACATGTTTAATAATATTTTAGGTATTCATAAATCATAATCCATTAAATTATGACATCGGAAACAATGTCATCCTTCAGGTAAGCTATAAGGCTCTCCTACACTATCCTGACTCCCCATCCAAAAGTTCGGGAGCGGAATGCTCTCCATGACGCTCGATGTAAGAAGCTGGCTCCGAGAGAGGACCCGACCCTGCCATTGAGGATCTCGGTCCACCGCCTGCGAGGACTCGACTTGAACCACTGAGCCAGGAACACGAGGGCGTTGAAACGAACTATCACCAGGCTCGATTCCACGTTCTCGTTCCCGAATGGGCGACGACTCGGGAACCATTTCAGTAGACTCTTTGTCGCCTTCCTGACTCTGTGTCTGTATCTGTGAGAATGGACCCGGTGCCTGTCTTTGAACAGAAGGCCTCCAAGCCTCCAAATTTGTGTACTGGCTACTGCCTCCGTGAGGGAAAAGCTCAGACATCTTCTGCGTATTCAGCGTTGGGATTGGCTCATGCGGGAATTGTGTAGCTGCGTGCATCCTTTGATAGCATATTGAGGCATCAGACATTGGACCTTCGGATGGAGGGGCATCATCCAATCCAGGGCTCGATTGCACAGCTGGTAGAGGAAGTTCTTGGGAATCATCCTTGGGTGACTCCGGGCTGTGTTGTGTTGCCTGTGAGCCATCTTGTGGACCAATTGCTCGGTGTATTTTATTTGGGGATGGCGTCACGGAACGTCCATTGAGGTTGTCCTCAAAGTCTCCATATTCCGAGTCCGCGTCCGTTTCATAGACGACTGTCCTCTCTCTCTTGGTAGGTTCAATTCTCGAGTTCCCGTTTGCTTCGGTGGGGAATTCCTGGGAAGTCGACTCCGTCGGAGGTGCAGATGAAGGGAATTCCTCAGTAGTAGTTAGATCAGGATGGATCAAACTATTATAGATGCTTGGCGAATCAAGTGTTGTTGGCTGCGGTAAAGATTCACCTCCAGGATCTTGTGAATCCTCGACCACTCGCCGAACCTCCGGGGGTTCTTCTTTAACAGGTTGCATGGGATTATTCGTGGGGTTTAACGGATTCCGTTTTGAAGGAGAGCGAGTAGCGCTGCGAAATTGAGATGAGGTTATAATAGCGAGACCAGGGCTTTCGGGCGTCTGTGAAGAAGGTATCTCGCGCGTCCGAAGCTTTCGCGGTGTAACAGGAGCTGTAGATGCTCGCTCGCCCTCACCTCCGCTTCCAGGATTTGACTCTTGTGCTTCTTTTTGTTGAGATATAGGTTCCCCAGTTGACAGATCCAGCTCTTCTTCAAGAGATCTGCGCTTCCGTTTAGCGGAGGCCGGACGCTTCGTATGCTGTAATTGGTTCGGTTTGGGCGTGTGATCTGTCTGTTCATCTTTTATGTCCTTCTTCTGCGGTGTCGGCTGGATATATCCCATGTTCACGTCGTCGTCATCATCATCGATGGTAATGTAACGTCGTACAAAGTCCATCTGGGTTAAGGTCTTGTCCCGCTTTCCCGTGGATTTCTCCAGGGATTTCCGACCGCCCCTAGGACGAACACTCGCCCTTGGTGTCTCGCTCTTTCGTGGTCCATAACTTCGGTATGCATCTCGATTGGCGTTTCCAGAGCTCCTCCGCTTCTGCGGGCGTTCATCCGACTCGCGCTCTCGTTCGCTCATCTTGAATTTCGAGATACGAGCTGACCGAACTGGTGGAGCGGGGAGAGAGTCTGAATCCTTGTCGGACCCATCATCTACATTTGGCCGCTGAGTTGTGTCTCGAGTATCGTCGCGACGTTTGTGTTCGTCGATGTAGCCAAGCTGGTCATCATTTGAAGGTGTGGGTTGTGTCACAAAGTCAATTTGCGTGAGAGTAGACTGGGCTCGTGGCAGCGATGTCCGCTTACGAGCACTTGCCGATGTCGATGACTGTGGTGATCGGTTCCGTGCGGTTGTTTTCGTGGCAGTTGTTGGAAGACCTCGTAGACTAGGCCTTCTTGGAGTGCGGAACTGGTTTCGAGGAGTCTCTGGCAAGCTTCTAGATTCATGCGATTCTTTCATCGCACCAGCAATGGTTCAAGGCTTAAACATCTGACTGGGGCCTAAAGGGAAAAGATATGACGTTAGCGGAGAGATGCCTGAGGCGGTTCGCGTCGACGCGTCGCTAATATCGACTTGGTTCGTGCGTTATAGTTTCGGCCCCATGCATTCACAATCGAGTCCAATAATGACACAAACAAAAAGCACAATGCAATTATATTATTTCAATCTGCACGGTCTAATCTCACTCATACAGCCTACACAAAAAATAATAAGAGCAAAAAAAGAAATCTCAGGTTTGGTTTTTAGGAATAGCCGAACGCGGGGGTCGAACCCGCAGCCTTAAGATTAAGAGTCTTACGCTCTACCGATTGAGCTAGCCCGGCTGGGCTGTTGAAAGAGGCTGCGCTATAATGCTACATTAGCCAAAAGAAGGGGCAGAGCAGTACAAAACACAGGCGTCAGTGAAGCGGTTAGGGAAAGCAGTCTAAAGTAGCATTTTTGTTCTTATTTGAATCTTTTATATTCAATGTACATAGGTAACATACAACAGGTCTGATTGTCAAAAACTAGCCCTCATCAGACATCAGCCATTCGGGAATTGCATCCTCATCTTCAGGGTCCTCAGAAAGTAAAGATCCCTTCTCGATCTCGCTGTCAGAATCATAATTGGGCACTGGTGACGGTGGCCGGGAGATAGTGACCACACTTGCGGATTTGGAGCCACCATTGGTGGATGAATCTACTGCGATGGGAACTTGGTCAGATGATCCTGCGAGTACTTGAGGTACGGATGTCGGGTTTAATCCGTGGTTTGGGACAACCACCAGTGAGTAGCGAGGCGTTTTTGATGCTTTGTTCCTGGCAATACTCTCAGGAATCGATGTTGGGTTTATAGCCAAAGGCGCAGGCTTTGGAGGTTCCACCGAGTCCGGAGCTGGATCATGATCATCGGGCAGAAATCCACCTCCAAGACTATAATCCTCCTCGTCCGATGACGATTCCATTTCTCTTTCTGTATAGTCTTCAGGAAAATGCTGATCATGTACCATTTTGCCCTTTCCCATAACTTTCGTAGGCGGGCTATTAGCTGGTTGGTCTGGTTCAGGAAAGAAACCACCACCAGCATCTTCAACGTCCATTTCGTCTTCGATATCTTCGTGCTGTTGTTCTTCATCATCGCCAGCATACTCCTTGACTCTTTCTGCAATCCTAAGCTTCAACAAAAGAGAGTCGCCAGAACCGCAGAGCTTCCGCAGTTCTTGCCTCCAGTGCAGCGTGCCGCCTCTCATCTTCGAGACCCCGCAAGACTTCCTCGAGAGCCTCCTGGTACTCGGTGGCAATAACAATTCCCCCGAGTACAGCCGTGCCACGACGGCCTCTAAAGTCAAATCCAGTAACTGCGTCCGCATAGTCAATGCCAAGGATTCGAGCAGCTCGAACTGCCTCTGGCCGCTTGATGTGAACTCCGCCAGGCGGGACCATACTGGGCACATAGACATCGAGGTTTCCATATGTGTTCTTCGGAATTCTTCCCTGAACCACCGGTGGTGGAACATATATTTCTGTCTGGAACTCGGCGTATAGTGTAGTCTCTTGGGGCTCATTTTCATCTTCATCATCACTGAAGCCCCCGCCCTTGTTTCGACTTGCAGCGACACGCTTGAGAGGCTGCTCGCCAACTCTAACGTCCCGCCCAAGGCGATACCATTTATCGGAGCTTCGTACAATATGTAGGTCAGATCGACGATAAACGGGTTCTGATGTCTCACTCCGTGCTGTGCTTTTTCCCAACCCCACGTGCCCAATGATTCGTTTTGGATGGATGACTTCATTGCGACGGACGTGTCGCTCAATCGCATAGACGGGATGGTCCTTGAAGTCCTGGATATTGCGTGGCATGGGCTCAGCTGCTGATTTGGATGTTAGTTCACTAATCTCTGCCTCATCTCGATCCTCGAAGAAGGGTTTTTCATAGGCCTTTAGCGCCTTATCCCACCACTCCTCGCCATTCCGTGTGACTTCCACGCGCAGTTTCCGTGTCTTGGCATTAAATGCTTTTACATAGCGACGAGTGACGTCTCTTGCGGAGGCGTCATCCTCGAAAGCAACCACGTAATTCATCATGTTTAACGAATCGCTCGCAGGCGGTTCAAATTTCGAAGGTTTAGCAAGGGATTTTGTTACAATGGGGTCAATCGAAACCCATTTATTTGCAGCTTCGTTGAAAGCTTCCACCCAAAATACCGGAAATGACGAGTCTCGCGATGTCGGAATCGGACCTATCTGTGTTAGTCAGGCGTAGACTAGCAATCGTTGGAAATCACATGCCTGAATGAAATTTTGGTTGAGGAGGACGCGAGGGGGTGAATTTAGGCTGTCCAATGCGTCGAGGCCTTGAAGCTGCAGGTGATTTTTCACCCTTACTGCGTTCATCTGTTGAGGATCCAGGATCGTCTGAGGATATCACAATATATTGATGCTTTGGTTTAGACGGCGTCATGTCTTTCACGGTGCCAGAAAATGGCAATGGTTGCAATGAGCAAACAAGTCTCGCCTCTACGGCTACAGACCGCAATAGGGCACAGAATAGCTGAGCCCCGAAGTCCCGGGACCCTTCCATTATCTTCGCTTGGGTTCGAAAATCCGCTTTGGATAAAAAGACTTCAGCATTCGACATGATTGACTCCTATATATTCGTGTCAGTAAATAATTGTTGATGGAAAAACTTGTGAAGGATACCAATTTCTGCTTCAATTGCGATTCATCTTCCGCCCAGTGAGCCCGTTTCATTCCTGGTTTGGTAACCCGAAATCTGCGTGTGAAGACATCTGCAGCCTGGTTGAGACCGTCCATGAACGTGGTAGATCTGCTATAGTGTGGTTTATCCTCATCTGGATGCAGAAGAGTGACTACATTCCTAGGCAGTGTCTTCTTCAGGAATTCCTATGATGCTGTTAGGCCCCCAATCGATATCCCAAAGCGGGCCAATGCTCACCTGTGATTCCTCATCATTGCACCACATGTTGCGCAACTGAACGTGGCCAAGAAGGCAAAGAATATGACATTTGTGCACATCCAATCTAACCTTTCTCTCGGCTCCAGTTAAGGGCTTCCTTCTTTGGACTGCTTTTTTGTGCTTCTCAGGTTCCTGCTCTAGTGTGATCTGGAGCATCTCATCGTCGCCTTGAGACACGAAAGGCCTATTCAACAAGGACTGAGGCGGTTGCTGTAATTCAACATCTTCCCAATCAACGTCTGATTCTTCTGATGTCGATGAATCGTAAACTGTTTGCACTGGTTGGACGCTATGTTTGTTTGCTTCTGCGTCCTGGTGTGTTTGTTCCGAGGCCCCTAATCCCACGGGGATGGCTTTCATGTCTCCGGCCTTGCGCCTCTTGATTGGTCTGTCTGAGGCAAATTGCCCAGGATCTCTGGCTTCAGCCTCCTCCAATAATTCTTGATAGATATCTGAAGTATGATCATTTCTCTGTCTCTGACGTTTAGGTTGACGGGCTGGCGTCACCCGGCTCCTTGCGGAACGAGCTGGCGTTTGGCGCACCATTGCAACCCAAATTATTGAAAGGCAGAATCATGCGGTATATTTCCAGGCTTTTTGTCCGATGAGGCTCTACGCGTCGCGCGTCACACTCAAAGTGGCGTTTTAGTACCCCGCCCTCCTCAGAAAATCAATGAGACAAAACATCAAGGAAAAGAAAATGCGAAATGTTCACTATTGCTTCGAAATGATATTTGCAGAATTGAAATATGTCCTTGCCTAGGCTCTGTTGATGCACTGCGTTTCGAGTCCTTCCAGATCACAAGGTGCGTCATGTCGGATTTTGATTTATCCGTGCCGATATCAATATAACCCGATTAGGAAGTAAGCTATTGATGCTCGATACTATAGTTAATTATCAACGGATTTTAATAGTTTATTCGTTGGTATCCTTAATACTCCTGTTACCGGGATAGGCATGTATGTTTTGTAAAAGTCTCACTTACTTCCGTTTTAAACGAAGAAAAGCATGCGAGAAAGTTAATATATATATGCACTGGAGGATCTCCCCTGTGGTCGTCTTTTGACCGCAACTTCGACGAAACATGATCTTCATAGGCAAAGCAAAACCAAGTGTTACAGCCAGATAAGGCAAACATAATCCCGTGCCCAAAGAAGACGATACCTTGCCTGGAATATAAGGGGAAGACATCAAAGGTTATACATGGAAAAGTCGATTTGCACATTTTAAGCTGTTTTTACCGCCTATAAGCTACAACGTCAACAAGGGAGAAAATATCTACCAAAAAGACATATAAAAATACTGCCAAAAAAGACATCACAAGGCTGCATACGCGGCCGATTATTCTTGTATATGTAGTTGGACAGTGAGTCCTATTGACCAATCGTCATGGAAGATATAATAGAAGGACCATGCGCCTATGTTGTATACGAGTTGCCTGATAATAGGTCGTCTTCTAAAAAGATCTCCACATGCCGAGTAGGTAAAATGGATAGAGGAATTAGAGACACCAAGCAAAGCGACATGCATATGCAAATGATGTTCATGATATGTATTATAACCCACTATACTATATCCGACGCATGTTTCAGTTGTTTTTGTTTCTCCCTCGCAGATTCGCAGGGCTTCTATAGGACGGACACGTTCCAGCCAATAGAACTCACGCCAGTGGAGATAACTCGTCTGCTGATCGATCAGCTAGCCTGTCCCAGCGAGTTGATAAAGGCCCTTCTAGAGCGCGACCTACAACGTAGAGGCATTTTCTGAATGATACCAGCCTGTAAAAGAAAAGTCAACAATTTGATATTAACTCCTCACTGGTGGATGGGCGGGGTGTTGATGGGACGATTTTCCTCTCCAGACCAACTGTAGACGTGCATGATCTACATTTCGCTTGCGTCTGACAGTTGTGTGGTGCTCACAACATTTGAACTTTTATTCCTGAGCCGTGCCGATTGGGCCTTTGATTTCCACCCAGGGCCAGTCATATTCGGATTTTGG